GAGATTGAATTTCTACATCGATTTAACCTGCCAATCGTGAGTCGATCAGACTCAAGTATATCGATATATGTGCATTGCAAGACAGATTGCAACGTAGAATAATAATGTCGCTAAAGAGCCGCCTCTTTATACTGCAGCCACGAGCAATTGATGCACTTTTACGTATAGATGCTTCGGGATACCTGTCGAGAAATTATTTTATACATTTGGTCCAATCAAAGTTCCAAAGAGGCGTGTACAGGTATACAGGTCAGAAAGAGTTGGGTGATGCCAACAAATAAATCGATACTTTAGTCGATCATTAATCATACAAATGAATATCTTCCTGCCTACCAAATAATAAGTGCTTTTAAACTCATAATTTCATGGGTAATCAAACATTCAATTTAATCAAAGTCTGTAAGAGAACTTGAGTTCAGTACAGTTTTTTATGTTATTTTGATTCAATTAGTTATTAGCATATATATATATACGTGATTGAATAATTATTTAAAATAAATTACGAAAAAATGATAATATTAATAAAAAATTAATTGATTTAGCAATCAGGAAATGAGTGTAAAAAATGGAATATTGACAATCAAGAGCATGACTATACTTTTGACTTTATAAGTACTATTACCAAAGATTTTTTTGCTTTAATAATTCTCTGATTAAATTGAACAAATTTAATCGATAAAAAATTATAAAATATAATTGGAAGTTTTATAATAAAATGGTTAGGAATAAAATTCAACGGTAGCAAAAAGTATTAATATTTTTACTTCATTATATAAAATGAAATTTTTTTTTGTTTCTTTTCCATTATCGATATGAATTAATCTAATATAATAAGAAAACCTCACGCTTCTGCAAGTTTCTGGCATTAATAAAATATAAGTCCAAAGGGTAGAATAATCGCAAGAAAAGAAACATCAAGATAAGAAAACATATTTTAACGAAATTATACCCATATTTGGAGAGGATAAGAATGGAATTTTTCCTTTTTCATCAACGACTCCAAACGTTTTTTTTTTAATTGGATAAAATTATGTATACATAGACTTGGTGGATACATGGTTAGGTTTTTGTAGATATATATGGTAATGATTGGACAAAAAAATTTGGAGCGATTTCATCACGAAAAATTACGTCAATGTAAAGAAACACATACAAGTGGGCGAATCGATTGAGTCCAGCACGTATGGTTCAAGTATTTGTGATTTTACTCGATTTCTCTTATCCAAAGTACAAATCTTCTCACTGGAACATGCATGTGAATCAAGCTCGTGTGTGGGATATAGACGTAGCAGAACGAAACATTATATGCACCTCAGGAAACACGATTATGTTCGCAGCAGGACACGTTGGAACAAAGGACAGGCGTGCAAGAGAATAATCGACTCGAAGGCTTTGTTTCACATTTTTAACAAATGTTAAATAGAAAATGCTAATAAATAAATATCAGAGATATATAATACAGCTTATGCTGAGAGAAATGATGTTCATTCTAACTATTGACTGTATTGCAAACTAATCCCGCACCAAAAATATCGCCCACATTCGTTTCCAGTTTAACGTACCACTTAGCAGTTATCGCGCATACGCTACTCGTTCTCGTGAGATGTCCGCAAAAGGAAATCGAATAATAGAATCGCTGGTATTCAGCAGTTCTAAAGAGAACCAGAAGAAGAAGAGAAGAAGAACAAGAACAAGAAATGCCACAAGTGGATTTACTGATCTTTGTCGATTGGTATATACTCTCTAACGTGTCGTTCTCCTCGACCATGACGACTAAATTCCGGGTCGTGTGTATGCACCCACGCGTAAGATTTTAGCGCAACCAAGTTGTAAATTAACTGTCAGATTTTGCAACTCGTTATTCTCTCGTTCAATGAAAAATTAAGTGTGAAAAGTTAAAATTTTATGTAATGACATTAACTCCATTCAACGTTACTTTTTATCCAAGAGTCAATAATTTTACAGCTGATTCATTATTAATACGATGTTATCATAAATTCTCATACGGTGCATATCACAATATTCATTATATTACTCGATGCTTGAATAATAATTGGGGGACTCCCTTGAACATGGTGGGAGTCTCCAAGTCCCCATGATGTCTCCTACAGCAACTGTTCGTAATTTTAGAGTTTTATATGCTCCCGTCAGTTATGTGCGGAGGCGTACACATATTATATTCCTTATAGGCTTCAAGTAACTCGCCCACACTCAATGTATATAGTGTCCCAATACCTGCAGTGATATGTCAACTCTGACTTTCCACTCTCAATACATTGGCTATTTTTTTAATGATGCTACCATTAATTTACCATTAGGCTACTGTTTGAGCTCATGTACAGAAGTGGAACTTGGACTTGATGTTATTTTAATTTCATAATACGCAGAAAAAGGAATACTTACTAGAGGAGGTATATAAAAATGAGACATAAGAGTGTCAAGTGAGGAGGAAAAAATAAACGGAAAAAGGTGAAAAAAACTTTGTAGTTGCGCACGTTTCGCTGTTCGCACGCTGCCTCGCGGGGTTAAATATACCTTCGGTAATCGCATCATACAGTAGCGGGCAAACAGAACCACGCTATTACAGAGAGGCATCGTTGCCACGGGCGCACAGCCTGATATGGAGCAATCTCAGATTTCCATCCACCCAAATCGAGAATATACGTCCGCGCCCCCGCTCGAGCTTTGGCCGCCACACGTCTGTGAGTGCTCTCGTGACTGTCGACTGGGGTTGTTGTTGCTGCAGCACAAGCCAAACGTGCCAAAATTCACATTAAAGCCAATAGTAGTTCAACTCCTGTGCCTTTGTCACTATTCCAATGGAAATCCCCGGATATTATTTACATATTATCTAGAAACCACATTAGTATTTTGGATCATCAGTTACATCAAGGTGTGAATTATTTCATTCGGTGGAGAAACATGCTTCAGTGCAGTGTAACATGAAGTAATACAAGTGACAGTGTTGAAATCTCCTTCAGGGATTTGGGGAGAAAAACGACATTGACTAAACAAATTCAGTGATTTCATTGATCTACGTACATGTTGCCAGAAAACACTTTTCCCGTTACAGGTAAAAATCATTTACTGTTTATAAATAATTAAATAGAAAGTTGCATTATAAATGCATCAAAAAGATTTAATCGGTTACGGACATTTGACCGTAAAAATTGAGTTAGAAGTGATGCAGTGAAAGGCAGGTGTCTTCTGCTGAAACTCTTCCTTGAATTTATGAATATTCAATGCAATCCTGATGGAAACGTTACGGTTGATCGACTTGTCATTAACGTTGACAGTTTAATCGGATTGCAACATTGATGATTATATACATTAATAAAAAAAAAAAATTAGAGCAACTTACAGTTTGACAATTGATGAAATAATATGTTTGTTTATGGAACAAGATGACTGATTGGTATATGTGTTGAGAAATTCTAGATTTAGAATAGCGTATTGAGGATAATTCGGGACGAACCGGCATAGTGGGGCCTCTTGAGAGAAGTTATAAAGAAACGCGAGTGGAATACAATTCCAAGTAGTACCATAATACCGAATATGGCGTGAGAAATTTGAGAGAGACAACCGAAAATAGTGGCGTCATGCCAGAATTTCTATTAATAGACGATAAATAAATTTTACATTCTCCCAAGCTTTCGATATTTACACGTAATTATTTTTGGTAAAACGTATAATAATAAATAGCCTCCAAAAAGTCCAGAAGACTTGGATAATTCTATTGAAGCTTATGATGCTCTTGGTTAGTAGAAAAAATTAACTTATAAAGTTACTTGCTTTCTTAAAAAAAAAAAGCGCGCCACTTAAAAACAGTAAAGATTAATGATATAAAGAATGAAATGCGGAAATGCCTGGATAATTTTTTAAAATTGAAGGTAATCGTCTACCACTCTTCCTTGCATTCCGCGTGGCAAATCGATTCTCTTCTTGGCCAATGTCGCTCGTCACGAACGTCTTTCTTCTTCTTGAGGGGGAATCAAAGCGCAACAACCACAACGTGTGTTTGACGGCCGACAGAAACAAAGAAAGAATAAACGAAAGGTAGAGAAGTATATATGAATAAACTCAGCTAAATTTAAAATTCAAAAAAATCCAAGTAAGGCTTCAAAATTACGAGGCTTGTCTCACGCGTACTTATAAATGGATTTGTATGAGACTGTTTAATGTTATTTTTGATTCTGGGAATATTTTTATCCAACTTTACACAACTTTAGTAAACTTGTATCGTTGTACCACAAGAAAAATTACTGTACTTTATTAAAACTGTAACTGTAAAAAATAGAATTGGCACAGAGTACACACGCTTTGAAATAATTATGAAACAAATATTATGTAGATAAATACTAGTTGTAGCACATTCAAGTAAAAAAAATGCCATACAACAGTTCTCATAAAGTAAGATTAAATATATATATATGTTTTTTTAAACTTTAAAAACACTTTAAATTTTAGATCTAAAGAAATTCTCCAAATAAAAATAACTAGCAGTTTCATTTTTATAAAAAGATAGATAATTGAATTCACTTAATCATCTCGTTAAAAAAATTTCAATAACTTGAGTTATTAAGGAAAAAAAAATTTTTTTTCTCTTCCGTCCGGTGATCATTACAAAGTCATTTAATAACGAATAAGAATCATCAACTTCTATAAGTAAATATAATTTATAGATGGCCAAACATTCTCTAATGAAGGCCACAAAGTGCTCTCTTATCTGCGTAATTTTTTTTTTCTCACACCACCTAGCGATTGCCATCTGTCCAGATTTATTTACGATTCGCACCGGTAGGCTTGCAGACCTCACACCGTGCATGCATTCCTCGTGGACTTGTCCCATTTGCGACGATCTTATCGCCAAAAATGTCTTCAGATGCGATTTAAGATGGTAGTACGTCTGAACGATTAATTGAACACGAGAATATAGATTGTAAAATGTAGGGTGTGAATAATTTACGGTTTACTAATGATTAAATTATTTTGTTTTGCAGGGGGCATTATGCAAACTGAGGAAGTTGTACCTCGTACACAGTCTACGGGGATAGACGGCTCCTTGACAGATAGTTCATCCTATCAGTCTACCTTAAATCTTTCTCCACATCCACAGTGTTCATTGCCAGCTACCGTCCACATGGCCGTCAAACAGGAGCCTCAAGATGATGATGAACGTGATGTAAACAGCCACAGGTGAGTTGTTTTAATTTCACGGATGAATAATCCAGCATAAAACGAACTGTAGAACAAAATGAAAATTAAAAAACATGCACTTTCAAACGACTTTTTTGCGCTTTGTATAGAGTATTGAAAGTTAAGAATGATGATTAACGGTGAAGGAAACACATGTTTTGAATTGCTACAAAGGCAAAGAATGATTGCAATTTTTTTTCGTACTAAAAAATTTGTTCTTTCATGTGTTCAGTTCTTGTATGAATTGGAATAAATTAAAAATATAATTATTCTTAAAAAAAAAATGATTGCAATAAAAAAATTTATTTTGTTCAAAGATAGTTTTCTTCTGGATTATTTCAAACAATTGGACCTAAAACCGCGATAATTTCCATTTGACAATGACTGTAACGGTGCGATTAGTGAGCCTCTGTCGATTTGTCAATTGATTAAGGCTTTACTTAGACACCACTGACATTTGCGATTTGCTTAAAGACTCCGTAGACTGCTGACTTTATCAGTTTCGTCTGCCTTAAACGTGAACAGCATTAACGAACCGACTTAACGCTCCCGACAATCGATTCTCCCGGTAGATATACATTGTGGCGTGTCTCGACCGTGGTAAATGAGGAAACGTTGGCTTGGGGGAGATAACAATTTCGAATCTGTCTTTGCCATGTCAAGATCCAGTTCTAATGAGGCACTTAACAGTCAGCAAGCGGAGCCAAGCGCCGCACCAATCCCAGCAGAAGGCACTCATCATCATCATCCTCACGAGCCAGTACACCAACAGGTTCACCAGCAGACCGGGGCTAACTTGGAAAGATCAAGTCAAGACGGCATTAAATCGAAAACCAGGTAATTATTATTATCTAGTCAATTTTAAAATTCTAAAGAAGAAAGAAAAGAATACAAAAAAAAGAGTACAATAATAATAGTAGTAATTTATTTGAATCAATTGAAGACGTTTAAGTAACCAATTTTCGTTGATAATTCGAGTTCTCTTCAATGGTATGAATGAGTCTCGAGGACAACTAAAACTGGTTCGGCAAACCGTCGAATCCGATGTGCACAAAAACGTTGATGAACGAAAACCTTCAGTTGATTTTGATTTTATCTGATCTTGCTGATTTTGATCAAACAAGCACCAAAAGTAGTTTCAAGCATCTTGCTCTACATACAACGAAAGGTGTGGTGCATTTATAAATTGTTATTCCGGACTTGGAATGTTGTTGGAAGTTAAAAAAATTCATGTTTATTATTTTTGTTCCAGTCGTGGTCGCAGAAAATCAAGATGGAAGCTTAAATTCCATCACCAGGCATTACCTCCCGAGTACTTAGACCATTATGAAGCTGCCTTAGCTCAAGAGTCGTTGAATACTTCACCAACTCATGGAATAGAACCTGCTGCACCTAGTCCAGCACCAACCACATCTACTTCAACGTCCACCTCAACGCCAAGTCCAGTGTCAGATGTTCAAGGTTGGCTGCAAAGAATAGCCGCAATCAAACAAGAACTTTATCCTCGAGTAACTTGTTTAAATCCCACTGCTGACTCAAACCTGCAGTCTAATTTACGACGATCTGTTATAACGTCAACGTCACATGTTTATTCTGGAAATAATCATCAACATTATCCGAATCACCACCATCACAATAACCATCATCAGCCGCAGCAAATACCTCAACAACCGGCTCCACGACCGCCAATGAAATATTCGGATTTACCGTATATGGGTGAGATTACCTTGGACAATAGCAAACCGAGGAGAGGTAGGAAGCCAAAGAAAGCAGACATCTGTCATCTCATCTATAAAAATTACGGCACTATATTACCTGGCACGCCAGGACATGAGGATAGAAAACAACTACCAAAAGAATCATGTGATTCTAATCGGGAATTGACTCCACAAGTTTCACTTCAACGTACTGATATACAAAATAGGATTAGCAGTTTACTGGAAAAACGACTCACTCAGGAATCCAAACGTCTTACATTCTCCGAAGAGCTTCGAGAACAAGATGAGCCATTAAACTTGTGTATAAAAGATTTAAACCAACTGAAGATAAGACTTTCGCGCAAATATGGTAATGTTTATGAATCTGGTCAAGTTAAAAGTGAAACTTCTAGTGATGGAGAAGATGTTGAGTGCTTGGGAAATAATTTATCTAAAACGGACTCTATACGGCCTATTGAACTATTGAATAATATTAATAATAACAATAATAATCAAAATATTTTAAATAATAATACAAAAAATATTAACAATAACGATGCGACAAATTCCAATTCTGGTTTTGTCTATTGGCCGAATGCAAGTGTTTTTATTCACCCAGTGGCTCTTCAATCTCAGTTTTTATACTATCAAAAGATGGCAAACAGTGATAAGAATCTTCCAGCAATAGAGAATTCTCCAAAAGAACAAAAGATAGTTCCTAAATCAGCGTTCAATACGTCAGAAGTGAAGAATTCAAACGCTAATCCGATAATTATACCTCCAACAAACACAGCGCAGCCGGTGTCTCCAAGACCAAAACGAATCGCACCTCTGGGTCATCCACCGTCTCAGCCTACTAAGAGAAAACGCTCAGCTATCTTTATCCCTCCTATGCCAACGGAGAACACGAATAATCCCGCAACTGAAGTGAGTATATGCAAGTTCAAGTTCACCGGAGGAGCAAAGCCAAGTTTACAAGAGAAGAAAAGTTTATCTGTGGATTCAGGAGGTAATTTCAGATACTATAGTGGTACTGGTGACAAAAGTATGCGAGGATACGAATTCTTTCCACGCGAATCGCTTCAACAACCTGCTGGTCAGGCTGGATCATCGGCAGGTGCATTTCTGAGTGCAGCAGGCGAAAGGATCCCACCGCCTCAGTGCCAGAGAATAGCAAATCAGGACGAAGGACGGAAGAAAAGGAAAACGAGAAAGTCACTACAGCGTGAGAAGTTGGAACAAACATTTAAAGAAAAAGGATTTCTTATCCAAACTCAACAACTTGAATCAGCTGAGGGTGCGACCTACTGTAAATTTCGTCAACTCCGTAAATTTACTAGGTACTTATTTAGAAGCTGGAAAGATTATCTTCCGGGCAATGTCCGTGACTTGACGGGGAATGCAGACGGAGTGGAGTCACTCGATGCTGAGGTCGAGAGAGATCATTCGACATCTCCGCTTCCTCTTCCGGGTATCGTCGACATGCAGGATAATGTTCTTGAAGAACATCGAACATTACCACTCACATGAAACCTTCTGGAGTTTATGGAATTTGCATTTATATTTTTTTTCTACCTTTTTTTCTTTATCTGCCTACAGAATGAGTACAATGAATTTCAGTAAATTTGATCTCTATGTTTCCTTTTGTTTTGATCATATTGATAACATTCATGGTTTTTATTACAATAGATGTTTGATTGGAATGAAAAACAAATGATTCGAGAGAAATGTCTTTCGTGCGTGCACGTAAATGGTGTAATGGTGTAAATAAGTTGTTGTCAGAAATTACTTAATATTCTATTGTACATGCCTATTGAACGATAAAGTATTTTGATTGAGTCACTTGTAATGTAATTTACACAACAATTTACTCGTTTCGTACGTGTACGTTTCAGTAATACTAATAAGATCGCTGCGGCTGCATTCAATTAATACGTGGTACGTATATACAAATACGTACCAATCGCTTGTCGTTAAGTGTCTTATCTATTGTACAGAAATTCAACTGAATAAAAAAGATAGCAGTAATAAAATATTCAATTATCATTGCGGTATGAAAATGAGAAGATTATAAGATAATGAATCAATCTTTATATAATTAAAGAAATCATTAATTCGGGATCTTGATGGCCCGATGCCAAAGATGGGAGACTGTACATAATTGTAAATCTCAATAAATACGTTAACCAAAGACCAATATCGTGCCTTTAAATTGGAAGTCACATAGCAGGATTTTTTGTAAAAAAAATTTCATGAAAAAAGAAAAAATAAATTAATAATCGTGATTGTAAAAATTCTGCAGTGCATTTGTAAAATGATGAGTGAGATTTTGAAAGAATTTCATGTAATATTATGGTTGTCATATTTTTTTAAGTTATTATAATTATTTAATTTTTTTTTTTGCCTAATGAAGTCTAGTCTTATTTATACGATTGTTCTAAACAAAAAATTGCCTTAAATTTTTTTTCTCTTCCTGTAAGTGATGTAACACTTAATTATTCATTGTATTAGTCATCATAATTGTAATTATTGATTATTTGTAAAATAATAAAATGAGTTTAAATGAATGAAACTCAATAAAAATGTGATTATCAAGTATCACTTGTTGATGGCAGATTACAAAAAATAACTGTATAATAATTAGCGTGAAAGCAAAGCCAATTTTACTGTGCCTTGAAACCGTCCTATACTCATATACAATTGTTTCTCTATTTTCTCTAAAAAAAAACAACAAACAAACAACCATTTTTCTATTAAATAACAACTATACAATTATTTCATATTTATGCTCATTATTGTAAAGAGATTATTGTTTATAATCCGCAATAAAATAAAAAATATATTGTTAATTATAAAAAAATGATTTATAATTTTTCTGGGTAATTATTTTTACCTCTTCTGAGCTCTACATTCAATTTTACTTTAATGATTCGTTAGTATCAACGTTCAGAAATTTATGCAGTCTCGTTTCTTTTTAAAATACCCTCGAGGATTTCTGAGTAAATGAAAGAACGTCTTACTCTAAGAAAAAATAATTAAACTACTTACGAGAACATTTCTTTAACTTCATTGATGCAACTCCGATTGCAAGTTTACTTAAGGATTCATGATGTATAGCCGGACGCACCTCTTATCCCCATATTCCTCTTCTTCTGTACGTCTACGTACAAGTGTATATAAAACCACTGCGAGTGTATCTGTCGTCACATGCACGTATCTCTTCCACTACTACGAGACTCCATTCATGCATACGCCCATTCAACCATCTGTGGATCACCTTGAAGGGTTTTTATTCCCACCGTGTATTCATTTCATCAAGCTATTGTATTAAAATACTCTATGAAAAATTACCAAAAAGTCAATTGATTTTTTATTTAGCTAAATGACTTTTTAAACATTCATTTTGTATTTATTCTCTTACGAATCACTTTAAACGATATTATTATTATGATAAATAATACTTACAAAAATCATGTAATTATAAAGTGCCAGGAGAGTTTGCTATTAAATCTTTTTCTTATTGTTTCGTTGTCTTTACTGACTTTTTGCTGGCAACTCGTCGTTCGGGAGGGCGCGCACAATGACTGCAGGTTTCCTAATACGGTCTCAGTTGAGCCCACGATGAAACGGAAAAAAAGAAAAAAAAATTGAAATGAATTTTCGGTGACCAAAGAGTAAGCTTGGTAAGTTAAAAGACGTGCAGTATTACTCTGTAAAAAGATCCAAATTTAATAAACAACATTTGTATATAATGAATGAACCAGTCAATATAATATCAATATTAAAAAAGTTTCTCTATATTTACAAACTAATAACCCAATAAATAAACATCCTATTTTTTTTCAATTATGCCTTATCTAATTATTTGAAATATATTTCGTTAGCCAAAATATTGACAACTTAATATACAGATAAATTAAAAACGGAAAATATGAATATAATATGTTAGAAAGTCTGTAATTTATTTAACTTCATTTGAATTTACTAAAGGCGGAGCTAAAGAATAAATGGCGATTGCGATTAATGGAGTCTAGTCAGTTTAATGGTAAAATCATTTGCAGCACGCCGATGAGCTCGTTTAACCCAGCCATGATCTCCTGCATCGTGCACTTCTATGAGCATAGGATATATCCTTCGTGCATCAGTGCACGAAGCGTAAAGAGATTAAGCTGGTAAAATGAGAAGAGAAAAGAACGAGAAGAGCAGTTAATACGAAGGAAGACAGGTCTTGGTAGACTACAAGACAGGTTCGTTCGCGAAAAACTTTAATTTGTCTCTCACGTTTTCGTATCGTACCAGGATCTACGTGGTGTAGGTTAATATGCATACTGGAGTCTATATGCACATGTTTGTCCTCTCACTCATTTAATTCCATGGAGTCTGAATATGCTTGGTGATCTCTGGGAATATTAACACGTCCATTTACAAACTTTATGAATTCATTTGTAGTCTAAGCAGTTTTATAGATTCAGTAATCTCTTTCATGATAAATTTTTTTTTCTTTGTCATTTCAACTAGTGTGTTTATACAAAGAGTCATGAAGTTAATTGATCATACCTGAGCTTATTATTTGCAAAAGTACGATATTTTAATCAAGATTCTATTTGACCAGTTAAAAGAGACTTTTTCCAAGAATACATAATTCTATAATACAGAAATTTCCCTTTTCTAAAAGAAAGAGAGAGAAAGAAAAAGTTGAAACTAAATTAAAAAAAATTTCGTAATTTGTTCATCAACTGAAACCTGTTGATCTACTCTACTGCAGCAAGAAGTAATAAATTTAAATCAGATTATTATCTCAATGTTTTTAATTTATCAGAGTAACTCTTGAGTTTGATGGCAACAACAAAGTTTTCTATGGAATAATTTTCTCTAGCTAATGATTTGGAAGTAGCAGTATTGACCAGGAAATAAAAAGATATTTCTCTTACAATTATGCAATTTAAGTGATTAATCTACAGTGACATTCCACACCGTTCATTGGCTCGTATTAAATGCAAACGGTTGTCTGTGGAGCTCGTGTTGTGTAGTTGATGGTTGGTTTGTTATAGTGACAAGAACGCCTTCATGAATGAACTCCGGTTGCGTCGTCTACACGCGTGCAGAAAGACGTTGTTATTTCACTTTTTTTCTTTTTCGTTCCTCTTACACTGGTCTTTATTTATTTTCTCTTATCTGCAGCAGAGCGCCAACAAAGTGGAATTGGCACAATGCAGCTGGAATACGTGATTGTTTCTAAGCAAACGCAACTATCTGAAGGGAAGACAAGAAAGAGACGCCACCGGAAATCATGATTCGCAGCGGGCGAGTTTTAATCTACCGTAAACTGGTAACTACTCGTCTCGTGCTCGCCCTCGTACTTCAAGTCCAGAAGACGTGCGTGTTGACTGACAATATGAGACGTCATTCTTGGTTATACTGTGAATTCCGATATCTTTTTCTACATCCTATCTTGCTCTCTTATACAACCGTACTCTGTAAGTTAATTAGGCAAATGAAAGCAGCGCGACCGGACCGATAAAAGCTTTATCGTCGCGAATGTAAACGATTCTCATTTTCTCCCTATTGGTATTCTCAATGTTTCCTGTATTATAGCGTATTTCGAATTTAATACTTGTCATACCAGCTGCGACATCATAAAATAAATTAACGTCGCCTCTCAGTGAACTGCTAACTGTGCTAAATGATTTCTCGCTTTTATACTTATACATTTCCTGTAATTCATATCTCGTTGTTATCCACTTGGGCGATTTTATTTTCGGCTCCTTTTTTATCATCTTCTCTCATGCCCTTTTCATTCTTTTACTTCGTGTTGAGCCACGTATACCAGCTGGTCCAACTTCTTGTCCAGTGCATGCGACAGCTGCGACGAAAAGGAAAAATCCAAATGGCAATGGATGATTGTAAGAAACAAACGAATGAAGTAGGGAGACTTGTTCGGGTAGAACTGGAAGACTAAAACAAAATTCCTCACTCAATAACACGCTCTTTCTTACTCTTTCGTCTGCTATTATCTTCTTTCTTTTAATATAAATGTGACACATGTGTGCTTTTTCCATTATCCATTCCTGTCTATTAATCTTCTATATTACTGATATACATCCCTAAAAGATACACTGTCCATTAGTTTCTTTGATAAGTGAAAAAGAAACGACTACATAAGATATTAGTTCTTTAGTCAATGCAGACAGACAATATGAATTCTTCTTGCTAGTGGAAAGTGACATTGATGACAGACACTATTACCCTTATACTTACTGTGTTGTTATCACTTTTAAATTACTATATCTTCTTTATCGACATATCATCCATGTTTATTATTTTATATTTTTTTAAGAGCTCATTTTAATATCAAAGATGTTAAAAAATTTATTGACCATTTCGACATGGAGTAGTTCGTTAATATGTATAATTCCTAGAGCATCAATTCTCACGTAACTTTATCGTATACAGTAGTTTACTACAGCGCATGTCTCGCTTTTAGAATTAATAATCAAATAACCTAAATAAAATTAACACTAAAACTGTCATAAAAATGATGGAGTGAATTTTTTCATGCTCCAATGATAGAATATATTACGAGTCATGTAAAAAAAGCAGAATTTTTTTTTCTCATAAAATGATTAGTTAACATTGCAAACTTTTTAAAAGTTTAATTTATAGCATGAAAAAGTTCTTTATAACTAAGGTATGTAAAAGAAAAAATTAAAAATAAAAATACCTATTTTACTATAATAACTCGTGTAATTGGCAGGAAATGAATCATGGAGGAGTCTGAAATAAAAAAATATAGAGATTATTCGATATGGTATATTAAACTTGAGATAGTTTATAATAATTATTAAGGATAAATTATTTTTACACGAAGAGAATGATGTAATAAATGTACAATATTTGACAAGGCGTACATGATGCACGTTACAATATAACTTTTTAAAATATTATTACCATTTTATATTTGTCATTAAAGTTAAGTTTATTTTAATGTATATATATATTTTTTTACAGTTTCGTTCATTTTCATAATTCATTTGAATTTTATGTAAGAAAGCAATAGGCGAATCTTTACTATAATTTTTTTTTTTTTACTAATAATCGACATGCCATAAAGATAAATGCTTCTTATTTTTTTGTTTTGGTGAGAAATGGACCACTAATTATAAATTGCATGCTTTTTGTTTTTTAAAACTACAAGGGTCATGCACCCAGAATGTTATCACGTTTATAATATTTGGAAGGACACTTGCAAAATATACTTTGCTTTGGAAATAAATTATTACATAAAAACATTTTCGAATAAAATATTCAATAGTGACCTTCATCTTTGAAATAAAAAATAGTTTGTTTTTCATTGTCTATATTTATTACATAAATTATTATGGTAAAGAACCCTGTATATTTGTTTTTATTCGTTAATTAATTAGATTAGATTTTTATTGTTCATAGAAACTTGAAAGTTGGAATAGTGTTAAATCTGGATTTTTTTGTAAATAAAAATAAAGATCTGTCTTTAAAAGAGAACAGAGTTCTTTTTACAGTTTATTCAATATAAACGTCTATAAAAACAGTTTCACAAAGGTTTGATGCTAATTTTTTCATTGAATATTATGCTGGTTAGTTAACCATCTTATTAACGAGATATTTCTACTAGTGAATAGTATATAGGCAACTACGGTGATATGATTGAGTTTTCGAGTGCACTAAATACTCGACTGTTTTAGTTTCGAAGGATGGATCCAATGAAACAGATCAATTTAACTTCTCAACGTCAGTTTAAATCCGGTGTTACAACTTAATATCATTACTGGAGATTGTCATCGTATCGTATCATGTCTGTCTGTTGATACAAAGTTTGATCAATTCTAACTTTGTATCTCGATATTAAAAATACTTTAAAGTATTTTCTTAGCATCCAATGATACCTTAACTATATTTATCATTGAAACTAAAACAGTTCCATACGCGCATAATCCATTTTTAGTTAAGTAGTAAGTTACACTTTGTTGTAGTATACAAATAATTATAGATTTTCAATAGACAGTTTAAAAACTACAGAATTTACTGAAAGAAAAAAATTTGTTGTAGTTAAGAAGATCCAACTTTACAAGTAAAAAAATTTATCTGACAATATTTTCGAATATCAAATGTTGTTAATGATTATTATAGACAGGAATTATTTTTTTCATTTGTTAAATTATTCTTTTTTTCTTTCAGCATAAAAATAATACTTGACAATACTGTAACAATAAGGAATAGTTTGGTCATAGTATTGGAAATTTCATTGATCGATTTTAATAAGGTCGTTATTTGGTCACACTCAGTTGTATTCATATAAATAGATATTAAGGAATTTAGTTATTAATTTACAGTAAACATTATTATTGTTTGTTTCTTTTATTGTAAATACATTTTTAATCATTTTTTCAAATAGTATTTATAAAGAAATATTTATAAAGAATTTGTACAAGTTATTTCATTTTGGAGTTTAAAAAGTTTCAACATTGGTCAAATTTATATACTCCAGATCGAAAAAAATGTTTAGGTATATATTTATTTAAAATATACAAGCTCATTCTAACACTCCAATTGGTAGGAAAACTTTTACTATAGAGAAGCGCTAACTCCTAGTATTTTGATACTGATCTACAGTAATCAGACAATAAGTGTACACAAGAATTAATAGCATAAAATTCTTTCATTCTATTAACAATCGAAAAACTCTGAGATTTCAACAAAATGATATACAGTTTTATAAGATAACATGAGTGATTGGCAATATGTCGGTTTTCTTATTCACCCAAATATTTATTTCAATTACGCTCATAGAATCACTATTTATTAGGTGCATTCGTGTTTTTATTTATTTGCATATACTCAATTATATTAATATGAATTTGTTTAATCATTCGATCAATCAATCAATCAATTAATTAATTATATCAATACCTAATGACAACAAAATTTATTTTTATGCATTCAGAAATTATTGATAGTACTCCAAGGTAGCTTTGTATTGCATATATCGATATTTTTATATCATTGATACACAATTCGATTATTAAAATAACAATAATTATATTAGTAACGCGATATGATTGATAGTATTGCTATAAATTGTTTTTTTTTTTATTTTGCAATTGTAAAATTGATTTAAAAAATACTTTATGTAGTTAAAGCTTCCCTGGATATTTTAAAAATCTGATTAAACTTATTTATTGTACATAATATTTTCGTTAGTAACAATTATGTACTTTATTTTAATGTTTTTTTTTTTTTTTTGTAAAATAAAAAAATGAATTATTTATCATATCGAAACATTGAAATTATAATTAGGATAGGCAAACGCGTGATTGAATAAAAATCATCGACGCTTTCGACAACTACTAATCGCGTGATATCACAAAAATCTAAGCTACGAATAGCAAAGCTTTCGTAAATTCTAAATTCAAGTTTATAGATCAATTTACACTTCATTTTAAAGTCCTCACACTATCCTGCAAGAAGTGTTAAAGGACTTTGTAATGGAGTGTACATGTCATGAATTAAATTTATTTCGCCATTATTATATTAATAATTATTATCGTAATTTTTTTTTCTTTTGACTAATACTAATATGTATTTTTTATTTTTAATATTATTATACATCTCTTTTTGAAATTTTTTATCGAAATAAATAAACAACCTAATTATGTAATTAGGTATATATGTAAGTATTATGATAAAATTTCTGTAATTATCAAGTTATATAGATTTAAATTGAGTTTTTTTCGGCCGATTCACGAACACTACTTGCTTTATTTGTAATTGTCACACATAATTTACGTTTTTATAGTGTTTTATAACTGCTTAATTTTATGGTGTCGCGTTAAGGGATAAGCTAGCTACTTATCGAAGATACCATTAATAAAATCATTTTTTCTTAGAAAAGTACTATGTCATCCTCCACCGGTTTAATAATTATATTTGCATTTTCATAATTAAATTGCTATCTATTTATCTGTCATAAAATAAATTAAATGAGCATTACAAAAATATTAAAAAATTAATAATCTATTATCATCATTATTACTTTTATTATTATTATCATTATTAGTAATTATTAATGTAATAATAAAATTTAAAGTTCTCATACTATTGCTTGTAATTATTATTAAAAATTAAATTAAATCATATATAATAAAAAGGCGTCCAAAAAATATTAATAAATGATAAATGATAATTTTCCACTAATTCTAGTTATTTAGTTAATTATTACTGTAATTACTAACTTTGTGATTATAATCATTCGAATCACATATCAACCTATTATAATTGATGGTCTAATAGTGAAGTAAAATTAGTAAGAGGCACGATAGAGTGTGCAATGTATGCACAATAATATGCTCAAAGCAGTGTTATTTCACTAAGTAGAATTATTACTTGTTGTGCACCTGTTCTAGCGTTAATTAACGCGATTGTCAACAGTATCAAAAGTGCACCAGTATGAAAAGGCAGTCACGCATTATAAGATGTAATAATCTCATAAAAGCATCAGCCGAATTACAGTACATTGATGATGGTCATAAATATTTTTATCATCAGCTAAATTCTTGCCATCAAACCCATTTCATTATCGCAAATTGTGCCGATAGAGACATTATTTTGCACTAAGGTCCATAAAAAGTGCCTTCTCTCCGAAATATAAATAATATTTGTCAATAAAATTGAATTTTTTTTCTTTGGACCCTACATTATATGTATATATTTATTCAATCGGATAAATTATATTATTAAAAATATTTTTCGAAGCTTTTTCCTATAGAACTTATCACCTACATATTCAACGTGTCTAATATATACCTATTATATTTACAATTTGTGTCTATTCTTATGCAGTAGTATTTTTTGTGATATTTTATTAATTACGTTTAAAGTATAATAAGTAAAAAAAATCCGCAGTCATTTTTTCGCCAACAAAAAAATAACTGTTGCCTACTAACTTCTATAAGATGCTCCATTCTCATCGATTATTTTATTTATTTATTCTATTCCAATTATTGGTAATTGAAAATCACTAATTACCTACTTACAACTTTAATTAATATAAACAATTTATCAGTGAATCGTAATTAATTACTCTAACGTTTTACGAGAGTACAGGACGATTGCTGGATTTATAATTTATGATACACTTATTATTCGAACGATTCGATATCTTTTTTTAATTTTTTATATCATCCTTTCATCTTACCATTGGGATTTTAATGAAGTCAACCTTTTTAAATGAATCTCTTTCATGTAATCGATAACGTTTGGTACTTGATGTACGTTTTATGTGAGATCTGTTGTATTTTTATTTATTTCGAGTTTTTCTGTGCGTATAAATTATTCTTCAGAAAGCTTTGCTCGTTTTATCTTATCATTTATTTTTAAGAGTTATCATTATAACTATACATATATATGTATATAGCATTCTTCTATCTTGACATGTATACACTTTTTCTTTGCAACATTACTAGAAAATGTCTATGTTACACTTGGAAATTTTTCCCTTACTTAACAAAATCGATTTCGCTGATGTTTAATACGACGTCATGTTAAAGTAGCATGAAGCTAGGCTTTCTATGTTAACGTTGACATGCACGAATCCCCTTAACTTGAACCAACCAATTTTCTAGAAATAGTCACAAGCTTTTTCTAAGCTTCACTGAGAACTCCTAGACTATGATAGCTATGGTTAATCGCAGTGAAATCCGAGTACGTCAGACTGACGTTAATATATTAAGGGCATTTTGTTACACTTCATCTTCAATACTTCTGAGTGGTATTTGTTGCTTTTGAGCCATCGCATTTAATACATACACCAGTTGGTCGAGTTTCTTATCCATTACAGCCAGCTGCACAAAACAATTTAACCATCATCAGCTGCATAAGTTTCACTAAAAATCAGTGCTCAGGAAGCAGGTGAATACTGAGATTTACTAAAACATTTCAGTGCTTAATGAGGTCGCTATTAATTTTCATGATTTAAAATAATGAAATAAAAAAACTTTCTCTTTTGCATTCAACAGATGTGTGAATGATGCTACAGTTTTTTTAACATTTTTTTTGTGAATAATAATTTATATAAAGCAAAATGCAGATTCTTGTTTACTCTTTCTTTTATTGTAAAGAAGAATACAGACGAATGTGCGCACGAAAAAAAAAAAGAAAATGAGAAGGCAATATCACGTAAATTGAGAGCAAAAAGAACACAAGTAAAAAAAGATTTTTCAAATTAGTACCTACAAGAATATTTCGCAAACAAATGATTACAAGTCAATAAGAAATGAAAATTGATCGAAATAAAATGAGCAGACAAATTAGTATCTCACCTGCTGCTCGACACGGTATAAGCGAGCGCCGATCGTCATGGGTTTTACATTGCCAGCCCGGTCGATTCCTGCTAGATAGCTACCTGGCTTACCCAACGTCTGATCCAATCTCCTCTGCAACTCCTGCAAACAGCCGTCAATATTGCGATTGAGAAACTCATCTTGTTTCGACAGATAAATGCTTCATCGTGACTTGAATAGAGCCACGGATCTTCATGTCCATTTTTATCAAAGTTCCAATCTTTTCTTCTACACTTTCATCTGTTGTAAAGTCAGTAAAAGCTACCAATCTAGCTAGATTATTTGGCAACTTGATACTTTATTGGCATTTTAATGAAACTTTTTGTCTAATTTGAAATGAAGTAAAATAAAAACTACTAATTTATGTGGTTATATTTTTCTTTCATTTAAACAAAAATTTATGACTGTGTTTGATGTTTCATTAATTTAGTAATTAAAAATGATTCATTACAGAGAGTAAAAAATTTTTTTTTCCAAACAAACATGATTTTTTGTTTTAATTGAATAAACATTTATTTATGAAACAAACTTTTTTCTTATACTTCAGAAACCATCATTGACTACAAAAGAAAGAACATTTTACGTAAAATAATTAACTTAATGCAACTCTTTCACGATTTTCATCGTTAACACAAGTCTACTAACGTTAAAAGCATTGCGATTTTAATGAGAAATGATTTGAAATATTCATTAAAATAAATTACTGAATAAAATAACTATTTTAAAATGATAGTTTCATCATGAACTAAAACCTGAACAATTACAGTATTTACCTTTATCCGCACCATCATATTTAAATGTCCTTGGCTGTATTGTTCAATTACATCTCGAACATCATATGGTTTTCTTGCTTGTTGGAATTTTCGTCGTGCTACAAAATACTTGATCTTTCTGATAGCTCTTATCGCATTTCGATGTGCTTCAGTGAGTCTGAAAATCCCCAAAAATATCTCAGTATATCTTTTAGTGTTCAGTAGTCTTGTTACTTACTAACGCCCATATTTCACTCAAAACGAAACGGTGACGTACTTTTACGACATTTTTTATCTTTATTAGATTTTTTAAAACGGTACTTTATCAACAGTTAAATTGAATTTTTACTTTCTTTTAATATAAATTTTCTTTAAATATGCAACTAAATATCAGGATAACTAAAAGTTCAAAAGATTCTACTAGAATTAAAATTTCAAAGTTGATTGCAAGGAATATTGGTTTCATTTCTATTCATTTTATGTATCTCTATTGGAATTCAATTACAAACTTGTGAATAAACAGAAAAATATTTTAGCTTAAATTTTTTCATTTATTTATTCAATATTCAAAAATACTTAACATATCGATTAGTGAAATGTTTTATGTAAATTTAATTGCGAAAAATTTCTTTTATATCAGAAAAATAAAATTCTAGGAATAAAAATTATTCTTTGAAAGGATGGGAAAAAATTCGAGGTTTACTGAAATTCTGACATGGAATAAAAATGCCAACGTAAAAGCTTTTGGAGTATTTAAATGCCTTTTGGCTGTATCAAATAGTTAATACTCACGTTGTAACTCTTTGGGGTTCTTCGATGTCAATATCGATCTCATCGCTGGCAGCCTCTGTCACTGAACTCGTTTGTGATGTGAATAAGCTACCCCTAGAAATAGGAAATACGCTACTCATCATTGGATTCAAAACTGTTTCTTTGTTCATATTTAACGCCGTCTAGAGTGAGTAGTTTGATGAAACAGGTACCTACTTGTTTCAAGTATCATTGAGTTAATGTTCGTTCAATCAATTGACAAGCATTAATCACAAAGCACTCACTCTAGAAAAGCTCGTGAGACAATGGGAAGTACTTGAACAAATAAACTTAAAAGCTTTTGAATTAATCTGTCCACTAGCTTTTAAAGGTATAATAAAAAAAAGCAACTCACCGATTGTCTCTTCTAGCTCTGTTAGGCGTTCCGGCTTTGGGTTCTTCCATATAAAAAACTACATCTCCCTCGTTGTCAATTCGTTGGCTATCTGTTTGTCCAGCAGTACCACTAGATGCTGTGACAGGAGGCAAAGCTGGTATCTGCTGCTGTTGACCTTGGACCTCCATTCGATTACGTGACTTTCGACGTTTCAGCACACTCGCCTTTTTTGCCACCTGAATCATCAGAGACTGAACCCCCGGTGCCCTCCCATTACAACACGTCGAACACAACATGCACTAGTCTACTTCCATTTTCTAAAGATTTTTCTTCCAGTAATCACTGATGACTTCCCTCCCTCAATAAGCCCTTCAATTTTCCCTTAGTAACAGGACACTATTTACCCCACGTAACCCCAATTCGATCGATGCGATGAACTTAATTACTTAATGAAAAAAGCACTTAATTTTTTATTTTCATTTATTAGAATGAAAATTGTTTCTTCCACTAATTTACGTTAGTAAATATTAATGTTTCAATTAATTCTATACTTGAACACTATGAAAAAAGCAGATTGTGAAATTTCAACACTGCATTCATCGCATGGTTTAGCGTGCATTGAGAGTAGGGTAAGTTTCCTGTTACATAGCGGAAAATCCGTTTTGCTTTTCATCTTCTTTGTTCTAAATCTGGCTAGCCGGTTAGATGTTACACATAGAAAATATAGGCTGATATAAATGCACTACACAATATTAATAATTCATGCACATGCAGCAATAGCAAATCCTTCGAACTAAATACTTCAAAGCAACGTAGACATATATTGACATTAGTTTATAATCGCAACAATTCAACAGAAATAAATGTGCCGAAATAACTTAAAATAGTTTCTTAATCATTCAAACTATAACTTTCTGTTTGCATTATACAGTAAATAATATTTGAAGCATAACAATATTGACACTATAGTTCTACTACATGAAGAAAAAAAATATTCTTCTGCTACAATAGATCTGAAATCCATTTCTGCGCTAGGTTTGATTTTCATGGTATTCACAGAAAAGAACTGTAGAAACCCTATACAATATATGCTGACCAGATTGATGGACTTTTTTACTGTTGTATTTCCAGACTCAATTTTCTTCATCGATAGATTTTCTCAAAAAATTACAACTTTTGTCAAAAGAGATTATTAATCTATTACAGCAGAAGAATATTTTTTCTTTTTACTTTCTAAATTAAAAAAATCATCATTCATCATATTAGATTACGACTATTATTAATTTTCATTAAAATGGGTTTTTATAAATATTAAAAGTGTACATCATGACGCGTTGGTTTATGGCCCTCTCTTGTTCTAAATCCTCTTTGCAACATTAACAGACATTAGATTCGCATTCAATTCACAAACGTACATATATGTTGATTTCATTCGCCAGTCATCACATAAAACATAGATTATACTTCAACTACTACTAATACTTCTAGTAGGATACCAAGTATTTATAACTTTTCTATTACCATCACAATGAAAATAATAACAGTAATAACAAAAATACAAATATCTATTATAATAATAATGCTACAGTATTGTTTATAATCATCATGTATTGAAAGATAATTGTTATTATGAGCTATTCCTATTTATAGATACTCATAACTAGAAATGAACATACTTCATTTTTCAAATATACATATATTTTACTCTTAGTTTGAATCTCTTATGACAAGAGAGGACCATAACTGTCATTTGAAACTATAGGTGAATATTGTTGAAAGAGTATATTCCGTTCTATCTATATGTGGGCGTTTTATTGTCAGATAAATAACAATTATTTCAAATGATGAATATTATTGGTTCAATATGTGGGCGTCCTAGTAACATTTTTGAAATGAAAATTGATCTACATCGATAAAAATGTTTATGCATCAGAAAATTTTAATAGTGAATTATTTCTAATTATTTTTTGTGTACCTATTGTATTAATTAATTTTTGATAAAATAATAAACTTGTATATTGATGTTTTGATAAAATTTTTAATTTGTAATTGATTAAATAATTGCAGATTGTTAACAAGTTATATGTGTTTTATTTTATGTGTTATAGTATTAAAGTGTTTAGAAGGTATTATATAGAATAAAACATGCATTAGAGACTGAAAAATTCAAATAATCTAAACCATTTACATACCATCTTCTTTACACAAATCAACTGAAATACATTACGGTTGTTTTATCAATGTTGGCCTACCATAAACTTTTGAGGTAGGTAATAAATTCATAATTAAAACTATATCGTTAAACCTGGCTCAGAGACTTATAATTTTCTGTATGTGGTGAAAGGATCTAATGGATTTCACAAGTAAACGTAAGAAAGCTATCATTAAAGTTGTAACTGAGTATTTATAAATCTCCTTTCATTTCTTTGATATTATATCGTATTAGTAACCACACAAAGCACTGAGTTTTCTACTCTGAGCCGGGTAACATCGATGTTGAAGCAAAAAGAGACCTACTAAAAAGTTCCTGATGCAATAACTTATGTTAAAGTTTTGATAAAGTACTTTTGCAACTGTTATCATTAATTATTTTATACAAAAAAGATTCAGGTTTATTGAAAAGAAAGACCGACCATTGTTTTAATATAAAATTTTAATAATGATCGAAAATATTTTAATATATAAATATTTGAAATTATAGCTGGAAGAGCTTTTCAATCAACGGTCTTTATGCAATTTACTTTTTTCCATGATAAAACTAATTATTTTGAACAAATACTCATGACGAAATTGGAAATTAATTAATTGATTATTAAACATTTATTTTCATTTTATTTTATTTTTCTATTAATAGAATAATAGACAGTATAAAATGAATGTTTTTTCATTCATACTGTACGAGAAACCATTTATAATTGATTTTATTTCATCTACAAATTTGCCTGTGGCTAAGAAAAAAAATTCAAAGTGCACATTTAATTTTTTGATTGGCAAAAAAAAATAATATATTGGAAAAATGATAACTATATCATTTTTTTAATTTTTGGCCTTTTTCATAATCTAAAAGGAATGGGGAGGGGTGAAATGTAGTTAATAATATTTATTCAACTTGGAAAATTTTCTTAGCCTGCAAAAGCTGGCTCATCAAAAATGCTCATCAGATTTGCAAGTGCGGTCAAAATTGAGTAAATAACGATCACGATAGGACACGCACTTTGGGTTATTCAACTAAGGTTTTTTTCCATGGCAAAAAACAGCATTTTTTTTTGTTACCAACGTTCAAGAACATCAGAAGCAACTAATAACATTGACAGTCAACAGCTAACGTCTACTTGAGGAATGAGTATTAACTGAGTGCTCACCTTTCCAAGTGGTGTTGAGGGTTGACCGGCAGGGGCTGGATCTTTTATGTAAATATTCCACGTTGCTACACTGTTGATGGCTTTGTCTGCGGCATAACAACGCCATAGACATTGGATCAACATAGCAGCCGCTGGTATCTGTCGGTTAAAATGCTTTTGACGTTGTTTTTGTTGCACTTTCAGCGCAAAACCAGAACCGAGTATTCCCTGAAAAATATTTCTTGTAAGTGACTTTCTATTTATAACATTAAGCCGAAGATAAACAAGAAATTCATAATTTTAACTTTAAATTGAATATTTTCTATGGAGTTTACAAACAAGTTTAAGAAAATTTTGTGTATGTTATCAAAACTACTCCGTCAATCTTTTGTTTAACTACTCATTCTCCTAAACTGAAACTTAATATTAGTCCACCAACGTTTATATTTGCCCGCATGAAGAACTTTCAGAAAGTTCATAATGTCTGTGAACCTCGTCGTCATGATGACGCGTATCGAATATTCGATGACATGTAGGTCGCAAATATTTTAACAATTTTTTACAATTATTATGTAAAATTATTTATTATGATTATCAATACTTTTTTTTAATAATTTTCAAAATTATACGTAATGGAAGAATATGTAATGGTAACTTACTGCCGGAAGTGCGAAAAATGATATGGCGAATACGCTGAAACATGATGCCACAATTTTCCCCATCCATGTTTGTGGCACTGTGTCACCATATCCTATTGTGGTCACAGTAATCTAAAAATAAATTAAAAAATTAATACAAGAAAACACCGTAACATATCTCAATCAAATTACTATCAATTAATTTATGATATTAAATAAATATTAGAATTTCTGAAGAAACCTAACTTTACATTTACCATAGAACTTTAAACATTATTTACGCTTTTTATATGAACATAAATTAATTTCCTTAGCTTAAAAAATATTTTTAAAAAATGTAGAAACATAATTACAAGTATGGTTTATTTCATAATTAAAAAAAAAAAATTCAACAAGAAACCAAACATCAAGAATGAACGCAATTAAAAAACCAATAAGCAATATCGTAAGAAAATATTAGTTTAACTTAGAAATACACAAAATAATTGTATACTAATGATTTGTGCCATATCCAGTCTTTAATTAACTTAATAATGCAGCAGTATAATGATGCTGATTGTTACAGTGGTGTTCCCAATTTGGACTAATATTATCCAAATACATCTATGTACAACACATACATCCTTAGTGAAACAAAGATTGGTCCATTCCTAGTTCAGAATTGGGCCAATGTATTTAGGCATGGTCCAATGTTGGTCCAGATGGACCAGTCTTTGTTTCAACTAAGGATAAACAGCTATCATAGAAATAGATATGTATTGTCCAGAAGGTATCAATATCCAGAATTCTCATGATGAATGCATCTCACATATTGACACGGGATTGTCTAGAATTATCCGTTTATCAAGTTTCAAGCATATACGATACGTTAAGATAATTATATTCAATTTATAATGTCAATTAGATTCAACAATGAAATTTTAGTCTAATCAATAATAATTAAATACGTACCACACCCCACCACAGAGCATCTGCATAGCTTGAAAAATCTGTTTTTCCGTCAGGTCCAACGGCATCTTTTTCAGCAAGATAAACGAAATAACTGCTAAAAATAAGACCTAGGAATCCTATGTACAGGGTTGTAATTAATTCCTAAAACAAACAGAAATAAAATATTTTCATATTATTTAATAGCTTTTAAGTATATTTTTTCTGTAATTGCACATTCTAATTGAACTTGTATTTTTTCTGCTTGGTATTTTTTGCTAAAATATAACTATAAAAACAGATTGCATGTAATTGCTCTGACATTATTATAGTATATTATATCTTCGTAAAACTAAATTTATAATAGTTTTTAAACCATTCCGTAATTACAGTTCATAAAAGATATGAATCAAATTTTATTTCCGATCCACAAGTTTAACCAATTATTTATTAAATTATGAAAAACGTAATTTATTTTTTTATAATATGAACATTTCGAAGCTTAAAATCCTTTAGGGCTTATGTATTTATTTTCAAATAATTTAAATTCTCATTAAAACAAAATTACTATTGATATAAATTTTGAAAAAGACTATTGTATTCAGTTTTACTTCAAATAAAATTTATAATATATTGTTATATCTTGAAGATAGCCCGTGGCTATTTTTGAGTTCATAAATTTTTTTCAACGAATTTTTTTTTACTGCCGATTTTAAAATTAAACTTTTCAACAAAAAAAAAAAAAAAAAGAATTAAAAAGTTTCTTCAAATAACATAGAACGTCGAAAATAGTAATAGACAATTATCGATTTAGAAAAAGATGATTTTTTTCAACAAAGTTAAATTAAAATGTCCTGAAACTTGCAGATTGACTTCTGAAAATATAAGCTGTTTGTAAATAGATAAAACAAACTAAAATTTTTTTCTCATCGGATTTATGAAGTTACACTGCACCTGACGATGAATAAACACAACAGAACCAAGTAACCGCCAGGTTCCCCCTTGACGATCGACATGAAGCATTCGTAAAATTTGCAGGAAGCGGATACCGCGGATTGCAGAGGTCGCGAAAACTTGTCCATTGCTTCCAACTGACAGCACAACCATCGACGCCACGACAACGATTAAATCTGCAATGGAAATCACATCATTGATCCACATCATAAAACACGATGAAAGTCTATTACTTTTCAGCAAAGACAAAAAAGTATGAAATCAAATCATAGTTTTAAAAAAACGGTCGAACATTCAATATAAAATCACAGAGTTAAGTCATAAAAGTTTCAAGATTACTGTCCGTAATACATGAGATAAAAATTCTATAGTGTCCTCTAGTGTGCCAATAATATTTCAACTTCTTTACACTGACAGAAGACATCGAGGATGTGAATCCTCTAGAGAAAAACGAAAAGAAACGTTTCCTGATAGTTGACATTTTGGCGTCATTCTATAACAGTCTCTAGACCCTGTTTTGTATTTGTAAAAATATAACCATCTATAGCCAAACTCTGTATTCTAAAATAGATATTAAAATTATACTTCCAGGTGGGTCCAACTATTTGAAATGTTCTTCAATAAATAATCATACATTTCTAAGCAAAACTAGTAAGTTTTATTTTTACTATTCTCTGTCATGAAATAAAAATACACATGTACAAAAGTTTGAAAAAGATAAATTATTCTAGATATTTACCTATTATACATATTGGTTTTCGTATGAATCGAAACCGTCCGCAACATCCCATGTACTTTGATCTACATCCAGCACTCCACAATCTCACCAAATATTCAACACCAAAGAACACCACCAAACATATTTCCTGTGAAAAATATAACGAAGACAATTATCAACAATATCATTTCATAGACATAGAATCAAATATAATTAAAGTATCCATACAATCTATTTCTTCATGTAGTTAAAATGTAAAAATAGATTATTTTTTTATATTCATTGTTAAAAAAGAATGATATTTATTCTAGTCTATCTTTATGCCCCAAAAATCAATTTCCCTTTCTGATAGTCTTCTTTTTTTGCTTTTTATCATTTCAGTTGTGATATAAAAACACTGACATAGAAATGAAAATGACTCTACTTAATTTCTATGAACGTTTGGATAACGATATATCAGAAGGTCAAAAAGTCTCTAGGAAAATATCTGTTCGTTTATTTAGTTGTCATTTACACCACAGACATAATGACTTACGAATTCGTGATTCTACATGAGTTCATTTCTTCGATAAATATATTTTTCGATGTTACAATCAAAAGGTCTAAATTTATCTTAATGACTACTTATCAGAACCAGAAAACATTTTAGTTGTTGAATAGCGGAATTGGATGAAAGTCAATAAATATCAAGTTATCTTAGTACATTTAATAAATTTCTTCTTCGATATCATTTTTAACTCCAAATTCTTATTGATAAACATATTAAAAAACTAATTACGAAACATGAAAAACATGATATAAGGAAATTTATAATAAGGATTTACCAACTTTACATTCATGTTCGCGATTTTTTTTTAAATTTTCTATATACTTCAATTTATGCATAAGCGTTCAGTCTACAGAAATTAATTACATGGTTAGAATTTTCTAATAATCCTGGTAAAAAAAAAGGAAATTGAATGATTAAAAAAATTGATGATGATGTTTATTTGATCTCTTTTTATGAGAACAGCCCTTGAATAGCATATTGACAAATAACTTTCATGATTTAATTATGGGTTGACTAATTTGATGCAAACAAACGTTGCAGAATATTGATTATTCTAAAACAAACACAGTGCAATATTGATGAATTGTTAATGTACTTATGAGAAGTCTAGTATAGACAGAAAAATCTTATCATATTAACTTCACGTAAATGTCACATATATCAAGTTTAATCATAAACTTTGAAATATGGACTGTGAAAAGAGTATATGTGTGCAAAAGAGAACTTAGAGTTCTAGCAATGTCACTTGCACTTGGAGTAAAAATTGATTAATTAGTGAGGATCCTCTACTTTACTACATTCTATGAACTTCTCTAGCAATAGACTTCTTTTAGTGAGCAAAGAGAACATAAGAGCAAAGAATTTATAAGAATACACATATATTTACACACAGTAAAGAATTGGAAAGTAAATATACATGCATTTGCCTGCAGAAATTTTATATTGTAAAAGAGAATCTGAGATAGATTCTTTTCTTGAAAACTCCAAATTGATAACTGGATTTTCTGGAATTTTTTTCTATTTCTATAATGTCAATTATTTATTCCATGTATGTCGGAAAAATATTATAAAATATGAAAAATAAAAAATTTCAGAGTTACAATTTAAAATAGAATTGAAATTTTTGAAAAATAATAACTTACCATCCAAAATAAAGTTTCATTAGCAAATGTACTGTATTGCTCTATCGTAGACAAAACACTAAATATGAGGCACACCAATACCACCATGAACCTGAAATAAAAATTTGACATCTGTTAAAAATGGAATATAATAGCAGTATAAAACTGATTCTACTCTATGAATTTAAAAGTAGATAAAAGATTAGAACCCAGTTTCAATTTATTTATGTGCTCTTCATTTTTTTCCAGTATAACAAAATTTATTACTCAAAGATATATAAATATACTCAAGTAAACGTAAAGAGAAAAGTCATTTAAATTGTTAGCACGTACAAATGATTTGTAGCGTACTCACAGCATATTGAAGAAGATAGAAGTATCTAGAAAAGGTCGGTGGTAAAGCTTATCAAAACATAATAAGCTTGTGTGTGATTGCTGTATGTAAATGGAGAATGTCAAGCTGATTAATTCCTTAGAGAAATGAACTAGTGTATATAAGATTGGAAAATTGTACATTGGAGAATTTGTAAGACAAGTATTAGGTATATCATTAAAAGCAGGGTAAATTTCATCTTTAATTTGATACCGTCGATGTTTTTATGCTTTTGTGAACATGAAAATCCACAAAGTAGATTCATAGCGAGCTATAATTCTATAGCAATTATCCAGGATGTTAAATTCATTCTAGTAGGAAAGAAAAAAGAGAGGATAAGAAAATAAATTGGTAACTTCCGACATTCTTAAAGTACGGCACTGATTAAATTCTAGTTAACTGAAGTGTTTTGTAGGATGGAAAGCTTCACACATCCTATTTGAGCTATTTATCGAGACATGCACTCCATTTTACATGTCACTTCTACTGAGAAAAATGCCTCGTCGCTATCGTTTAGCGTGATGGAGTTAACGAATAGAAGTTGAACACAACTAATCAACCATAAAGGAAACCCACTCTCATTCTCTTTTCGCGGGATGGCGTGCCAAGGTTCCATAATTTTTGTTTTACTTCAACTAGTACCTGTCGAGCTCGTGGGTCACCTTCGTCGACCTACTATGGGATAATTGTCTTTGTTTCACCCAACCTTTTTTTTTTTTAGAACCATACCTCAACTTTCTCAATAGTTTTACAGAATCTGCGTTAATTAAGGGCTGAAAATCGGAGAGAAAAATTTTGATAATAAAAAATTTTTTAATTAAGAATGAAAAATTGGAAATTCAGGAACTCGACAAATTTTTATTGTTTGAAAAATTCAACTAAATGTACAATTCTCTATTGATTCGTCATGAAACCAAATCCTGAAACTGAATTCGTCAACGGATACAGCAAACGTGGTTAAAGGGAAATTGGAGTTTTGGATTCGGAAAATAGACTATATGTTGAAAATATCGGATTTATATGAAGCTATGTGTACGTTATCACACTCAAGTTTGAAAAAGTCTGCAATTATTTTTCCATGACAGATACATACGGCAATACTGTTATACTAAATAATCAATGCTGGAAGAAATCATTTCAGAGATTTCATTGGTGATAAATTTATCATTATCGTTAATCACTTGATTTCTAAATGAGCAATCAACTTACCAAACCATTTAAAATTTAATAGAAGTGTAAATAAATACTTGTACTCTCATTAGTTCTTCAATTTCATCGTTAGTTTACTTTAGTTTCTTTACAGTTTTATCATCAGCTTTGAAATATCGAGAAAATAATTAATCAAAAAATATATTAAATAAGCAAGAGAAATAATTAAAATTTTGTAGAAAATATTTAACTGTTCAAATTATTGTAAATAAATTTTCCATAAAGGAATTGAAATTAACATTGAATAATTAAATATTTTTTCATACGTTACCGAATGATTGAAATATAATTTATTTCCGAATTACTTTGGAACACACAGACATTTCACAATTCACTGCATTTATCAATAGAACTCAATCGTTTATGTCTTTATTTTATTAACATTAAAATTATAGCGAAATTCTTTATATAAATAAATATTGAAACAATAAATTTCATAATAAATTTTATTGATTTCTTTTTAAAAAAGTTCAAAGGAAGAATAACAAAGAGTGAAAAATAAAATTTATTTAAAAAAAAATTCACAAAGACACGAATAGTTTAAGGAATTTTCTCCAAATAAGTCATCTGAAAAATGATAAAATTAGTATCGCATTTATAATACTTTGAAGTTATGGAAAATGTATGTTGATGTAGGTTAGACAAAGTAGAGTAAATATTAATGCTTATCATAAGAAAATTGCCACAGGAGTTGCAACATGAATTGATTTTTCTTAGTTATGCCATTGTTTGCATTTTAATACGACAAATATATTATACTATGGTATGATGAATAACAGCTGCGGGAGATAATTGTCAAAATATGCTTGGATTGGTGATTTTACATAGTCATGCATGTTAAATTAATCACTCAATTAAGTCTTGTTAGGTCATTGATTAATTAATAAATAACGTAGTTGATGCATCAGTTAAATACAAATAATGCTGATAAACAATTATTCATCGTTAGTAGAAAAGGTTATTAAAGGATATTCATCAATTTTTTATATCTGCCTACCCAAAAATATTATTATTTAACAAATGCAATTATTTTTGTTGATCAAACTGAAAAATTCAATCTATCTTTATAAACCTGTGAATAGATTTTTATGAATATAAAAAAATTATCACGAAAAAGGTCACAAATACTTACACGGTAAAATGATAGACGAAGCAAATCCATCCACCAGGATGTTCTAGGAAAACGTAAAGTCTTTCTTGAAAAGTCTTGCCCTTTTTGTGATGAAATACGTATTTCGCTTTGAAAGCCTGATCAATTGGTAAATAGATTGGATAATAAGGATCAGGAACACCAGCCTGAACAGGAATTGGTGTCTCTTCTTCCTCTTCTTCACCCCCTACATCATTCACGTCTCTGTTGATGATATCATCTTTACTTTTTTTACGTCGATGCTTCCTTTTCATTGGCGTAGGCACCCTTTTATGGTGTGCCTCGCCAAATCTCGGTGATCGAAATCGTCGTAAGAAAGTAAACTTCCTTGGTGGTTCATCAGCAGTATTCCCGTTATCAGTATCCTCAGTTTCACTGCCTGGGGTCTTTAATGCTAAATCTTCAGATTCACCAGCAACAAGCTCATCTTCACTTCCATGGAGAGCTGCATAAGCTGCTGCTGCACTGTATCGTTTTTCTGATAACCTTGCACTCTGTTCTTTTGTGTTTGGAAGACTTTCGTTGTAAGCGTGATCTAGGAATTTATTTTGTTTTTCCTTTTTTATAGTATCATTGTAGATGTATACTTTGTAAAAAAGTTTTTTGAAATCAAAACATTGCAGTGAACTTTAACTTGAATGAATTTTTTATCAAGCAATTGAATTTTTTTTAATCGAAATTCTCAAGCAAAAATGCTAAAGGTCAATCACTACTTTTTTTATTTTTTACAATTCATATGCATACGTATATGAAAAATATTAAACTGAATCGCAAATTTTATATTGAAAAACTAAGCACATAAGAAAAATTTTTATTCCCCGGAGAAATATCTTACCGAAATGTCTATTTACCCTACCTAGCTTTTCTTACTGAATTTTAAAAGATAGCATTTCATTCAAACTAAATATTGAATTGGATTCTGTCGTAACATATCGACATTACAAACCTAATCTCAAGAGAAAAGCAATAAGATATATATTAGATTTTTTTTTATTATTCTAAACAAATATATTTCTCTGACCACCTGAATCAATTCCAACTCTCAGAGGTGTTTCGTCTAAACTACAATATCTGTAAAATAAACTGTTACCACCGAGTACTATTGATAGAACAAAAATCAACAAGATAATTAATATAACTTCAGTAACAATGGAGTATCAACAACTTGGAGAAACTTGACACGAAAACTCATTGAGGTTGAGCTTCTGATAAAATTCAGCTGAAATCTTGTTTGAATTATTTAAATTGACGCAATCAGAAACTGTGTAAGCCATGAAATGAAGTTTAGAAATTTCATCAAGTTCTTCTTAAGAAGGAGACATTGTAATCATTTTGGTAGATCTTTTCAACTTGGACTAGAAATGCACTTCGACATTTGCAGATGTAGAAAGAAGCTAAATAACAATTCAACTGACCCGTGTTATTTATAAATACTGATAATGTCTATTGAGTCTGACTTTAAGAATCAATTTATCCTTATACCCAATGAGAAAAGTAAAAATAGAAATTATAACAATTAATATTGATTTTAAAACAACCACCTATTTCAAATATTGTAAAGTGCGCTTGAATAATACATTCTCTTCTTATATGACAGATATATACATTTCGATTTGTTACTAAAAATATCTATCTTTAAATACAATTATCATTATTAAGTATTATGAGAGCATAACAATAAATACATTTTCCATTTGGGTCACAATAGTAGATATGAACAAATACCAATAAGTATTCAATAATAGAGTAATGTTTTTTCATATAACTCTACAACGTTTATGTTTAACACGACAATGGAGATATTTATTATATTACATTTACAATAAAATGCAATAAGGTAATAAATATATTACAAGACAAATACATGACAACTAATCATAGTATATGAGATTAATATTTTGTTATATCCGGTAAATAATAGACATAGAAAAATATCATCGATGAGAACAAAGGAACAAAGCAAAAATGAATCGGAACTGCATCATCTCCTTATTCAAGATACGAAACCGGATAAAACGTTTGTTCGTGGTCGAGGTTGTCGGATCTGTAAATTAAGAGATAGGAGAATTTCTAACGATAAAACAAGACTACCAGAAAATGTTGAAGACGATGAAGTTTATAATTGCAAAGAAACTCGAAATTAACGAGATGCGGCCAAGTTGACAAGACACTAGATTAAACTGTTCAGTAAATATAGCTGGATTAGGTTTAATAGCAAAAATAATTGAAACGTAGAAAATTGGTATTTGGATTATCAACGAATCGTTGATAAATAGTACCGTCTGAGAAGAGTTTTTTTTTATTATAAACCGCTATTTTTAACTCATTAATAACACATTAACATTTAATATAAAAAACTAAAGAGTATTTTATCATGTTGAAAATAAATAGCATTAAAACGATTAACTACAGAAAATTAGATGTAAAATTTTATTATTTAATATTATATTTATACAGCATATGTATTAATATTTATGTTTCAATAAAACCCTATATTTCATGAAATGAATAAACATATTAACGATAAAAGAAACATTAATAATGTAAATGTTATTCATATTATTAAACTACTTTCTCATATTAATAAATAATTTTACCTGTATTATCTACGTATACATGGTGTAGTTAAATTATTCAATGTGATATTAAACGTAAAAAATTATAGCTGAATCATTTATATTTATACATACTACATCAAAGTACATGGCTTTTATAAACCAATTGACTTAAATTGTAATAATGAAATAAAGACTGGTTCACCCTTCGATATTATTCTACAAATCATCGCTCGAAAATGCTTGTGGTCATGGTATTCATGACCTAGAATATTGAAAAGAACTATCAGAACGCTTTGGTTTATTTAATCTTTAATGTTTCATGATTTACACTTATTTAGAAGCAGTTAAGTGGAATGATTGTACTACTAGACTTACTAGTTCAAGAGCTAGCTGTTTCAATTGACCCACTCGTTGAGTCATACTACTGACATTCACCAAGATCAAACAAAATACTGTAATGCGACGATAATCATGCATCAAACGAAACTATCAGATTAATTTGAATATTGTAGCAACCTATTTCAATGATAATTCAAGTTATTTTACAAACAATGAGAGATAATGAAGAATGAAAATAGTTAAAAATATAGATAACTCCAGATAATATCATAAACAAGTATGCACTTTGAAGATAATTAACATGATTAGCTTCAATATTTTATTATTACTCGACAGTTGGAACTTTAAAACTAGATTACAGATAATTTGTTTCCTATATATTTTCCATGAAATCAATTGGTTCATATTATAATAAAACAAAAATAGCTTTCATAAAATTAACCTGCAGAAAATGACTGAAACTTTGTGAGGTCAATGCAATGTTTTGATTTCTTTGTGTCTTAAAATTTTAATTAAAGTAATTTAATTAAAAATTTTCTCATTGATAATTAATTAAAAATGATAAAATATTTTTAAAATCAAAAAATAGAGAAAATTGATAGGTATAATAATTTTTTTTTGATAACAGATTATTGATCGGGTCTTGAATACCTTGATGAGAACATCTTTTATGAGTTTGATGAGCTTGGCAATTGACGTGATGCTCCTGTGGGTTGTGTGAATAATGTGGGTGTAGAAATTGTTGTTGTTGCTGCTGCTGTTGTTGATTTATTGGTGATTTAAGTACACTGAGTACTAGATCTTCGCGTGATGGTACAATTCTCGTTAACTGTCTACTCTGTCTAAATAATGTCTCTTGCTCTCCTCGATTCATCCTGAATCGTGGACGATGAATAAATCCGGGATAAAGTTCGTGTCTACCACGTCCCGGTTCGCAACTTAGCATAACAGTTTGCAACATCCCGACGTCCACTTTCCCAGTCGTACCGCCACACTCAACATTTCGTGGCTGACGAGCGGGAACCACGTGAAGATAAGCTGAATCTTCATTGCTTTTGACTTTAGGACACTTAAACAATCTTTAAAAGTACACTTTGAAATATGTGTTTCAACTAGTCAAATATTTCTATCTTTGTCTAATGATAATCGTTCCGTCAATTTGAAACATCTGCTACTACTTCAACCCCTAACTTTAATACCGGAATATAACTTGCTGGGATTACTAGATAAATCTTTCCTTCGTCTTCGTTGAAGGTCAAGATGATTAGTCGACCTCGACCATACATTCGTTTGTGAAAGTCCGGACATAATGACCGGAAATAGTTATGGCAGTTTAAAATTTTTTTATGCAGTTTTTAAATATCAGTTTCTTTTTATAAAATTTAAAAATGATATCTAAAGAATATTTAAAGTCAAGTAAAACGTTTATCTTCAATTTTTAATATTTAATTATTTTATCTTTGATTCCTTTTGGTTTGGGACACTTAAAAAGTGACTATTCTATTCTTATTACTAACACCAGAAATTGCCAATAATTCTGCACTCATGTTTAATACACTTTCCATCGACTTGTCACTGTCTTCCTCTACATTTATTTTCACTACTCGTTATTCACTGATATACTCACAGCACTATTCTGAATGCTACGTCAGACTCTCACCTCAAAACTTTCTTGAACAACTCACACCCGACAATAAAGCGGGAGAATCGTAGTTGTGTTATTGGCATTCTCACTGAATAATATTTCTCGGACTGATCCAAATATTGATATGATTTCATCAATTATTGCATTGAGTATAATTGAGTCTTTTTAACTAAATTATCTTCTATGAAAATTCGTGTACACTTTTATTTAGATATCATTATTATTTTCTTGATATTTTAGTCATTTAATAAATTTTATCACTTAAGTCTCTTATAAATATCACCAATCTAAGAGAAAATGTTTTTCATTTTTGTTTTAGTATGAAAATCAATTGTTTCCTTTGTTTAGTACTGGTAGATAGAATTATAACAGATCATAACAAAAAGCCTATTATGTTTTCTAGAATAATTAAGTACTTACATTAATCAGTAGCTAACCAAATGCACTTTTAAGATTGCTTTAAATATTTATTGCTTTAGGGGTGACATTGAATCACAGAAGTTTTTTTAATTAACCGTTCTCAATATTCTCTTCTTAAATAATTAACCAACTCAGTAAAACTTTTCACTAGATTTTTCTTTAAAAACAAAAGCTTTTGGTAAAATTTATGATAGACAAAGAAACATTTTTAATACATTCACAACCAGCAAATGCTAAGGTGAACTCAGCATATATGAATGCTTAAACGGGAATCAGCGCAGACGGTAAAGTATGAATTTGATGAGCATCCTTTGACCTTTCCGATAAACACATCTCTTATGACATAAAACTGACATTTATCCTGGTTTTAAATTGAAATCTTGATAATCTCTTTTACGTATTGTCATACATTTTTATTATTTATTGCCATAAAATGGCCTAAAACCCACTTAAATAAATGTATACTAGCCCCACAAGTATTGAGAATTGGAAATAAGAGTAGCTACGATCTTTACAGGTTGAAAGCCCGCAACCAACTGTGGCTCAAAGCCGCTGTGTAGTTTCGCCCTCTACCGCAACGCTAAAGGGGTGCTTTGCGACGCCTTGGGCTTTAGTAATGCGTCATTATAGTCCGTTAACTGGCAACGAACTTTCTTTGTCTTTATTCTATTGGAAATACATATCATTGAACGAGACATATGATTTAAAGACCTATGGAAGATGCTCGGATCAATGCCCAATTGCCTCAGGTGATTATAGTCCAGTATGTATAGTCAAAGAAAAAAACTTCCTTTTCATTTTATGCTTATTCTTCTCTACTAATTTTTTTTAATCCTACATGATCCACATTCATCTAAACCTTACCATGGAAGCTCTTAATTTCACCATTTCGCTATTTCACATTTTATTTTTGGGTTTGTCTAAAAATTTTCTTTACACACATTTAGTACCTATTTTTACGCGTATTGAATTGTCCATCTTTTGATGAATACTCTAGCATTATAAGCAACAAAAAAAAACCTCGTGTTGCAAGGCCGATTTATTCCATTTCAGTCTCGTGTGCCTTAAGTAAAGTTTAATGGGGTGAGATCGACCTACAAGCTTTTTACATGTGGCATTTTTAAAAACCTTACGCTCTAGTACTTATATTTTTCTATATTGTACTTCTTTTGTACAACTACATGCTTTGTAACTATCATTTCAGTTAGGCGAAACTAAAATCTTTTTTCTTTTATTTGTTTTCTACACGCTTCGTAGAAAGAAAATTTTATCCATGTATATATATATATATATATATATATATATACAGCATTAAAATTATTTTTTTATGTACAGAAAAATAAATTTTCACTATTTTTAACCACTTAAAAGAACAAGTTATAAAAGTTTCCAAATATGATCAAATAATAGAAAAAAAAACAAGCTTTATTGTTTTATTTCACCACTGAAAAATTCAATTACAAAAAATAACACGCAAAATATTAATCTACACTTCCGGTCAAAAACACTTAGAGTTATTACTTGGAAGATTGTTGAGATTAAGAAAATGGAAGTGTGACATTATTTATGGCTTTTAATTTCTACAACTTGGATTTCTTGATGAATAATGAATGGAAAAATGCTTAAATACATATCCGTACATCTCAATCTTACTTTCTCCTCACAATCATTACATGACGTGAGAATTTTAAGATTAATAACTCCCTCATAACTTGTCAACAACATGATAAAAATCAGACCAGTAAAGTTAAACGATTTCATGCCTGTTTTACTAACTTACAGTATGTGCATGTGCTTTTGACATTTTGACAAGAATCTAGATCGTAACTTCTTGAATAATTTCCGTGATACACAAAAAATGCATTCGGCATCAACAACATATGTAAAATGATTCATTAATTAATAGTTACTGTAATCTCTGATTACAGATTTATCAATTAATCTATTTTTAAACGACAAAAAAGTGCGATGAAATAAAGTTACCAACTGAAATTGAATTTATTACAAACTACTGGTACTTGAGTAAAACTGTAACAATTCTATAAACTTTTTTCGTACTCCGGAATGTATACTATATAACCATGAATTTTCAAGTTAACCAAGTACAAACCACTACTACTTTTTAGAACAGTTAAAACCACATTCAAAAACTTTTTACCACTTTTATATTTGAGGTGGCATATATCTATATCAAACGATAATACAAGCTAGACCTCTTGGAGTTGAAGATGAACTTTTCTTCTTATAATATACTCCAAGGAGGTAAGTGAAGCATGATAACTAGCCTCTCTGTTCAACAAGATCCTCCCCAGAATGTCTTTTCGCATATCTATTTTCTCCACGCAATGTTATCCACTTCACCAAATTGTTTGTTAAAGAAGGGAGAGAAAAAGACAAGTAAAAAAATGGGACAGAGATAAATAGAAATGAAAAAAAATTGAATAAAAAAATCCCTCGGGGCAGACTAAAGGGTACTTTGTGGAAAAAACGACACTTGATTTAGGAAATATAATATGCTCAATGCTTCCAACTTCTTTCTTTTCTTCCTAACTGCCATCAAGAGTTATATGTCTCTTGTCATAATTGAGTATATGCAAGGGTCAAAAAGTTTGTTATGAAATGCTAAATACCTTCCGACATGCGGCCCCTCGCTCTATTTATGGAAACGATCGATGGCGCATGGTAGAGAGACGTTTATGCATCGTTGCCCGCGTCAATTTTGTTTTTCTATTTAGAGTCTACGAGCTTTATTACCTTGACGAATTTTCACCCCTCAGAAACGTTCATTTCATAACATACACTTTCTTTTAAAGTGGTATACCCTTTGAACGCGACGAGACGTTTAATAATTTCATACGATAGGAGGTGTGAAGGTATTTTCAAAATGTTTCCCAAAAAGTAGGTTAAAAGGTGCGAATATGGACTACCAAGTTTTGAATAGGTTGGTTCTATATCTCACTGATCAAAGAATTTGAATGCATACCGTTTTTCATGTTTCGTTTTATCGTTGATAAAATGAAATTTATGAATTCATTAGAATTTGGATTTCCAAAACAAATATTTATCTACTAAAGATTACATCATTGATATGAAATATCAAAATGATTGATATTTTATAAATTACATTAAAAATTCTCAAAAGCAAAATTCAAAATAATTACATGAATTCATTAGCAGATTTAAATTTTAATAATAATGTGGATTTGTCAAATGTACAGGAGAGCTTGAAATTATATTCAAAATATCTTCATAATTAAATTTTCATTTTAACATAAATAAAATATTTGAAAAAAACTACTGAATATTTTAATCATACATCCATTGTTTCCCATTTATTGAAAATTTAAAAAAAAAAATCGAATTTTCCAAACATCACCTTCATTAAAATACATTATTCTAATACAGTCTTTAATAAACACTCACAACAACTTTACTTTAAATAATTAAAAAACAATGAAATAATCATTTCAACTTTTAGTTACAAATAGAACTTTATGTTGAAAGAAACTAAATTCCATCAAAGGAAAAGTCTTTTTTTTTTCATAAGCGTTTTAAAACTTTTAATAACCTATGAATCCAGTTCAGTTCCAAGTATATTTTCACAAATTATGGAATTTAATTTGATTTAATAATATTTTTAACAATATTAAGCCGCAAAAATAACGAAAAGTCGATAATCCATTGTCTGACCAAGCATAGTATTTTCCACTTCAATTCTCACAACGATTCTGATCGCTCATGCATACATATGCCGAGTACATCAGGAGTCAAAAGCATCATTCTTTCGCCTCACGTCTTTAATGTATTGCATCAGCGATGGAGAAGAATTTACAGCTTTCTAGCACGCCATATAAGTGTTAGTTTATAGGTGAATAGGCAGAAAACAACTTTTGATTTGTTGAAATAAAATCAGACATAACATACTTGATGGGCAATTGATCTGTAAATTAATATATCAATGTTGATTTCAAATCAATCATGAATTAAGACTCATAATCCAAGCAATTTCTACAAATAATAAAAGAATAACAATGAACAAAAAAAAGTTATTGGAAGATTTACTTGGCAGCGTAAAACAAACGATTTTTTTATCAATATAAAATAGATAAATCAGGTGAACAACAATTTGACTTTCAAATTTTTTCTATGACCACCCAAGTTTGTTTATTGCAAAACGTATTACTCTAGAGACTGGAGTGAAAGAGAAAAGTAAACGAATGACGTAAATAAAGTAAAACAAGACGATGATAGAGTAGGCAGTGTTGAAGCTTCTATTCTAGCGTGACGGATGAAAAATCCGAATGTGAAAGAGACTATGCGAATACAACTGTCTGCTTTTTTTTATACTTGATAATGGCCCTGACCGCCTTCCATAAAAACTGTTTCCATCTGTTAATTTAATACAATATAAAATAACATTAATTAACAAACCAAATTAGAATATTTTTATTAGTTGATCTCGTTGGATTTACCTGAATTTAAATGTACTTCCGTGAGGCAGATTATCTTAAAAGTTGACCTCATTTTTAACAAAAATTTTTCCTTTTACGCTCTCCTGAGACTTAATACTTATTTATTTATGAAGAAAATTAATCTTTGAATTATTTATGATACTTTAAGAATCTCAAAGAACCATCAGAGTTTTTTTATTTAATAATATATTCCAAATAAAAGCATTATCGATTTAATTACTTATTCCCTATTCTCATAAATATAAAATTAATCTAAAAAAATTGAAAGATATCAAAAACGAATAGAAATAATTTTTTTTAAATAAATAAATAACAAATAAAATAGCTTCAATTTAGGAGTTATCGTGACTAACAATCATTTCCATGTGTTAATTTCAGTGTAACGTATTCGAGTTCTTCGTTCCAATATTTTTAATTTATAAGATTACATGCAACTGTTCTAATTTTTTAATTAATTCAATAATAAAAGATATTCGAAAAAAAAATATTTATCTTTCGTGCTGATAGGTTATCTTAACCAATAATCACCATCAAGTATTTTAGGGTAAGAAACCCTACAAATATTTGGTAAGTAAATATGAAATATCTGTCATTGACCCTGAGATAAATTTACTATACATACTTATGAAAATGTCTAACGCATGACCTATATTGTCGGTGGTGTCTGGCAATAGAAAGGTAAAAAAGAATAAATATAAGGACGTACGACCCTCGCCTATCGCGTCAAACACATTGTTAAGATATAATACGTATATTTTACTCAGCTGGAGAATCGATATCAGTCGTCGGGTCGATATTTTATGGCAAGGCCGCTCTACGACCCTTCTACATTATTGATGTTACACGAATGCATTTATGAAACGTAATATTTAGCTGCGACTATATTAACTATCAACAGATGTCGAGTTGAATATGAGAAATGCTGTGTTATTCATCATCATCAGTCAACAGAATCGATAACTTTTCGAATCAATTTCATTTTACAGCTGCTGCTCTAATAGCTGTTAAAGTACTCAAGGAATGACTACTTAACGATTTCTACATTGAAAAGTAAAAATATTTTTACAAGTGTTCAGCAATTTTATTAAACGATATATTTTACTCATGAAAATTTGCATAAAACGATTCTCTCAAGTTTCGAAGGAAGATATAAAACAAGATATCTCCACAAGAATTTCTTCAACATTAAAAGCAGACAGCTTGAAGAGGTGATAAACTTTTTATTGGCTGGACATTCGTGGATAGAATATTGAAAGATGTCGTAAAATGATACACTAGATTTTTCTTTCAAAATTTTTCAGAAAAGTTCCTTGTATAAAATATAATTGAATTAAATTTATTGAAAAAAGCTATGTTCTATTCTTATTATTCAATTAACTTCTATAAAAAAAATTAAACAATCACCACAATTTTTCTTTCATTTAACAATAGATTTTTTTACCATGAACAACTAATTGTGTTCTAATATTATTAAATTTCACTTTCAATTGATTATGAAAAGTTGAGCATTCTGTTGATTTAATAAATATTTTAGCTCATATAAAATAAAGCTTTTCGGTAATTTTTAGGTTTTGTGATTCAAAAATGGGTTAAGAATTTATATTAAACAATAGAGTAGAAAACAATTTGAAAATTATTCTTCCAATAATGTATATATAATGTGAAAGAGAAAAAATCAATAAATAGTCGTGACGATGACTCTCTTTATTCTTTTCTCTTCATATTTTGTGAGCTAATTTTTTATACTTAGAAAAATAGTGTTTTTCACAATGACAACGTCCTTGAACTTTCCTAAAACGATTAATCGAACTCTTTATTATGAAGAACAACAAATCGGATAACGGTACCGTAAAAAGTTATTTAAAAAAAGAAAATAAGAAAAAAAAAATCGGGCATGAACTGCTTAATAACGATGCTGATAGTTGTAGCGTGATAAAATATTTAAATTAGTTTAACCCGAGATCATGCAATGTACGGAACAGGCACCTAATATTATCTAACCCTCGTAAAGTTATTTTCAATCTATACATAATATTTTCTTTTAACAACGACAAACAGAAAACTCAATGATGGACAAATGACATATTGCCAGCTTTCGATCAGAGTGAGAGAAAAATAGTACTGTATTTCTATTTGCATTTCTAAAGGCTTACTATGTATTTTTTTTTATCTAAGAACTTATCTTTTATTCAACAAAACATAATGAATAAATGTCACTGTTAAAATAAGTTTTCATACATGAAAGCAAAGCAGCTAAAAGAAATATAAGTACTTTTAAACCTAATTCATTTTGATAAATAAAGCGAGTAGATGCTTTATTAAATTGATCGTTTATATTGATATTATCTCATGAAACCTCCAATTCACTTCATTTTCATGTGTAATATTTCGTTTATTATCACATAATAATAGAATTCACCAGAGAATTATTAAAAAAATAAAGGATTAATTAAAATAATGATATAAAACCCTTTAAATACTGGGCTTATTACTATAGTTATATGAGCTTAAAGAGAACTAAATTTAGGTATATTGATTATTTTTAATTGATTCAAATATTAATATTTAACCAATACGTTTATAGCTCATAGCTTCAACTACAAATGAACTATCTTTAAATTTTTGTAATCAACACAATCATTTATTTAAACTAATTCGATTGATTTATATAATCTTTGTTTATATTCTTTGGTATTTTTTTATTTATAATAATCTATTTAATAATCTGGTGAAATTAAAATTAGATGATTTCGTTTTAAAATAACGTTGCTTTTGTAATCATACTTGATAAGTTCTGAGTAAAATATAATGTGAACACAATATGTACCGACTCAGTCAAGGAGTGAAGCTAGATATACGACCCGCCATCTGTTTGTTCAAACTTTAGGCTCTACTACTCGGACGTATTATGCATTCAACATATTCAATAATAACCACGAACATCTGATTTATCAATAGATTTAATAAATTTCAGATATATAACTAATATCCATTGAATTGATTATTATAAAATCAACTCAATATCAATTCGTTTGTTAAAATTAACTGAACTTCATTGAATTAAAGGATGAACAAAAACTAATAATAAAATGATAAATGAAACAGCTCTGTCAATTAACTTATATTTAGTTATGGGTTGTAGCTCAAATATTGAATATTTTTTACAAATTGGAAATATCATTTAGAAAAAATCAAAACCGAAATTTTTCAGGTCAACATGACAGAATATTTTCTGATGAAATCTTATCTTAAGCTGAATTCTATTGTTAATACGGCAATCGCGTGAAGTTTAAAATTTCGATTTTATCAAATGATATAAAAAATAGCTAATAACACTATTGTATGAAATTGCAGTGTATTATATGTCGATCAATGAGTTAATGTCTTTTTCATTGCTTCTGATGAGTTTAGTGTTTGAATATTGATTAGGAAAGAAAACGAAAGAGAAAGAGTTGTATATAACCTAACAAGATCTATATAGTCTTCATTGTACACGGAAATATAATTCTATGAACATTTCAATTGCACAAGAATTTCGAAAATATTTCCATATCCGGTAATATTCTAAGTAGTTCTCCATAGAATTCAAAGCCCAATTGCTGTAGAATAAACGACCAACTAGCCTTGGGCAAAGGAATGAGTGGAAGGAGACTTCTCTCAACCCGATTATAATGCTTTTTATGAGTGTGTAAACTTGTGTATACAATAAGTATATAATAGAGAAAATTTTGTGACCCCTCTGTAGTATCTTGTGTATTCTCATCAATCTTTTTCTTTGATAATATTAATAATGTTTCTTATTAACTGACATTAAAGATGGATTGTCCCATCAAAACGTGTGACAATCGATATTCTTTCAAAAGTGTACTTTAGAAAAGTCTGACTCCAACTTATAAAAATAATTCGAAAAAATAGTTTAAAGGGTATTGACTTACACAGAAAAGTGGTACAGGAAGCACTTCCAGCCAGTGGGTCGTTCCAGAAAATTATACACTTGACCTTGGAAAGTAGCTTTTCCAGCTCTCCGATGCTCCTTCACATGATATCGCCCTTCCCATGTATTGCGATCACCACTGACTGAAATCCCGCTTGAAACATTACCCAGCAGCAAGCGTGGATCTACACCTGCCAAAAAAAATTCATCAGTATACAATCATATATAAATCTCTCGAATATATGAAAAAATATAAAACTATGAAATCCATGAAAGTACATTTGGATGTAGTCATCAAATTTATTGAAAATAAATACCTCGTAAAATAAAACATAAATGATCTCAGTAAATAAAAGAAAATTGATTAATTTTTTTGAATTTAAAACATTTGATTGATAAAAAAAAAATGGCAATTGTGATATATAAATCTGAAACATTCACTTTGATGGTGAATTAAAATATTTTATTATAGAAAAAATACCTTCAAAGGAATTCAAATAATTTTTTTTTTCTTTGAAATTAGCCGAATAGATTATAAAGTAATATTATCTTCATAATGATCTTGATTATAGTCAGAAAAATATTCTAACATATGAGAACCAAGTATAATGTTTTCATTGTTGAACCTGTCATTAGCTCAAATGTGGTAACATTAGAGCACTGAGATAAATGACTAGATCAGGATTACCTATAAAAAATATCGGATATCGCCTGATCAATACTGGAGGCCTTATCAAAAAGAAATACCTCGAGGCGTGCGCTTTCTTCTCCAAGAAGATGTAATCTGACTATTAGAATTTGTTGTTGTTGATAATGTTTTTTTCAAACCTAATATTTCGCGAACCGAATTAGATTTCACAGTTTCACGATTATTGTTTCCGTTATCTGAACAATCAACGATAAATATTTCAGGTAGAGGGCGAGTTTGTGCAGTATTGCATGAACTCCAGTTTGTATTTGATCCCATTACGGGATCAGAATCACGTCGTCACTGTTCGTTTTTCACGGTCACATTTTATTCTAATACGAATTAGTTTTTTAAGTAAAAAATTTACGAATTTTCTAGTACAAAAATTTTACAATTATTTAACTGAAACATTTGATTCGGTATTTCAATTAACCACAACTATTATTGTAATTATCATTAAAAATAGAATTTACGACTTGAAAACATCATTCAAGATAATTTTTGCCATTATCAAAATTCGTATTTTCATCAAAATCATTGGTTACTATAGTCCAATCGATAAAATTTAATTTCAAAGCACCACAATCAATTCTATTTATCCATGAATGACTTTCCATTCAATTCAATAGATCTTGAATGCACAACACAATTTCAAACACGCTTAATAGTAAATTTACAATAAACATTAAATAAATATTACAATATGAAAAAATACGAATACTGATATTTTATTTTCATTGAAAATAATATAAGGCACTACGTAATATTGTATTTTATGAAAATGAAGAAACGTCAAGACCACGTGTTTGGAGTATTCGTTCGATCTGGTGGTGCGACAGAACTGTTAGAGAAGGTTTCAAAACCTCTACCAACTTCACAGGGACAACTCAAAGCTCTAGCAAATAAGATTAGAGAATTACAAGATACTTAACGTGACCAGTAGGAAAATAATACAGCTATTCGTAATAAGAATATTATAAATAATTGAACCTAAACATAAAATAAACGTACAATAAAATTTTTATTCAATCACAAAAATTTTGAATTCCTTCTTCAGTAATCCTAAAAATTTATATCGATATTATTTTTAGATTTATCGTTAATCTCTTACAATAGGATTTAGATAAATATATAAATAAAAGAGAATCGCTTCATTTCGAAATAAATCCTTATAAGCGAATGTTTCAGTGGAAAGACGATACCTTTATAAAATCTTGATGAGATATAAGTTATTTACCTCCTGTGAATGTATCGTTGTTGTCAGATTGCAAAGTTGCACTAGTCTCGGACAGTGGTGATGGAGCTGGTTTCAATTCAGGTGGTGCTTCCAATCCGAGAAACTCACTTCCTTTGCTGCTTCCATTTCCGCCGCCTACTTGGACAATTGTGACGTTCAATGGACCCCGGTTACCTAAAAAAAGAATACAATTTAATAAACGAGAAAAAAAAATACAAAGACAATAAATGAACGCTGAAAAATAGAATGAATCAAAATATAATAATGGCTATGTACTATTTGAACAAATTTTATAGCCTAAAGACAACTAAAATATTGCTCCTAAAAAGAGGTAACTTTGTTCTCATTCACGTGAATTTATTTCAACATGAAATCTATTCAACAGCAAACTTACTTACTATATATTTAAACATATAGCCTATTTGATTTTTAATGTTATAAAAAATTTTAGTTCAATAGCTCGCAAAATGAATGCATCAATTACATCAAATTGATTCATTCTTTGGTACATTGATTTCTACCAAGTTTTTATCACTTCATATACATAGAATGAACTATTTTTAAAAATAGTCCAACTAATCTATACCATACTTGATGGAGCATATATGAGCAGCATAATATACAAATTAATCTAACTAAATCGTAGGTCAAATTGAATTTAATTCTCGCATGAAAAAATATGTTGGTATTAATTCTAGGTATTTAATTAAATCCGGATAATCATTTGTTGAAATAATTTTGCAACAAAATATACAGCCCTCATTTTTTTTGACAGTGACTGAATGTTTTTTTCCAATTTTCAAACTAACCATATAATACTATTCATATCGTTCCCTACTGCGTTTCGCGTGACCTGTATATAAAGTTCGCGGTGCTTGTTTCCATTTCACTAAATCGATGAAGCTAGCCCACTGCTATCGCAGGTAAAAAGTACTTTAATTTTCGTCGTACATGCTATATACAATTTACTTCGCTTAAGAGAAAACAATACAGAAAAAGCTTAATTCTCTAAAGAATTCTCATCAATATAACGAGAAATCATTTGGATACTTTTAAGAAAGTATTATCAAATTCGATTAACTAAAGTCAATTATACGGTCGATTGCAGCATGAATTGCTCCAGGGTTACTGTAATCATGTCTTTCCGGCTTTACGATTATTCCTAGTTATTTCACAAGCTTGTGTACATGAGGGAGTGTTCCATACCGTGTTCCCTCACCAATGACCTGCACGGGATTTAGTTGCTACGAATGTAGGCCAACCTCCAGTCTATTGTTCAACTTCTCAAAGTCTATGAATGATATATTAAATCGTGTATGCCTACTTTGCACTTTTCTGTTTTGGTTGTGCGTCTGATATCATTCATACATTATTTCTGCTTATTCAATTCTAAAATAGTATTTTTTTCTTTGATCAAGCGATTCATTCAAAGATAAAAAAATCATAAAATATCATTTTGCTATTAAAGTAGATTATTTATGTACTTATTTATTTTTTATAAAAAAGGCAATAAATGGTTCATCAAGATTGTTTTAATTTATTATTAACAAACTTAAGTTGAAACTTTATAGAGTAAATTATTTTCATAAAGTCTTCAAGATCACTTTTACCTTGGGCTATGAGTATGGTGATCTTTATTGCTGCAAATCTGATTGAAAAGTAATGAGTATTAAAGGTGATTATTTTTAAATATCTAAAAAACCAATTGTTTAATGGACCATACGATAATATTTACTTAGAGAATAAAAACCAGATAACAATTATAGCTTCCAGGTCTAGAGTAGCATTCGGTTTCATAGTTTGTCGATATTATCACTAATTGGTAATTAACCCAGAGACTCATTAAATTTTTCAATATGTACGTCCAATAATAATATTCATAATTTCATCTGATTAAAAGATCAGCGACCTGGAAGAAATAAATAGATAAATGAAAACAGAATATAAATAAAAATGTAAATAAACGATAAAAATCCATTTGAATATACTTTAAAAAAAAGAATAAATTAAATTACAATCTGATAATCTAACGTTGATAAACATGAAAACAGATGTGAATAAAAGAATAAAACAGAAAAAAAATGTCTCAATTAACTATTGATTAATGTTCTATAATATTATTTAGTTGCTTATGAAACTTTATAAAGTAATTACTTAAAACATACAATCGGAAAAGCGTCAGCAAGATAACTATCAAGACCACTCGACAGAAATAAACCAATTCGAAGCTATCAGCATCAATAATTCCCAAGAATTGCCCAGTTGATGGTAAATTTAATCTGCTTTTAGTAACTAATTATTCTACGAACTCATTTATTATTCTTGATTAGAAAAAAAATTAGTCAAATCCGGTATATGTAAATCAGTTTTTAATTTTAGTAGCTGACTATTTAGCTCATTATATAATCAAGATTATTCGGTACAGATGTATACATAGCTCGATAATATTTAAAATTGTGAAGTAAATATTGGTATGAATTTATATAAAAAAAATCAAAAGTTTTATATAGCCCCTATCCAGAGCGATGTCAATATAATACGAGAAACAAGTTTTATTTGTATTTTTTTAAACGCATTTTATGGTGCTCTTTTATAGATGATAAACTTTATAATCTGTACAGAAAAATACTGGGCACATTGTTAATCATTTATATTGTTTTTTTTTAACCGTTCAGTGAGACAAAGGAAAACAATAACACACTTTTTATATATAACTCAGAAAAATGGGACAAATTTGAAACATCACATAACGATTAAACCGTGAATATATTTATGACTATGAATGATCTTATTTCGAGTTTTAAATATACATACATAAAATAATCTCCTTAAATTAGCTACTTCGTCATGAAAGATTAAAAGATTCTCTAGAATCTAGAACTTTAAAAGATTTTAGCAAAGATTTTAAGTTTTAATAAGTTTTAATAAACTACTTCTTAAGTGACTTATAACAATATTTTACTCAATTATATTATGAAAATTATGTTCTCTGATGTAAGGAAATAGGTACGTTCTATCAGAAAAAGTACAGACATAGAAAAGAATAAGAAAAAGCGATTGAGTATTTTTTAAAAATGTAATTTAAACTTATGATTGATTGCCAATACCTGTTTTGGAGGATGGTGGAAGCAATCCTTGCACTTCTTCCAAGGGCATCCCTTGTTCGTGATGACGAGGGCGATCTTTCATGCCTCCTCGCCAGAGTAATTGGATCTATCGTGCTGTTTCTTGAATTCCGATAGCGCAAAGTAGTTGTAGAATGAATTGATAATGGGATCGGGTATAGGATCAGGATGTTGGTCGAGTCCTGAGGGACTCGTGGTGATGATGGCGGACGGTGATAGAGCGTCATCGCCCCGTAGTCTCCCTTACGACCATGCCCTGTCTAACAGGGTTTAATGTGCAGCTCAGGCAATCTTTTGCCACGTGTACCTACTACTTGCTGATATTGTTTTGCTGAGTTATATTGACCTGTAATAAAAGAAAAATTCTTTCAAACTATATACAAGGAGAACCCTCACACTGTGGGTAACTATCATTTAAATTATATTAATCGATATCTAGTATGTTTGTCTCTCGGCTAGTGGGTCTAGTTCGATCGACATTTATAGTCGGGTACGTTGCATGTCATGTATGACAATGCGTCAATGTTAAATATGATGTTATCATAAAGAATGCAGCACTTGCAAGCCATTGAATGAATTCGTTATTAACGTATTTTTTTTTTTTTTTAATTTTAAGATTTGTCTAAAATTGATATTTTATTGTATGATAATTTGGATGCATTTAGAAAATTAGTCCTATAAAAACCAAATGTTTATTTTACTTAATTCCCACACCCCAAACACTCCCCAGTAATTTAAAAATAATAATTATCGTAGTAATTTTCATTATTAAACCAGAAATTACATCTATGCAATTGAATTATTAAAAATTATAATTAACAGTTGTATGTACATGATAATTTTCAGATTAATTATTAAATATTACACTTAAACTAACATGCACAATATTTAACAATGAAAATAACATTTGAAATTATGATTTTTAGCAAATATACTATCGATACATTAGTTAATATATTTCAACTGATCCAATGTACTAAATTTCAGTGAGATAATCGATATTTGAACATACTGTTCATTTACATTAAATAAACATTTGATTATCTACAAAAGTTGTTTAACTGTTTGTTGAGTCATTCTGATAAATATAAATTTATTACAAACATTCTCAATTACAGATATTTGAAATCATTTACAAAAAAAAACTAAGTTTGAAAGCTTTAAAAAGAGGTGCTAAGGGGTGCGGTCTTAACTCAACAGTAATGTCTGAATAAAATTGATATTTATGAATCGATATCAACTTTAACCAAGGGCGACATTAACTTTCATACGAGGGCGTAACCACAATGAGCAGTAGGATTAAAGTTGCAAACTTTTAACAAAATTTCAATTTTTTTTCGATGTTTAACTCTCAAACGAATTTATTCTTTCTTCCTTTCTTGTGTCACATCCATTTATCTTCATGCTCATCATCAGCCCTTCAATTGTTTTTGGCTCATAAATAATTAATCCTAAGTACTTTTACATGAGTCAAATAAATATTTCTAAGTAGACAGACCCACGTGTTTTTTGTATTCTCGGTTTATTTTTTGTTCTACATATCGTTGAGTATTTTTTTTTCCCACAGTAATTTTACGTAAAAATTTCATTCGTGCGTTCAACATTAATAATCATTCAAGTGACCTGCTAACAACTTTGCATTCGATTTGTCTCTTAATATATATCATAAATACAATTAAATAAAATAATTAACTATATACATATGTCTATACATAAATATCTCTACAATGAGTTTACTAAATTTATTCAATTAATATAAAATAAAAGTAAATTTGAAAGTTGTAATTAACATTTTTCATCATTCAAAAAAATGAAATGACCAGCTAATAATATGCATCACTATGTACAGATATAAGCATAATCAATAAACTATTTTATATTATAATTCACCAGATTTATCGCTATTTCACTGACAAGTTATAAAACGTTTGAATTATTCAACGACAACGTGTATGCACATATAGACCAAGAATAAACGTTACATTTACGAATATACGAGAGCAGTGAAATGATGGAGATCACGATGCATTTTAGCATAGACTTCAAGTCAATCTCTTTAGAATTATGCAAACTGTGAGGCGTGAAAATTTTCAAATCCAACTTAAGATACTCCAATAAAAAATAAAATAAACTTCAGATTCTCAGAACTAGTGATAATACAATAAGTGCATTTCTTTGGAAAGTAATAAAACGTTATTTTTAAATATTTAAATATAACTAATTATTTAAAATAAGTATGTATGACCTTATTTTTATAGAATGAGTAATGGGTCATCTTGATTGAATATAGGTCAACTTAAACTAACCTAAGAAGATTAATGCCGAGTAAATATATTAATATAAGCGCAAAATGGTTCAAACAAACAACCATGCGTGGTTTTTGTGGTTTTGAACTTTGTCATAAATGTGGAATTATATTCAGGAACTTTAATGAAGCCCACAATCCAGGATAACAGGAAGAATTTGTAATATTCAAAGACCGACCGATTTTTATCGTTCTAGCAGCTGATTATACTGATTACTAATTAAAAATTGTACAGCTACCACAAAAAAAAAATTACGTTAAATAAAGTATGTAAGTATTTTAAGTAATAAATTTAAATGAGAAAATTTTCTAGTTAGTTGCACTTTGTAACTTAGTTGAATATGCTTTGTATATAACAAATAGATAACAATAATCATGTAAAAGGAGCAAATTTTGCGACAAAGCACTACTGAAAGCCATAAACTCGTGAAGCATAAAATTTCACATTAATTATACAAAATAATGTTATAATGAAAGCTTAAAACTTGATAATACAATTGTAAATATTTCTATTAGAATCATTAAGTAATACGAACCAGTTTAAATCTAATATTAGATATAAAAAAAGGATGATATCAAACAGAAAAAATACATCTATATCGAGTTCATTTTGACGTTTGTATTTATATTTTAGTATCATTTTTTACGTCTGTATTCTTAAAGCTTTTCCTTCACTTCACTCGACTGGATACATTTATTTTATGCACTGAAATGTTTTCAGCAAAAAATTTCTTTTGTGGCCTTTGCAGAAATATAAAAAGAACAGAGTTGTTTTCATGAATGGTTAATAACATTAAAAATAAAGTTATTTTTTCCTCGGAAATAATTGTTCATTTGAGTTTAAAGTGATATGAAAATCTAATTATAAAATAAAATGACGAATACATTTTTGGATGATGCTGAATTATTGTCACGCGAACGTCTGTTAAACTTAACATCGTTGAGTCTACTCGTTTATGTCACGCAGCCTGAAGTAGGGCACCTCACCCTTAGTTCTCATGATTCTAAGTTTAAGAATGCGTGGAAATAGATTTTTAGTTTATTGTATTCATATTGTAATTTACTTGATTATTAAAAAACCTGATATACGAGGAGATAAAGAGAATTCATGTTTGAACCGTAGATTAAGTTATTTTATAAAACTATTTCATGACATACTGAAATTCTAACAATTAATATTATGTCATCAGTTCAATGTAAATAACGATAATGTGAGTACTAGAAAGCTGTACAATATTTATATTCAAAACAGGAAAAATAAAACAAAAAAATCATTGTGTCATCGACATCAACTTATTTTTTAATTGTAACGAGTAGTTATTGTTATGGCAATTAAAAGTCGTACCTTCTGATATTATTATTGTCAACATAACGTTTTTTTTTCTATGTATCTAATCAATATTATTCTAATTTTAATAGCACATTAATTGACTTCATTTTTAATGAATAGAATCAATATTTAAAATTAGTAGTGAACTTTTAAAATTTCAAGTATAAAGTATAGTAAGACCTCTAACTAAAATCATACTTTATTTTTTAAAATACTATGAATAAATAAAGTTCTTTTTTACGTTGGAATAAAATGATAGGCTCGATTTCGATTTATTCTACTGATAAAAAGTCATATTGACACAATCATGACATATAAATATTCATAAAAATATACAAAGTAGTCTTTACAAAGACACTGAGTAATATAAAATAACGTATCATACCTGTTGCAAAGAGTATTCTGCAGTATCGACAAATGTAAAAATTTATTGATAAAAAATATTATCTCGGAGTTAGCTATAAAATCTGGTAATTCACTCTTTGTTTCACCTAGTCACAAAAACACAAAATTTGTTAGAAAATAAAATTAGCACAATATTTGAATTTACCACATTTTGTTACATACTTTTGAAATTCCAAGTTGATACATGAAAACAATGATCCTTCTTTAATCCTCGTGTGTCGTACAAGTATATACACGTGTCCTTTAGTTTCTGAAATTACTAATATTCCAACTATTCACACACTTCCCTTGATAATTTCGTTATAAATGTGCGTATGAAGCTTAATAAAGCTTGGTAAACCGTACTGCTTAACTACCTTAAGAATGTTTAAAATAGGAGCTTTACAATCCAGAGATCCTGCGGCACTCGAGCGGTCGGCTCGACAGGAGGAATACACGCGAGTTAAACTTACTGCGCAACCCTTGGTGCGCCTGCTTCTATAATGATAGGAGGCTACCTACCTGGCAGTCGTGTCACCCTTGTGTACCCTCGGCTGCTATCGGTGGTACCACCACCCACCAACTTCTGTAACTCACACCCTTACACTCCTGACAACAGAACTATTCGGTGATGGGCACGCTTTCATACTTCCCTCCTGTTGTAAAGCACTTGGTGATCTGTACGTGACGTCACGTTTTCTTCATGGAGGGCTTGAGTGACGTCATGGTGGCTTACGAAGTAACGACCTGTACAATAACATGTCGTACATTGACATTGTTACTTCTGATTATGTGCCACGATTAATTTCACTAAGCGTGTTGATTCAGTTGCTTCGTTGAAGGCTGGAGCTTCTTGCTTATATGTCAGCGGTGATGTATCTAGGTACGTAAAAAAACATAAGAAATTTAATAAAAAATGATGCTTTATATATTAAATAAAGTAAAAACTCAATAAAATACTCATTTTAACTGTTTGACTTCAAATAAATCTCATGTATCTTTACTTTTATCACTTAAATAATATATTAGAGCAATTAAACGTTCGTAATCGTCTTAGCAATATTAATACACTTATATAGATGTATATACTTTTTCTATAGATGACCTAGGCATAGTATAGGTAAAAGATAGCAACATTCATCGTTTATTTTTTCTAGAAAACCATTTATCTTGCACAGCTCTAGAGGTTTTTACTATTTTACCACCTTACTTCTTTTTATCCTGACATGATCGTTCTAATCTGTCCTCCGTTTTCATTTGCTCAATCAATACATTTGAAAATATTGACAAAAAGAATGGAAAAAAAGAATAATCTATCTTGGTGATTAAAAATTCTTTAACCTTGAAGGGGTTGATTGTTTTTCATTGGAATTCATTTATATCTATAGATTATTCTGACTTAAATTACATATGAACCCAATGCAATGATTACTAAATTAACCCTAGAATAAGTAAGAATTTTGATAGAAAGTATTTTCAACTTCATCAATTTTTTTGCTTCTTTCTTATGAATAATGAACCAATCAACATAAACTGCAGGTATATTTATAGCTGCTTTATTAGTTTGATTAATGATTTAATTTTTTATTCCTATTCTCTTTATTCTTACTATAACAATGATTAATCATTCTGCCAAGATATTTTATTTAGTACCATCAAGGTCAAGAATGTGCAGCGTGCAACTGAATGCCACAAAGTTCTGATCGATTACAGTAATGTACTCTTGTAGCGTTACTAACCATACCATTAGTAGAAACGATTGAAATCTTACTTATTTTAACGATAATTACAGGAAATACACTTGACCTTTTTTTGGAGAAGGGAATTTTCGAAATTGATTTATTCTATAAAGCCGCTTGTATCTTGAATATTATTTTACACATATTCAAATCTATATAAAAATCTAACAGTTCCTAATAATACCCTAATTATGCTATTATAACATTTTCAAAAATTATAATTTTAGTATTCTTTATTAATTGTTTAATAATTATAAGAAATTTCGTTGTTAATACTCAATTATTGACATTATGTTCCAACTTATTAACCCAATAAAATGTTAACAACGAAATAATAAAAAAAAGTATTAAGTGCAAACCTTCAAATCGTCCAAATAACTGATGATTATCGTCTTTTATAACGAATCCTACAATTAACAACATTATATTGCGTTAATAACATTGTTACAATATAAAATTAGAGAAAACAAAGAACGCTACAATAAACTCAAGCCCAGCCATCTTGGTGTAGTGATTTTGGCGGGGTCTATATTTTCCCGCCCAAGTTTTTCTGACGTTTTTATAAAAAAAATGTTCATTTTATGAAAAGTTTCTTATCAACAAATTCAAAATGATTCTTGAAAGTAAATATTTATCGTTAAATGCAATCTGTATAACACAATCTAAATTTACATCGAATAGCGTTCATCAAAGCCTTTATATTTTTCGTTGAGAAGATGTAAAACAATGACGCAATTGCATTGTGGATGTCAAGAGAAAGAGAACATTGACCGGATTTACTCTCTATTGGTCATGTTTTTTTCTTTAAAAAAAAGTTGATTACCATCTGTAGTTATTATAAAAAACTACTTTATCGATAAAAATGAAAAGCGCGAAAGTCGATCTAACAAAGGACGTAATGTGTTTATATTATGTGGCTTCATATCGGTGATGACTAAATTTTAGAAATTGTATATGCTATCATTAATTCTATATGGCACTTTTTATTAGTGCGTAGAACCTTAACATTGAAAATTCGTAACGGTTTTTTTTTCGAAACATCAAATATTCCATTTATCTTTGTTTCAAGTATTGTGCGATTATAGATTCATTTTCTTTGTGATGTACAAAAATGTAATTCGATTGTTTTACAGTGAGTTTTGATAAAAATCTTAAGATAGTTAATCTAGAAATAATCATGTCTACTATTTCATGTAACAAGTATTACATTAACTCTTCGGAAATATCTGACGAATCTGATGTATTCTCAGGATTAAGAAAAAATGTAAATATAAAAAAAATCTATACATAAATGTTTACATTCCAGTCAGTAAAAATAACTTGTATTATTTTTTTAGTGGTGTTGTATTTTAGAAGAGATAATAGAATGCCCGATTTGTATGAATATTCCATTATCAAGCATATACCAATGTACAAAAGGTCATAGTATTTGTGATATCTGCAGAATGTTAGTAATTAATTGCCCAATATGCCAAGAATGCTTTATAGGAACTCGTAATCGATGTGTAGAAGAAATTGTAAAAAAATTGGAAGATATAAAAGTAAATATAAATTTGTAATTGCTAATTTTTTCATATTTGCTTCTCGAAGTTTTAGTTGATTTTTTGCCAATATAAATATATTATTTATGTTACACTAGATCTTTAGTTCATTTAATTATTAATCTTCTCTTCCAGTCATTAATATTGGATCCTTCTAGTGACGTCGAAAAATGTAGCAGAATACAAAAAAAATCTGAAGGAACGCAGACTGAAAAAATTTCAATGGTATGTTATGTGGTTTAATTTTATTTTTGTACCAATGAGTTAATTAATTTGATTTCTTACTTACTTATTATTGTTATTAACATATAGACAAAAAACTGCATTGAACCAGTATTTAATGATACACCGAAATTAAAACAACAAAAAAGATTACAAAGAAGAAAAACTCTATGAAAGTTTTTATCTTAAAACAATATATTTTTGTACTTAATCGTTAAATAAGTAGTCATTTCTATCAATATTAATAGTTAAAACACCATTAATGAATATTTTCATATAAAAAAATATAAATTCAACTTAGCTAACACTAGTATTTATCACGAATAATCGTTTATAATCAGCTAAAACTTATATTTCAGTAAAATTCAGTGTGTTTTATGTGCACAAAAAGTATCTTTATAGTACATTCATTTAAAAAATAGATTTATTTGCTGTGTAACACGATAAAAGGAAGCTTGGAATTTTTTTAATAAAAATTATCTTGATTAAATACTGCAGCTAAGGGCTACGTTAAGAAAATCTTCAAAGCCGATATTTATTACACCTGTTTGATCAGTATCTCTATTACGAAATGCCTCTGGAAAAGTTAATTCATATTGATTAATTATTAATAGACAAAAATAAATGTATCAATTTTTTACTCTTACCTGTAAATCTCTGAATTTGAACACATAATACGATAAATTGATCAACTGTTATACTTTCATGATTATTAAAATCACTTTTTTGAATTAAATATTTTATAAATTCAGGACTAAATCGGTAACCCATTTGAGTAAAAGCTGCTGAAAGTTCATTTTCTTGAATAGCTCCAGAGTTATCATGATCAAAACCTCGAAACACACCTAACCAGGCATTTATATAATTATAAAGAGCTTGGAATTCATTCAGATCAATTGTGCCTTTTTTCTCTTTATCGAACATTCCTAAATACAATCAAATATGATTGAAATTCGTTCATTTAAATGCATGTTTAGAAATGAAAAATTCAATTAATGCAAAGAATGTAAAATCAGTCTATTATATTTATTATATAATATAAAATAATTAATTTGAATTATACCAATCATTAGATTACATGCTCTGTCAGAAAAAGTTCCTCCTTGACCATTAGCAAGAGCTGCTTTTAATTCAGTTGCACTTATTTTGCCACTACCATCTCTATCTACTGCAGCAAACCATTGCTGAACTTCTGGTTGAACTTGAAGATTTTCTGTAGCACCATACATTGCTCCCTAAATATTTGATGACAGTAAACAATTCATCATTATTTTTCACATAAAATAAATATTTGTTTATAATTGAAATGTTATCTCTACAAGAAGGTTAAATATAATTAAATAATTAGATAAACGTACCGGATAGTCCATTAAACTTTTAAATGTGTAGAAGACGTTTGCAAATTATGCCAACGTTTAAATAAATATTTGAAACTAATTTCAATGATTTATAATATTTATGAAATGTCAATCAATCCACTTTATAAAATTGTAAGCACTTGGTCTAAGTATTGATACGCTGATTGTCATACAACTTAATTCTGATTTATCAAATGTTTGTATTCAACAATATTTAATAAAAGTAATATAAGTTCAATTTAATATATTAAATACAAGTTATTTGTTGATTAACAATTGAAAGTTTAATAAAGAAACCAAATTTTTACAAATTGGTCGTTATTTGCGATTGTCATGATACCTACTGGAATGATCAAGAACTCGCTACTTAAACGATATACAGTTATTTTCGTCGATAAGTTTGGCATTATTAAAAAAAAGCAACCTGAAAGCTTCAAATAATAAATAATTCCATTTATATGAATAATAATTATTAAGATTGAAAAGTATTTTTAACTAAATGTAATTATATCATCAAAATTTAGAATTTCATGATAATTCAACTAAAAATACTGATTGAAGAGTACTCTTTGGATTACCTTGACCTAATTATTGTCTTTGATCAAAGAGATATTTTCTTCATCCTTGACATTGTTTTAACAAAATTTATATCCCCATATAAGTTATTTTTTTAGTTGCTATATATTTGAAAGATAACAGACAAATACATGAATTAATATACAAATAGCTGGAAGCAATACCTTTGAAAAACTTAGAAGTCGAAATCATTGTGGAGATTAATTTTTAGCACCCAATTTTCTGGAGTACTTACCTCTCAGAAAAATATCTTCTAAGATACTTGGACACTTTGGAAAGCAAAGTGCCATATTTTTAAGTGGAGAAGGTAGGTTTAGCATTAATTATAGCATTATTATTATCAAAATATTTTATTTCAAAATTTTCTAACATCACATTAACATCGAATTTATTTTCCATGATATAAAAAACAATAAAAATGGCACTATTAAACCTATATACTTGTACTGCAGTGAAATATCAAGATTAATAAATGATTGTTTATTCTTCATAGGCGTTTGGTTTAAAACTTTATTAAGAACCTCTGAGGATTTTTTACGAAGAGTTTCATGCTTTTCTTCATCATACTTTAATGCTCGATCGAGAGCTTCATTAAGACGACGAACAAGAAAAGATTTTATTTGTGGAATACGCACCAGATGACGCATCATAAATCTGTAAGAAGATAATTAATGAGATCATTATAATTATACAATATTCAGGTAATTAATATTCTTTTCATTTGATTAAAAAATAATAATCAACATTAAAAAATGTAGAGGAAAAAGATTCTATAAATTTTCTTATATAAGTGATCACATGAAAATGCAAAAATGTCAGTATAAATTGAAACGTTATAATTATTTTTAAGTTACATACTTCGTCACATAATACATTATCCAATCAGAAGTAGTGAGTAGAGATTGCAGTCGTGGCATGTTTAATTCCAGCAAATCCGTAAGAAATAATAAATCCACTTCGTAAGAGCTACCAGGAAAATAATACTGATTACCTTCATGCATACATCTCATCATGTGTTCCCATTCAGGACTTATATTACGAAAATTAGGTTTCACCCAGTAATCTATAAAATCTTTGGATCGCATCTTAATGTCTTCTAAACTTCCTCGACAGAAATTGAATCTGAACAAATTCAAGAATTGTAAAAACTAAATTCCTATTTTTTACATACAATCAAATATATTATTACTCGTCATTAATGCCGAGGAGATATCCAATTCCTCTCCAGAGATGACAAAATGCATCTAAATCTTCATCAACATGATCATGCACTCCGAATTTGTCAGGATAAAGAATCATTAGACACACAAAAGCACATTGAGTGGCTGACATATCTCCTTGGTTTAATCCTTTAGGCCTTATACCTCGAAGTTCACTTATAGTATAGGGACATTGTCCAGGTAAAGCCACAGGACATGTTTCATTAAAATCTTTTAATAATGTATCTTTTATTGGCGACCAGGTCTTTGGAAGTGTTCCAGCGTTTTCTATTTCTTCATAAGTCATACTATTTAATTTATTTCTAATAGCTTGATGTAGATGGTTAACTGCTACAAGATCTTTATAAGCTGGTGATCCTTTAGTCCAAGGATCACTATTATACCAATTCCTTATTCTGGTACTAGTTGATAGATACCTTGAAAAATTATGTACGTAGTAAAAAATTGCACAATTGTCTGAGCAGAAGAATCTCAGTAATTACCTTTTGAATGCAGTGTAAGGTTCAGACGATTTTTGAGTAAGTATCATTGGTTTCAAACCATCGTCGAACGAAAAAAGAAGGAATAAAGCCAGATACTCAGCAAAAAATATACCGAAAAGATTATCTCGAGCAAATTTTTGACCCCTTGCAAACTTCTCACGATCTAACCATTCAGGTACTTGATCCGGGAGTCTTCCAATGTCTTCACTAAATAAAAACCCTGCGGTTATTATTCTTAGAGATTCTGGTTCATTTACAAAATATTCGTCTATTGATTTTTTTATGACATCATATTTTTGCTCTTTTTTTAGACTATTAACTTCTGAGGGCAAATTGTTGTTAAAAATTTCATATATTTTTGAAAAGTCCCCTTTTTCATTTGCTTTATTAAAATTTAAATTTTTGCCCTCATCTGAAACTTTCATCCTTGAATGAATTTCATTTTCATTGCTTGGATTTGCGTGCTTCAATGTTTGTGTACTCTTCACCGGTGATCCTAGGTCATTGCTCTCTTCCAACGTAATGCTTTCAATAAAACAATTCATTGTGTCTATTGTTTACTTAGTTCCTGTTCAATGAAAACAAAACAAATATGACGACTTTTATGCCTGGAGATATCATTAGTTATATTAGTTAATAATTATAAAATTTTTTTTTTTTGATTAATATTACGCACTATTGCATATTATAATGATGCAATTTTTCTCCCACAACAATTGTTCTTGTCTACTGTATTATAAAAATTTATTATAATTTGAAAAACTCTTGACTAAAGCACTTTTTGCACGCAACTGACAACAATACTTGACGTCTTTCTGCTTATATAGCAACTGCGTCTAATAGATATATACTCCTTCTCTCCAACCACGCTTAGACTAACTGGAATAATGTTGGATTAGTAATCACTTAAAAAGAAGGAGTAAAACAATAAAAACAACATGACAACATTTTTTTCAAAACTCCACTTGATTTATGAATCAATCAGTTGTTGAGGCAGTTTTTGTCCAATGGCTGCTATGTGATGCAGTGTGCTGAAACTTATGATATCTGCTTCTGCAGCCAATCATCGCTTTAATAATGTTTCTACACAAATATTATTCGTTATGAATCTTAAAATACCCGTTTCTCCTTGATCAGAAATTTTTTTGCATATTTCTTAGGAACTTATCATTTCTATATAAACATGTTGATGATCATCATCCTTCTTATTCTCATTGTTTAACTTTTTCACTGAAAGAAAACATTGTTTCGGTTATTTATACAATGTTTATTTAATTATATATTTATTTATTCATAAGTAAAAACTATTTAGAAAATCTATAACAATTTTTATTGTGTTAAAAAAAACTAGCTAAAAACATTTAATGAGTTATTATTGCTGATTGAATCATTTGTTATACTTTGCGACATTGAGTCATTAAAGAGTGGACTATGGCGATAAAAGTTCTATCTTATCGCAAATAATTTTTCTATTTCATAAAACATAAAATATTTAAATAAATTTTGACGTAAATAAACTTTGTTCAGTAGCATGAGATATTCTGTTCAAGTTGCATAATAGTGCGGAAAAGCATTTTACTATAGAGTATACTGCGAGTATAAATATAATTGCAACGAACTCTAACGCAAAACCTAGCTCTAACTGAGAAAATAATTTGACATTAATAATATAGTTGAGCAACTGACTCATCTTTTTGAATTATTTTCTTTTTAGATTTTTTTCCGCAAAATTTTGTCCTAAAATAACCTTTTTACTTTTAAAGTGAAACTCCTAAGGTTATATAACAAAAAAAGTATATATTATCAAGTCAATGAAATCAATAATTATTGCAGAATACATTGTAATGTGCAAAACATCTCATTTACCCTTGACAAAGCTGCTGTCCTTGATATTTCTTTAACATTGTATTCAATAACATATTTCCATCCAACATCCGCGCGCATGTCCTTAACAAAATCTTTCTGACCTTGACCTCGAATTTGACCTAGGTAATGGTCCATTTCCATAACAACTTTTTATTCTATTCATCAATTATTTTTTTATAATTTTTTCTTACCTTTCAAAGCATTCAACAGATTCATTTTTAAAACAAACTAATAAATAAAAATTTTTTCTGTTTCAGGTTGAACTTTTATTCAATTATGGTAAAAATATTATTAATATTTATTAAACAAAGAACTAACAAAATTTCATATTTTATGTTTTATTGGAAAATACTATTCAACGAAGCAAATTATTATTCATATGAATTATGATGTACATTTTCAAAGATTATATAAAACAATGTATGCATAAAACATTAACACAGAAGAAATTTAAATTAGTGGGGCGATTGAATGACTAGCGATCACATATGATGAAAGTTCAACTTGTTATCGACAGTAAAATATGAAGAATTATAATGATAATTTACTCTAGAATTATTTGTATGCTAAAGTAATGATTGTAAATTGGAGAGACTGAATACAATGGCAAATAACACGTGTTAATAATGAACTTTCAGGGATCATTAATAAACTATCAACTCACGAGAGGAGATTTCCCGTTCAATTGCAATGTTTGTGCATAACTGTGATATAACTAAATGTACCTTTAAGCATCGATCGATCACTTGCAAATATAGACATCCATTCTACTGGACATGCGCTTTGAATTCAATAAATTTTTGAATAGTTAAAACAATTCCCAATAAATCTAAAGTTAACGAGCAACAATCAGACGCAAATAATTTTGTTAATTAATACTATTGTGGAAAATTGATTTTCAGTGATTCAATAACACTGCTATTTTGATTTTAATCAAGAATATTTTACATCAGAGCTATTGTGGAAGAAAAATGAATTTTAAGACAATGGAATGGAATGAATAAATTAAGAGATAAACAAGTGAAAATGGACAAAATAAAAAACTAAAAATAAAGTCAAGAAGCTTATTCAAAATGTTATAACTTTCCTTTATAGTTTCTACAGTTTTAAATAAGTAATTTATTTTAAGCTCCAAAATTGGCAAGCACCCCAACAGGATGCACGCATCGAGAGTGCTGCCAATCTGATGTATTCAGCTCAGCAAGGATTATAAAGTAAAAAAATAAAAAATTACGAATGAAATAAAGTTTTTGGAGAACGGAAGTGATTTGATCTTACTGCGGTGCCCTTTTGTATAAATACACTCATGCTTACATGAGCAAGCGCGCATAAATCTGCATTTTATTTTCATATTATTACCAAAACTTCAGCTCAAATTGCTTTGAATTATAAAATCACTTCATCCAGTTTTTTTTAAAAATTCAATTCAAGGATCTTCAAGCTATATTAAAAATTCAGGAAACCTTTTAGAAACTCTCTTTCACTTTTGTTAAAATATAGATACGCAGAAGTTTCCATGCTTTTCAATTCAATGAAAGCAATTGTTGAAAAATTAAATGATGTATGCTTTTTATGTTTGTGACAAAAATTTGAACAAAATTCTTTTTAAAGTATATTATTAACTTATAAGCTGTATTAAAAGAAGGGCATGTACTTAAAAAATCGTTAAAAAGCAAAAACATGACTCTTACTTTTAATACCACCGAATAAGTGAATTCTTGGATGCAGTGAACTACTTATTTGGTGGTGGCTAATTTCTGATACAGTAGATCGGCATTCAGAGTGATGAACTCGTGTCTTGGTCTGCATGCAATATAACACGACTGCCGGCTGTCGCGTGCCATGTATGCACCTGTCTCCCCACTACTGAAAGAACCTCTTGAATATATTTCAAGAGTCAGACGGAGAAGCAGAAGGCAACTTGACTTCTACCTAACTTGTCAGCTGCTTTGCTGCTGCTGCTATACTATACAGCTGAAAAGAACGATGATGAGGGCGATGGAAAGAACTTAGAAATATGTGGCAATTATATTGCATGTATTCATATTCATATTCGGTTTGAAAAATCAAAAGGTATTCATAATTGAAGACCTCTTGTTGATTAACGAAGTAAAAATGTAATTAGAGAGAAATCTCCATCGTTATAAAAAAAGTTGTATGTCATATTGAGAGAAAAATTTTATTTCTATAAATAATGATAATAATCATAATTATAATTATATATATACTTGCCAAGAAATGCTTTAAAATAATGAATTGAAAAAAAATTTAATTTACAGCATTAATATAAACTGATGCTGGTAGTTTTTATTTTATAAATAAATAGTTTATCTATGATAATGTAATTTACTCAAAATCAATTAGTGAAAAAAACTGTCATTCTTTTTTCGTAACAATCAATTATTTCAATCTGTAAAATAATTTATAATTAATAATAGAAAGTTTTTTTATAAGCTAAATTAAGTGAAAAAGTATGACAGAAAATAGAGCAAAAAGTTTATTTGTGATAAATTATAGATCTAGATAAATTTTGAGAATGCCAAAAAAGGGGTTGGAAGCGATGCTACATGGATAGTGGGGCAAAATAACCCACGTGATCTATAACCGCGTGCTCCAATACTCAGTGCAGCTGCTTCTGCAACATTGGGCTTGTTTCATTCCTCACGCGACCGGCTTTCAAGTAACATCGTTCTTTCGAAATTTTTGAAATCAACTAATCGATATTTTTTGATTATTTAAGAAATGAATCAAGTACATTAATAATACGTATTTATTAATTGACAAAATTATTTTTATCAAGTGATTATTCAGTGTTCAACCAAAAAGTATACCATTTCTGAAAAACCAAAAAATGTGTAACCGAATTTCCATAATATTTTTTCTTATTCTCGGAATTGTTTTTTTAAGGGTAAGTTTGTCCAGAAAACTAATGTCATTAATTTGTAACAATAATTATGATGAGTTATTACAAACTTAAATGGAATATGTAGTGCCAATAAAATAAGGGTTGAATAGTTTAATTGAACATTTAATCGAAATTGCTGGCGCCAGGCGTCTTGACGCTCAACTATATCCATTAACAGAGTTCATACAAGTTGTTTATTATGTCAAACATGTTTATTTACTCGTATAAACTTATCATAAAAATAGTAAATTAACATTTGAATTAGTTTCAATGCAAATTCAACCGTGAGTGGATGTAAAATTCTCTCATTAACAAATTTTAATTACAAAAGAATTTTCAACAATTATCCAGCTAGGATGGTCCATAATTTTTATTACTCCTTAATTGTTTAATTACTGCTAATGAAAATGGAATTATCAATTTAATTTAGATGAGCCTGAAGATCAGTATGAAACATAGCATCCAAGTATGAATTTCTAACCACTGTTAAACATCAATTTCCCTCTTAATAAGCTTCAAGACTTCATAAGCTTCATGAATCAAATTACAGAGTTCTTTAAATTAAAATACATCTGGTGACTGTACTATCATGTAATTCAACTAGCGAAAAATTTATATTATCAAAATAATTATCATTAAACCATCATAGACGTCATACTTTAATAAAGATGAAAAATAAAAGTAAATTGCTATAAGAGGGTGATGCGATTGAGCTGGTATTCTCATCCTGATAACGAGCAAAATGAGAGGGAAAAAAGAGAAAAAAAATATTATAACGAAGTATACAGAATGCCAGAGGGTGAGTGTCTCGAGGCTTCTCATATACAACTATGGAGAAATGAAGAAGGTAAAAAAGTCGTGGGAACGAGTAAATTTGCTATTGTTTCTCCCGTTGATGGCATTGTCCAACCAATGTAATTTTTCTCTATAGAGTCCACAATTCTCTGGACTATTGTTTAATGAATCTCGTTCGATTTTCCTCGGCAACAGGTTTCTTCAGTAATTCTGAGAATAATCGCGCTGACTAGCAACTATACGTTACAGAACTTTAAAAACATTTTATTCGCATTCTGGGTTTTATGAGTCTCATTAGCATGACAAGGGAACTCATGGGAACTGCATTTAGACGTAGTAGAGAGGTAAAGTACATGAGAATTACAAAAACACATTCTCCTGAACGACCAGCCCACAGGGCATTTTTTATTCTGTCACACTCCTACAAGTATACTTTTTATCTTGCAGTTCACAATATTATCATTCCCTCAACGCTTACGCACTCTGAAAAAATAATAGTCTCTAACGAGTTCATTTTTTTTTTATTTCAATTAAACCCTACATACGATGTCTACTTTCATTTTGCCCTCAGCACTACATCACAAAGCTTAAATTTTAAAAGGTTCCCATTTTCAAATATTCTATTCGCCCAACGACTTCTACCTGGATCAATTGTTTGGCTTTTTTATCAAACGATGTTTTTTCTGCAAAAATTAAAAAAAAATATATGTCGATAAATAAATACCTTCCGTTATAAAAATGGTTTTTTTATTTACCAGACACATTTAAAAAGCGGAAGTTTCAGTGTAGCATGACCCCGTCAGCTTTACCGGTCTATACTTCATTGGTATTCGAAAGAATAGTAAAAGGTATCCTGACCAACAATATGCATCCATTTGATGTTATACACTTTACATCCGTGCGGTTTACATATCACGTGTGTATTACAATGTCCCACCCTATTTCCTATCCAAGCTTCGTTTTCCCAGCGAAAATAATTACTGGAGAGTATGAACTACTTGCACTTGAGACATTTTGTAGCCCTCGAAAAATACGCACCCTTTTACTTTCAATGTTAATGCTGCAGGTGTTCCTGACACACACTCATATTCAACATTACAAAGTCGAATAAAGCCGTTATTACTAAGTATATGAAAATAAAGTAGAATTATTTTTCAAAATATTAATTCTCTTTTTACTTTGCTATTTTCAACTTGTTAATACCTTCATTGTTGTGAAATGCGATAAAATAAATTTTAATATGATAAAAGCTTTTGTTCAATGCTTTTACTATGTTCTTATTCAAAGATAGAAAAATGAGTTTCCATTTCAAAACAAATATTGAAATTTTTTTACAAATGAAGAAAAGTAAAATACTCACTCTACTGCAAGTACAAAACTTTTGTTATTAAAAAACATATTTTCTACGATACTCAATAAAATAATCAAAAAATTTATCTTCTATATTTTCCTTTCCAGTGAAGCAAGAAATAAAACTCAATTTCACTATTGATATTTACATGAAAACTGAGAAATTTAATAAGTTCTTCTTTCAATAAAAACTCCAAGACGTATAAATAAAAGGTTGATCAGATATCCACCCTCAACTTTCTACTGTTACCCTCTTGTGTATTCATGTTTCACATGTAATTACAGTAGTAAACAATTTGTGTAATCTAATATTTCAAATGATCTTATTTATAACATTGCTCAGCAACAAGTAACTTCATGTTTCAAAGGAAAATGAATTTATAAAAAACGTTTAAAACATCAAAGGAGAGTATTTTTTTAATAAGTTTATATTAATAACATATAAAAATGAATATTATTTTGATTCATTTACGTCTGACGACGCGTGCCATCGACAGCTGCTACTTTTATTTACTACAGCTGGTTTTTAGTAGATGCTCGTTATTTTGTATCCTCGATTTGATGTGCTTCATCTTGTGGAAAATTACATTGATGATATCAGCAATTTTATAAATTGAGTATCATGTTACTATTCAGATGCCTTTTTTTACAGAAAAATTTATTTTTACTGTTAAGAATTACAAAAAAAAAATCTATCAATTTGTTGCTCGTTTGTAACAATATTGTTTCCATGCAATAAATAATTGGATGTTCAGAGATGAGTTCACGGTTAAAAAATATAAAAATATACGAGATAAAAAAGATTAAAAATGAACTGAGATTAAAAAATTTTTAGTGGGTGGAACAATATAGAGAACAGTAGCCTAAGGCACAATAATTATAACCTGCCGATTTTTTCTCGAACTCTCTTGCAAAAAAATATAAGATTACGGTCCTAAAGCCATGAGTGGGCGGCAGCTGGTATTTGTAACACAGCCTAAATTCAGTCTCACGGTAGAGGGATGGAATTTTCAAAAGAAAAGGTTTATATGCAATATTATTAGGCAGTTTAGACCGAAGAGAAATTTTGACTCCTTCAGGCACTTCTATATAACAGGAAATTTTTTGCATTTTAAAAATGGCCAAAGGGCAATATCTCATTCCAACGTATTCCCTTCCATTCTTTTTAATTTTATCATTAATTAGAAATTGGTGGTATGTATTTCATTTAAAAACAAAACCAGGTGAGAATTCATGTCATATTATTAAGTGAAACTCAGTAATTGTAATGAAATAAATATCACAAAATAACTGAAAAATATATATAAGTATGCTCGAAAATGTAGAAGCAGAAGAATCGAAAGGAACCGCAAGGTGCCTTGAAAGTCAGCTGGCTTTCGTTATTCGCGCACCTGTCTATGAACGCACACAAACCGGAACATTATTTCTTCTAAATAAATAGAAAATAATTCGTATTTTTTATACACACACTGTAAAAGTAAAAACACAAAAACAGTTGTGAATCTGAAACATTTTAATTAAATAAACAATATATTTCTATTTATTGCTCTAAAATTTTTTGTAATCAACTTCCTCTTAGTAAATAGAGATTTTTTTGCTGTTGACTTAGAATAGAATAAATATTACAAAAAAGATTTTACTTTAATAACTATATGATTAATATTTCTATTAATTCTACAACAATATTTGTTTCATTGACATGATATGACTAAGATTTTGTTATTTATTTTTAGATCACAGAAGGAAGACCACGTATTCGACATCACAAAGGAGATTCTAAATGTAGCAGATGTGGTCCAGGATGGGGTGTGACGAAAATTTGCACACCATATCACGACACTGAATGCAACAAGTGTGAACATGGCACTTACAGTCCCCATCACAACCTCCAATCATGCTGGCTATGCTCAAGATGTGGTCCAGGACTCTATGAAGCGCATCCATGTACTCCCAAGACTGATACTGTTTGTGATTCCTGCCATCGTCATGCTTTGGATAACCTTGACTACCAGAAAAAATGTAAAGGACACAAAAATTTATTCTTGGCTCCAGAAGATGCAAGAAGTACAGGAGAAGAAAGTTCATTAGTGAATGAAGAAGATGAGAATATTGATGAAAAAGAACGAGAAGAAATTCTGAGAGATGATATTCGAGCTGAATTACTAGATGAAGAGAAATTTAACGAAGAATCATCTTCATAAATAAATTAAAAAGTAGCCAATTGAAAAATTAATCCATAAATCTATTGATCAGATATTTAATTATCTAAAATTGTGAAACTAGTCAGCGAAAATATGGATGTTCTAATAACAATGTATATATTTTAATAATTTATTTCATTAACTCGGTTTACAGACATTAGGATTAATTAAAAGTGAAGCTCTCATTATTAATTAGGTATTAACCTCTTCACATACTCTTAATTAAATTAAGCGTTAACTTAATTAAATTAAACTATTTTCAACCGTGCTATTATCTAGCAATAATATTATTGAATGATCATCGTACTAAATGATAAAAAGAATATTTAAAAAAATGAAAACCTGATTTTATTGATATAAAATAATTATTTTCAAAACTTTAATCTAGAAAATCTATTTATTCTACTCAAATGATTATGCCATTCTATTTTCAATATTTTTTACTGATGTAATGCTTGTATACAAGTTTTAATAATTTTAGTTTATTCATTTCGCCTTTCTACTGAAGTGTATATTTATATATATATTATTTATGGTACAATTAATTAAATACATCAGTTTTTTTGTATATACTCAAACACAGTTAATGTTTTTTATTGATTTATAAATGCTTCGTATTTTTTTACTATTTGTGTATTTTTTAAAATATTTATTTTACTAGTTTTAGCCAGTTAATATGAATTTAATGAAACGCATTGATGAATGAAATTACGTTTTTATTTCAACATATGATAAATAGGACTTTGAAATTATTTTAATTATTGAAGACTTATTACGATAAAAATACTTCTCTCATTAGCATTTATTTATCAACAGTCTTATATTACTTTCCAATAGTTCAATTTTAGTGTATATGTTTTGAAAAATAATTGTAATGTATTTTTATGTGTTGAATTAAAATTTATTTATAAATCGATTTGAAATATTTTCAATATTTTCAGGGTATGCTTTGAAAAAAAAGGAAAGTAAGTAATTTTATAGATGTAAGTGGTTTAGTGATAAAAAATAAAACAGCACCAGGATAAACTTGGATGCAGAGAAGCAGTAAAATACAGCTAGAGTATATTAGATGATATATTATTCAATATTATGAATCAATAATGTTTTACAAACGTACATGTACATGGAACTTAACGATAAAAAATAATTCAACGTATGGGAGTTTTTTGATTCAACTTATTCAACGTATATGAAAATTTATATGAATAGAAAGATATAAAAAAAAACAGGATATCTATTTCATTGACATAATTAAAATAATATCAACTATATTAATAATAACAAGAGGAAGATATCATCCATTTACATAAAAAATAAAAACAAAAATACACATACCACTTTGGAAATTGATTTATCATTATCGTTTCAATGATTAGTTCTATTTTTTCTTTTCGTGATCATCTTTATTACAATAATGGTGTGATTTCCACATTCGTATTACTCACGATATTTTTATATTTATATAATAATAATTTCATTCAATTATTTCATCATTACATATTATTTATATATATTTATATATTATTATTGTAACATTAATGATAAGCATAATTTAATCTCCTGAACGTTTCTTATTTCATTGATAATGATTTTTCATCTATTTTTATTTATTACTTATATTTTATTCTCTCAATCTCGTTCACATTTCTAAAAACTTTGTACAATCAAAGAGTGCTACATATTTTAGTGATGAAGTTTGCGCTATAATTAACGATTTTCTATACGGCAAATTAAATGTTTTGTATATTCAATATTCAATCAATCCATTTATTGTTTTCAAGATTTTGTGTAGCACAAACGGTCTAACATTCAATACGCGACGAAGTCAATTATCGTACCTGCTTCGATAACTCAATTGAAAATGTTGAGATTCAACCATATTTAATACCTACTGCAGAGTATAATAAGAGAGTAAAAATATACATCATTAATTTCTTCAACATATAAGAAATTATTTCATCAATAAAAATATAACATCAATTTAAAACGTATTAGATACACATCTTACAAAGTTTAAACAAAAATGATTCTCAAGTTTAAAAACGATTTACACTCAAAAACAAAAAATTTTCCACTTCAATCTTGCATCCAATCGATAAGTAAAGAATTATTGATTCAAAGTTTTATAAAATTATTATTGGATGAAAAATTGCAACAGAATTTTCATTTAATCATTTACGTGTGAATTACAGGAAAAATTTCATTAATTATATTCACACTCATAAAAGAAATGTACACCAAATTGAAAAATGTTTTTCCTTAAAAAATAAAATTAATTAAAGTTTGAAATTTTTTTTTATCTTTAGCTGCAAAAGATTTCAACATTTTAACTTTTTATGATCAGGCTATCGCCAATAATTAATGATGTATTTATATACAATTGAGTCTTTTAATATTTTTTAAAGAGAGAACATTAGTAGAACCCTAGTCTTTCAAATATAATTTAAGAAAAAATATCCAAATGAACCAACAAAAAACACTGGCTATTATTGAACGCTATATTAACTGATCGTTGTTATCATTGACTTTTTAGTTCTAAATCTAATAGAACCAATATCTCTAAGAATTAGTTTTGACATACTCAATCGATTAAAAAATTACCTAGTAAAAATAAATTTTAATAGAAAAAAGTATTAAATAATTTTTAGTTAAGCAACCTAAAAGAATAAAATATTATGTATTTTGAGCTCCATTAAATACGTGACTCGAAAGAAACAAATATTCATTCCAAGTATTTATTATCATCACACCTACTCAAACCACTCATTCATGTTTCTCGTAACTTGGATAGCAAACAATTCTAAAGCAAAAAAATGATATACAGCCAGATGACCACAAAGCATAAACAAAAAGATTTTAAGATCTACAAAGAACTTGATAACATAAAGCATTTGATTATAAAAAATACTCTCACTTCTCCTAATGCTTTGCGGTTAATAAAATAATAATAAATACATTAAAAAATTTTATGGAATCAATAGATAAACTATTGAAACACCTCCAGTTACGGACTAATACTGTCCATCATTGCCACTTCATGTCTTTCACAATTTCTATTCGTAAATTATTAATTAATTTATTAATTAATTTTTATATTATTCTTTTTGTATGAAATTTGAATTGTTATCATTGGCATTTTCAGCTGTTCGTAATGATTGTTTATCAATTTTTTGAATGAATTCAATGTATTCAAAGATGTATTATGATGCTTCCGAAAGCTATTTATTTAATCCGATATGATTTACCAACTGAACTTTGTGGTTACATTTTGAACATACCAGATATAGATGTTTATATACTTGAATAATCAACATTATTATCATTTAAGACATAAGATTTTTGGTATCTTAGGTCTGCACGGTTGGCGAATTATTTCACTTTATATTTTAATGGTAATTATCGATAATTAAAGTCAGTACCTTTGATTTTTTCAGCGATTAAAATTGGTCCACTAAAAGGTCGCAAATTTCTACTGACATCGATTCTTTACTTGAACGTACGGTTAGTCGGAACATCTATTAAGAAATAATTTTTAGATGAGCTGTGGTTAAACTAAAATGATAATTTACAAAAAAAAATATATATTACCTGTGCTTGTTTGTTAGGTTCAAGACGTAGAAGACAACCAACTTGCTGAGCTCGCATGTGTACAATTCCAGCACAGACAAAATTATCCGGATTAGGATCGATGCCATCGAGCAATTGCATTCCAAAACCTTGTAATTTAGTACGTACTTGAGCTAGATCCATAGGTTGCTGTGCTTTGAAAATTTTCTGCGATCGTTGTTGATTAATGCTGTCAAACATAAATGACAAATATTTAAAGTAAAAATTTATGTGGTAAAAAGTATTAAAAAAATTATTGATTACCCGCCAAGATTCTTCCACCGAGCGAAAAATGATTCACCATTCATCTCCGTTGGCTCAAAGAATTTATTTATTGTTAATGGTAGTTTCATCGTAATTTTTTGAGGGATATTATTATAAACAAATGATATCATCATACTAGGCGCATCTATAAAGTCAAAAACCTTTTATAGAATTTAAATAATTGAATTGATAGATTGTTACATTAATATTACCTACCATTGTAGTCATCAATACATTCAGCATTAATCATTTGTTGAATTTGCGCACCAGCTTCAAGCATAGGATCTACTGGTTTTACTTGAACAGCTAACTTTGCTTGTTGTTCATCTGACCAAATAAGCTGTGTTTGAAAACTATGAAGAGCAGTTTGTGTTTTATTGCCATAAAATAATCCCACACGACCGAGATTCTGTCGAAATTCTGACTTTACTCCTATTTGAATAAAATCATTTTCGAATAGTACGCCATTGTTTTTACAGACAAATTTCTTAGGATTATACGAATTCTGTGCACCATTCGTAGCGCTGACTTTATTGGGCATGTTATAAATGTCACCCAAAACGTCTAGAAGTACTCCAGTATTACTACTAGGCTGTGAGGAAGGTGGTGTCGACAATCCAAGAAGATCCGCAGAAGAGTTGTTAACACTTACGGCAGGAGCTGCAGCAGTTGATTCAGTATGATGATTAGCATTCGGTGCAGGACTTTTATTTTCTCTGATTTCATTTTCTGGTACTCTTCCTGGTTTTTTCTTCTTTAAAACAGCTAAAATGGAAGATTCTCTTTCCGGGAAAGCTGGCATTTCTTCTAAGACTGTTGCTAAAACATCTGTTGATGCTATGATACTGAGCTGAAGATATTCCGACGCTCGCTGCTGCAATTCTGCATCGGCACTACGTAAATTACTATGCTGCCTAAAGACATCTTGGATTTGACTTCTAATTTCTGGGAATAAATTCACAAACTTAATATACGTAGACAGAAGCAGAGCTCTCGTCATAGGAGAACATAAATGATATTTGGAATGTAGAAGTTGAAATTGAACTGAAGGAGAAGATCGTGAATCACCAGCGATTAAGTTACCAAACTCTCCAAGAATATATCCACCAACTTTGACCATATTTTCATGACAAGCAGGAGCTTGAAGAGCTTCAAAAACCGTCTTTGCTGCATACCCTTGGACATCATCGCGATTAATAACAATTTGAATAACTCTGTACCAAACTTCTTCGGAGACATAATCACCAGCTATCCTAATGAGGTTTAGAATAACATCAACATACCAAGTATAATCTGAGGCGTATTTTTCTGCTAGTATGGCCACTTTCAATACCATTTCCTCTCTTATAGAGTAATCAGCAGTTTCTAAATAATTTAACATTTCTTGAACGATTTCTTCTGCATTGCTCTTGTCACACATAGCATAAAGCAAATCAACAGCTTGTTGACGTACAGATACATCTTTTTCCATTTTCATTGATAAAATAACAACCTCTTGATGCTTTTTTACTGCTTCGTGAGAAAATTCTGATGTTGCTAAATGACACATCGACTCTAATGCAAGATAACGGAGATTCGTTTCGCGATTGGATAAAAATTGTCCAAGTTGGTTGCAAGCACGCACTAATAGATTTGGTTCACTGTCATTATGAATAATAAGACTGATAGCTTCAAATAGTACAGCATTTTTGGCATTTGAATGCTGAACTTTTTTTGATTTTGGTGGTTCCTGAGCTTTATTTAATATTGTTTCTAAGCATTCATTTAATCTTCCACGAACTCCAGGATCTTCTGCAGGTGGAGTATAATTTTGCAGAAGTCTTAAGAGCTTCACGGAAAGCCAAGGAGCAGGCACAAAGTAATATGTATAATCCTGCAAATCTGTATAACTTGAAGTTACAATTCGACTTAGTCTCGAGACTGCAAGGCTTACACAGCCTTTGTATTCATCAGGATTTCGTTTTACTAGAGCATCTATCAATGACGCTGCTGCAGTAACAACACCTAAATGTTGATCATTCAACAGATGGACGATTCTGGAAGTCCATTCACCGCCAGGAACAACATCTGGAGCCGTTCGAAGAAGTCGTAATAGACAAAGAGCTGCACTTTGTTTCACCACGTCCATTGTATCTCTGTGAAAAATTATTAAATAACAGAAGTAATTCTTTTACGTATTATAATTATATCGCAAGCATAATAAATTGAATAGAGTTCTGGTATAAATATTTCAAAGCTGTTGAACATGTTGTCTATTTTTATTCCATATTGCAAAGCTTATTTAGGCATATTTTACCTAATATCCAGGCGTCTAGATCCAATAAGCAATTGTGAAATAACAAAGTGTGTTTTGATGGGTAGCAGATGTAAGTGTAAAGTATTAATTGTGTTGTAAGAGTTATCATTTTTGTCAGAAAAATTTTATTCATCTACTTACCCTGATACAAGAAGTTTCGGGATTTCATTGCCAAATGCCTCAGCCATTTCTTTACTTCCAATATTTGCAATACATTGAAGAGCAAGATTTACATGAATAGGATTACGTGATGCAAGATCATTTTTGATGCTTTGAATAATTAGTTTGATGAGATCACTGTTTGTATTTACTAGGACTGATATGAAAAGATATCCCTATAAATCAATTAATTAATTAAAACAAAATATTATTATATAATTACTCCATTAATTAGTTATAAATAATGACTTTATTTTGATGATACTTACAATTTGTTTTTCAGAATATTTGTTGGAAGATAGTAGGTTAACAGCCTCCATGTGTCCAAAATCAATATCATGTCCAAGTAAAAAGATAAACAACAGCTTACAGACATACTTCTTTTTCTGATAACCGTCTAAAGTTTTATCTCCTTTGAACTTACTTCGGATATTTGCTAATTCTTTATTTATCCTCTTAATTTCTGCTTCCTTGCTTTTACCTAATAATTGAAACGAAATTTCAATTAAAATCATTTAATTAAGCAATAAATAAATCAAATATCATTATTATAAATGTAGAAACAAAAAATTGACCTAAGGATATTGTAATGGAATGAGTGGCAGTATGCCATTTGGCTCAATCTTCATAATCACGTGCATCAATTGCCATTTAAGAATTTTAGTCTACATTTATTTGACTGACAGCTAGACAATACTAATAAAGTTAATCATATTTTTCTTAATGAAATAAAATCTTCAATTATTGATCATTTTTACAATACAGCTTACAAAGTTTCATGAATTATATTAATTTATTTGAATATTTTCTATCAGGAAGATAGGCTTATATCAGAGCTCCGCCCCCAAAGGTTCACACTCTCTTTGCATCACATTCTATTCACAATTGCTTAGTTTCAATGCCAGTTTATCTTTAGTGAGTTTTACTCCGAAATATGTAGAAATAATTAAGGATCCAGAAATATTTCAAAATTAATTCAGAAATAATATTTATTGATGAATATGAGTAAGAATTAACTAATTTTGAATGACATGTTAAGTTATAAAATAATTTTATATTAAAAACATAGTGTTATTATCATTTTACTGAAAATAATTATCTTCATGTAATATTTTTCATGACTCAATAATTGTATAATGCAATGAAAAATGATTATATTGTCCTATATACACAAAGCATTTATAAGATTAATTAAAATAGTGATGTTAAATATAAAAATTTAATTAATTAAATTTATGTGAATTTTCTGAACTTACAATTTCTGATATCTGAAATAAATACAGCAAGTCCACGCATTCCATCCCCTCGAACGGCTGGCATTTTGTTTCTTTTAGCTCAGAACCACCTGATGATAATTTATATTTAATAAATTTTATTTTCTATGATTTCAGTGTATTATTTTTTATTGTGTAAACTATTAGATATACTTCCAAGGTCAATAGATGCTTTTTTTAGCTTTGATAGTCTCTGAAAACAGATTAGCAATGATCGTCAATCATAATGGTTTCATCGTTTTTCAACTGATAGAATAAAAAATCGCTTTTACTACAATGCTTGTGACATTAAGAAGTAATATCAGGCAAAGTAATTTCAATGTTGCAATCAATATAACCCCTCTAACATCAATATCTACTTGATCACGACCACCTTACGTCCAACTGGAATGTGAGAGGGCTCATGTGAACGAATTTATTCACTCTCTTATCCTAATGAATGTACTCAAGTCATTGCAAGCCGGTTAAAGACCTATTACGACCTAATTTTGACCATGAATATCAATTTTGACAGCAACTTGTGCTTGCGCATCCGTTAAAAGGCAAAGATCAAGCTAAAGATGAATATTAGACGATCATTACAATCATGATTGTTTCAATAAGTTCAAAAATAAAAATAGTCGTGAAGTCAATTAATCATTAAAAAATAAATGAAATTGATAGGACAAGCTTAAAAATAATATTGTAATTGAATGAAAGATTAAATAAGAACTAATATCGACCGTTTTTACAAAGAAAAAACTTGCATCTATGACCATACCCGGATAGAATTAGCCGAATAAAATTTCAACTGATTATTTTCGAAGTATTCGTGAGATATAAGGATTCACTGAAAACACCTTTAAGTATTGGGTTATTTTATTCACATACCAATTTGGGAGAAGAACTACTGCGCGAACTATTTGGTCGCGGAATATCCCTAAAAATGTGAACTAAACACAATTCGATGCCACGAATTTAGTGGTTGTCGCCATTTGCAACCGCTGACTGGTGTGACGGCTCCACGATTTCAGAATTCCATCGAGGGCGCATAACCTCAACGCGCGCCTGCGCTATTTAGGATGCGCATGTGCCCATTTTTGGCGGAAATTCAAATAGCTGTCAAAATTGAAATAAATAACACTAAATAAAAAAATAAATGTAGAAATAATTTATTTTCTACACATTTTATTAAATAATTAAGTCTAATACATGATTGCTATAAAAAAGTTTCCTTAAAGTACATACGTACTTAATCATATTTTTTCATATTCACACTCATGAGTGTATTATATTATTAAAAATATCATTCAATTATTTTTAAATACAATAAATTAGATAATTTCTAAATTTAACGTGAACTTTGACTTAATTGAATTTGTTGGAGCAACATCTCTATTCGATCTTTCATGATAGGTTGTCCTTTTTTTGTTTTCCTAGATAATTTTTTGTATTTTTCAGTTCGCTTCTGTTTATATTTTTCTAAAGCTTGTGCTTTTTCTTCTTGTTTTTTACGCATTTCATTGTATCGATTCAGTTTCTCTTCTCGTTTTGCAACCGCTCTGGCACTTTTTTTAAACTTAAATTGTCTAAAAATTGTAACACAGATTAAATAATATGTTTTAACACAATTTCATTAATTACGGAATAGTAAATAAATACTCACTTATTATCATTAACTGCAACAGATTCGTTCAAGTCTTTACGTTTATTTCTTTGATGTAACGAAACTTCCTGTCCCAACTCCTGGAGAATTTGTTTTCGTCTTTGATTTTCCCATTGAAGTACTAATCAAAATAGAATAAGAAAATAATTTATTGTTGATAATTTAAAAACTTTTATATTAATAATGTAACCTTACTTTTATGGTTTTTGCTATACATTTTCTCTCTGAACGCTTTTTTATCGAATGGCTTTTTAACCTTGCCATTTTTCACTGGCTCCTTTTGATGTCGATCGTTTTTTCTGTGTTTATTGTTGAAATTCATTGTTTTTAACAATCTTATATCATAGTTATGACATAAAAATAGTGCACTAACATTACACTTGACGCTGTTAACAAACGGAACACGTTGTAAAACGGAGCACGTTTCAAGTGAAGAAAAGAGACTCCTATCGGTCAGTCAACAAAAGTTTCCAAACTGTAAACCAAAATTACTAGCATGTCGAGCCAACTCTATTACGTTACTCTTCTTTGACAGCGAATATTTCAGCTCCAAATTCCTTATTATGTTTCGAAGAATACAATCAGTATGAAATCAAAACTTTTATTATTTGTCATTTATTGAATGAAAATTATTAAATTAATATTAAGTTATAAGTAAATAGTGCATAAATAATAGTTATTTACAAATTTTTTAAATATTGACATAATTTTTTTTAATACCGCAATAAAGGTACATAAGAGTATTATATTCAAGTAAGTAGGTTATAAGATTTTTACTGATCATATTTATCTATTTAAATTTATAATATTATAATTATTAATTATTGAATCCAAAATTTTAATTATAAAATATTTAAAACTTGAAGCTTTTTATATTTGCTTAAAGCTCATTAGATTGTTTATATCATTTTTTCATTAGGTACAATGTTGGAAGGTGATGAATTGGATGAAATTAATCCTGAAGAATCACTGAGAACGTTTAAAGATTTACTTAATGAGAGCCAAGATGATGAAAATGTAGAAACTGAAACATCTGCAGTACAGGTACATCGTCGAATCATTAAAATAATCCAATATTTCATATTGTTTATACATACACAATTTATTAATTATTTAGGATGATGTGGAAGAACTTGTGTTACAACTTTACAAAGCTGAAAATGAGCCAATATTAACAAGAGGAAAACACGTTTCTTTTTTAAAAAAATCATTGGCTAAACTCTCAGTCTATAATGAGGTATGCATTTTTTTGAATGGTTATGTAAGAAAAATTTATCAAATGCATAAAAATTTCATTCATCAATAGGGTTTAGACTCCAGCAGACCTTGGTTATGCTATTGGGCTCTTCATGCTCTGAATATTCTTGGAAAGCGTCTAGAAGAAGAGGATTCTTTAAAAGTAGTAAATTTTTTATCAAAATGCCAACATCCTACGGGAGGATTTGGTGGAGGTCCAGGTCAATATCCTCACCTGGCAACCACTTATGCTGCAGTAAGTGCTTTATGTACAATAGGCACTAAAGCTGCATTTGATTCTATTAATAGGTAAAATAATTAGATTATTTGTTGAGTTATTCAACTATTGATTAAGTTTTATCTTCTTTAAAAGAATCGTTATTTTTCAGAGAAGGGCTCGTTAGGTTGTTTAAATCTTTAAAATTAGAAGATGGAAGTGTTCTAATGCACGTGGATGGAGAATTAGATATAAGAGGAGTCTATTGTGCGATATCTGTAGCTAAACTCACAAATACTTTTACTCCTGAGCTTTTTGAAAATACTGGTGACTGGATAGCTCAGTGTCAAACGTGGGAAGGAGGATTTGGCGGATGTCCTGGAATGGAAGCTCATGGAGGGTATACTTATTGCGGATTAGCAGCATTAGTTTTATTGGGGGAAGTCGACAAATGTAATATTCCTGCATTGTTGGTAAACATTAAAATTAATTGCATTCTATCGAAATTTATTTTACCATATAATTGATAGGTAATGATAATTTTTAATTATAGAGGTGGATAGCTAATAAACAAATGCGATTGGAAGGAGGCTTTCAAGGAAGAACTAATAAATTAGTAGATGGGTGTTATTCATTTTGGCAAGGAGCATCTTTCTCTCTTGTCAATACAATTTTATTAAATGAAAAAAAATGCAGCTTTAATAAATACTGGTTGTTTGATCAGAGAGCCTTACAAGAGTATATATTAATATGCTGCCAACATCGTCAAGGTGGATTTTTGGATAAACCAAAAAAGTAAGTAATTGCATAATTTCTTTTTTTTTCTATGAGCGAAAACATAAATTGATACTAAAAGAAAAATCATGAATACAGGGACCGTGATGTCTATCACACTTCTTATGTACTTAGTGGCCTATCGATAGCACAAAATTCACCATTGCCACTGATAATTGGTCGACGGAATTCGAATACAGTAGAATCAACCCATCCTCTTTACAATGTTGTTCATGACTGTGTGGAGAGAGCTTTGGAATATTTTAAAAAACTGCCAATACCTGACTGAAAGCATTGAGTACTTATTACACCATAATAAATGTTATTGAAAGAGATAATAACTACTAATATAATATAAATAAATTAGTTAAAATAATTAACTAATGAGAGAGAAAAAAAAAGATTTTACCTTTTATGGACCAAAATAATATAGGTTTAAAAGATTTAAAATAGTTATCAATCATGTCATTAAGGATTCACTTAAATATACAAGTTCAACATTAGCTGTAATTACAAGAGCCTAAAATTTAAAAATCCTATAAAACTGAAAAAAGATCACTGAGATTTTTAATCAGACATTAATATAAAATTATCGATAAATTGTAATTTCTATAATTGCCAATTTAATTACAATTTAAAGCATTTTGTCTTATTTTTACTGTTTATAAGTATTGCAAGTGAGAATTGATCAAGTACACAATGCATTGAAGAAAATAAATAAAATGTTTACCAAAATCCGTTATGATATACTCTATTTTCAATTTTTTACATACAACCTATATTTATAACATTCAATTATAGATATTTAATTTATTATTATAATCATAATTTACAACTTTTACAAATAACCATGTTTTTTTGATAAATAATACGGAATGATGGATATTTTAACAGTAAAATTATTCACATTGATATATGTATTTGTATTATTTCATTACATACTCTTGATGGTAACTCCATTCTAAAAAACGAAAAATTAATTGTTCAATGAATGTTAAACGATTTTGAGAAATATTAAACTGATAATTATAAACATTTTAATAATTGAACATTAGTAGTATATTTACCCATTCTCTAGATATAAGCAATAATGTGGTATTCGATAACCTTGGTCCTATAAGTGGGTTCATTTGTGCCATATAACAACATAGCCAGCTACAAAAATAAATATAAAAAATTAAATATCAAATTTATCCATTTTTCCTCAATGTACTTTTGTTATTCATAGTTATCGACTTACAATAGCCAGCATGTAAATGCTGTTAACATCAAAATAACTTGAAGAATTCTGAAATAATTAATTTTTATGATAATTAAATATCGAATATAAAGTTTACATAAGTGAAATAAACACGTAAGCACAATTAAAATACAAAATTAAATAACACACCCTCGATTTGGCCCTTTTGGAACAAAAAATGGTAAAACTATTCCAATAGCACCCCAAAAAAGTGTGAAAAAGCAAACGGGAATTGGTGATACACCCATTTTTTTATTTTAAAAATATCTTTTTTTTTCGTTAAATAACTTAAATACTACTTATTTATTTAATGCTGAAGGATATTCGTTAACACAATAACATTTAGTGACTTTTGGAGCAAAATTTGATGGGCGTTCAGTAGACGACACTAGTGAAATACATCACATGAGTCGATGTGCCACGAAGTTGGCCGAGCAATGTCATGTGATCACTCTGTAATCACGTGACCAAATCAAATAAATTGAATAAAAAACAAAACGTCAATTTTCGTCAATATTCGACAATAAATCTCCTAACAAATAAAAAAATTATTTTAAAATAAATTCTTTAATCAATGCAATCATTTTATTTCAAATATTAAAAAAATATTTAATTATACAATATAATTTTAAAAATTAAATAGTGAATAATTTAATAATCATTCATTACAAACTATTCTAATAAATATCAATACAAAACACGATTAACTGTTATTATTTTGCAATTTTTGTATTTTTTTTTCAAGTCTTTCAATATCATCCAATCTTTCTGGAGTATCGATCATAGCTGAGGGTGTATCACTATTTTTAATAGTAGAAGAATTAGCATCATTAGCAGCTTTATTTCCACATTTATCCATTTCTTTATCTATTACTGAACTAATTGGAGAGTCATTCGAAGTAACAGCCGATGAATTCGAAGACAATAGTGATATTTTCTCCAATGTACCAGACAAATCTAGGCTCACAACTGTCAAATCTACATCTTTATGTAAAACAAAACTATCTTTGCTGAATAAGTGTTGTCTTACACATGAAAGATTTCTTCTTTTTATTCTCATGTTATCCATTGACATTTGCAGATTTTTCGATTTTTGTGTTTTTGGTGTTTTATACATAATAGATTTTTCAGATCTCATTTCTTGACCTCGACGAATATAGGGTATTAGGCAAGACATGCTCAAAGGTGTTTTTGGAGTACTATTAGGTGATTGAATAGAAACAGGAGGTTTATAATTTTTTACAGTATAAGGGGTTCTGATGAATGTCAGGTTCGTTTTATTTTGTGTAGCATTTAAGACATCTCTTTGTCCAAAGCGTGATTTTTGTGAATCATTAAAACATTGAGATTTGTTTATAACAACAGCAAGAATGGGTTGAAGCTTTTTCACAACATTTACCAATAGTGCTAATCGTTTTATAACTCGTAGTTGTTGTGGAGCTGGTGCTTTTGATCCTAATAAAAATTTTGCTGCACAAGAATAAGCCTCATACGTTGCTACTTTCAATTCTCTTATAATCTTATTAGTTGATTCATCAACATTTTCATGACCAATGTCATCAACTGCTACAGTAATTTGTGTTGCTAGAGTACAGGCTCGATAAACCATCAATTTTACTTGAGACATTGTAATATCTTGACGATTTTCGAAACAGTTTGATATTGCATTATGCTGCTCTTGCAAATCATCCAGAATTACTTGGCAATAAGCAGCTGAATCAATTATTGAATCTATAGCTTTATGGAGTTTATTCATTTCATTTTGCCATTGAGATGTTAGAATTTTTACTCCTGTTCGAAACTCTTCATTGAGAGGGTCTAAATAAAATGATGTTATCGATATAACCAACTCCAAATCTAAAGATTCTAAACTAGCCATATGGTTTCTGATTTTTCCAATTTCTGCAAAATTAAAATGATTTATTACTTATTCATCTACTCTTGTTATTTTTAAATAATATTTATAATAAAAACTACTTACTATTAACATCATTGCAACAAGCAATAGCATAAAGCCCAATCTGCATAGTTTTATCAACAATTTGATCGAAATCTTCAATTGCATCGGCCAAGTCACTTTTTCTTCTCGCATCAGGAGGCAATGAATTTCCACAGAGCTGAACAAGCTTTTTTAAAGCATTAAAGGGTTCACTAAATACTTCCATAACCAGAGTAAGCATCGATATATTAACTTGTCTCTCAAGTCTATATAACGAATCCGTAAAAATGTTGATAAATAAATTATTTAAGGTTTTATCAGGTTCCTCTGAAATTAATTGAGTTTTCAAATTTTCGTATTCAGAAATGACTGATTTACTAGCTGTAGTAATTTCTTTAAAATGCTCTGGCCGACAGACCTGAGCTATTGTCATAGTATGAGAGAGAACTTCTTCGAGAATCATCCATAATTCACTGCACATATTCACCTGTTCTTGTTGATTCTGATCTGACATATGTGATACTGTATCAAGTGCTAAATCCATTTTAAAAACAAAATGCTCTTCTTTTTCAAGAATTTCTTCATCTTCTGTAGGATTGGGAGCTTCTATAACATCAATGATCATCTTTAAACATTGGCATATTCGATTACAAATATAAGTTTTGGTGTTATAGATAGGAAGATTTAATTTATGTTGTTCTTGAACTAAATTAACAAGTATTGTAAAAGCTGTAGATAGCTGACAAGTGAATAAAATAATTTTTTCTTTTAATAAAATTGATACTAAATTTCTTGCATACAACTGAAGTGGTTTAATCACGTCTAATAATGAAGCACCTAATTCTTTAATATTTTCATAATCTTCTATGCCTTTGACTTCTCCCATTTCTTTCACATACTCCCATGTGTCTTGAAGTTGTTGTTTCAACTCCACACATTCCAGGCTCTCTAAATTTTTCAAAGCAGCTTGAAAATGATCAAGAACATTCGATATTACGTTCTGTTCATCATCAACATTTACAATAACATCTAAAGAACCAAATTCTTCTATTAAACTAATAATTTTACATTTCATATCTTTATAATCAGCTGATTCATCACTCAGAAAACGTGATAGTTTTCGATCAAAGTCATAAAAATGTTCAAGTATAACGGACTTCAAAGATTTTATTTCAGGAGTTTCTTTCTCTGAAACTTCAAACAATTCTTGCAATTTTTTTAACTGAGTTTCAATAGGATCCCATATATTTTTTATTCTTTTCGTTTTCAAAGCCATCTTCCAACAACTAGAATAGCATGTATTTAACAAATATTTGTTTTAAACAATAAAAGAGCACTTTCTACTCCAATTCATTTGTAAACAAATGGCAAGGAAACCACGGTAACGATGGTCAGATTGATTCCGAGGTCGTTATTTTCTATCTCATTCATGCTTCTGGTAGGTTCATTCAATAAAAAGAGAACAATATACAGTCGCGTATAGTACGTTTCGAGACAGTACAGGCCTCTGGAGTTCGTTCCATAAAACTTATTCAATGTATAGATCTCTTGTAAAAAATACTTACCATCTAATACATATTACTTTCGGCATACACACACGGTGAAACAGGTATCAGTTAGCTAAAAGAATAATACAGTTAAAATATTATCAAATATAAGTGATTTACTTTTTTAATAAAGTGCTAAACATAGTGGTGAAACAATATAATGTGGTAATTATATTTTCTTACATACTCATGTCCAATAATATCAGTTATAAATAAAGTTATACATAGATTTAGCGGTGTGGAGCATAACAGTCAAGATTGTCAAGATTAGTATGATTAAAAGGATCAGAAGGATAAACGCCGAGAAATTTTCAATTAGAAGGGGTAGACAAGAATTTAAACAATTGTGATGTTAAATGGTGCAGATATGGAGTAGAAAGTAAAAAAGAAAATCTTTAAAAAGTGAGAGTATAAGAAAAAATGTGTTGTTTTGTTAAAAAATAAACGAGACACGAGTACAAACGACAGCAGATGAATGAATCATAAGAATTAATAATAAAAATGGGGTTGCCTGCACGAGGGGTGTTAGCAGCATTTGTAGCAGCAGCTGCATTTGCTGTATACAGCAATAGTCTAGGTTGTGGTTTTGTTTTTGATGATATTTCAGCCATCAAAGATAATCGTGATCTGAGACCCCATACACCTTTAAAGAATATTTTTTACAATGACTTTTGGGGTACTCCTATGTATAAGGTAACTAGCGTAACAATAATAATTTAATGAATTATTCATATATGCATGCAACATGCAGAAAACGTTGTATATATATTTATAAAAAGCACAGTGTTCTTGGTTATTGTTTCAAAATCACTTTGCATCTAACCACTTGCGTATTGATCGACTTTTCTTATTTTGACGTGGTGAAATAATTATTATTATCACCATAATCATGATTAAGTTAAACAGAGTCCTTTTAAAATCTATTATTATCTAGTTAATTTAATTTTGCTCGAAAACTTTTATCTTTATTGGTTTATCGTCTATATACCTTGTGATTTTTTAGCTGAATATGGCGATCTAGATTGATAAAGAAATTATCGATAATCATATATGGTTAAATTATTTCTACTCATTTATTTTTCAGGAACAATCTCATAAATCGTACAGACCATTTTGCGTGCTTACTTTTCGATGGAATTACTTGATCCATCAATTAGATCCTATGGGATATCATTTACTCAATGTTATTCTCCACATGGCAGTTTGTATTCTTTATTTTAGGTACTTAATTTAAAAAACTAATAAACTCAATTAAATAATATAAACATCATAGTTTTTTAGATTGATTAATAAAATTTGTTGTTTCAGGACTTGTTTAATGTTTTTATCAGATTTAACGAGTTTTGTGTCAGCTCTATTATTTGCAGTGCATCCTATCCACACTGAAGCTGTTACTGGTGTAGTAGGAAGAGCAGAAACTTTGTCGTCTTTATTTTATTTAGGTGCACTTATAATGTACACAAAAGCTTGTAAAAGTAAAAGAACTACAGGTAAAAAAATAAATCATCAGATAGTTTAATCAGATAAAGAATAAAATAAATTCTAGTTTTAAATAATTAAAAATATTTTATCATCACACAGCTTGGCAGCCTATGATGCTATCCACGCTTTGTGTTTTTATCGCAATGCTTTGTAAAGAGCAAGGTATCACAGCTACTGCTGTTTGTGTAGTATATGAAATTTTTGTAGTGCAAAAGGTAAAAGCACTAGACATATTACTCGCAATAAAATCTGCCTTTGGTGGTAATAAGATTAATCCTACGTGGTCAGGTGAGGGGACCAAACGCCTGGCTGCTCTTACTCTCGTTACATTTAGTCTTTTAATTCTAAGATTACATATAATGGGCTCAAGATTGCCAGTATTTACGAGGTTAATAATATTTTTTATTATTTTTTTTGAATGAAAAATATTAATTAAATATATCATATTCATTATACATTTATATTATTAACAGGTTTGACAATCCTGCATCAGTGGCTTCTACACCAGCTAGACAATTAACGTATAATTATCTAGCTGCAGTTAATTTAAGATTATTACTTCTACCGACTGACTTGTGCTGTGACTGGACAATGGGCACGATTCCGTTAATAACGAGTTTTGCAGATCCACGGAACCTTGCTACATTTGTTGCTTATGGGACTATTCTAGGACTTTTATTAACTGCTATTTTTACAAATAATCGTCAAACATCAATAATAATTATTATTAGTTTAGCCTTAATGATTCTACCGTTCTTACCTGCATCAAATCTATTTTTTCCTGTTGGATTTGTCATTGCTGAAAGAATTTTATATGCCCCTTCTATGGGGTTTTGTATGTTAATTGGTCATGGATGGAGTATTCTTACAGAAAAAAAGTTGGTGAAAATTAATTACACAAAGATTTATCTTTATTAATTGTATGAGTCTAATATTAAATAATTATCTTTTAGACAATCCAAGTTGACGACAGTTCTATTGATTGTATTATTGTTATCACATTCTGTCAAGACATTTATCCGAAACTACGACTGGGTAGATGAATATTCAATTTTTATGTCTGGATTGAAAGTAAATGTTCAAAATGCCAAGTTGTTCAATAATGTTGGGCATGCACTCGAGAGTCAAGGGCGTTATAAAGAGGCCTTGGATTATTTTAATGAAGCGGTAAAAGTACAGGGAGATGACATAGGAGCTCATATTAATGTTGGTAGAACATATAATCATCTTAAAATGTTCAAGGAAGCGGAAGACGCTTATTTGAAGGTATTAGTTGTTAATGAAGTTAATTGTTACAATCAATTTATTGAGTTTTTATTTCATCAATGAAATTTTTTTTTAGGCAAAATCACTTTTACCTAAAGCTAAACCTGGAGAATCTTACCAAGCACGCATTGCTCCAAACCATTTGAACGTATTCGTAAATTTAGCTAATCTGATAGCGAAAAATGCCACACGTCTAGAGGAAGCAGATTTATTGTACAGGCAAGCAATAAGTATGCGTGCTGATTATACTCAAGCATATATTAATCGGGGCGACGTACTTATCAAGATGAATCGTACTAAAGAAGCACAGGAAGTTTATGAACGTGCCCTTTTTTACGACAGTAATAATCCAGATATTTATTACAACGTAAGTATTATAAGATCAATTTATTTACCTGAACAGAAATTTTTTCTCTTTAGAAATAACATTTTTTTTCATAACACAGTTAGGTGTTGTATATCTGGAACAAGGAAAAGCCTCTCAAGCCTTGGCTTATCTCGATAAAGCTCTTGAATTTGATCCAGAACATGAACAAGCACTACTTAATTCTGCAATATTATTACAAGAATTAGGCCGTGAAGAGCTGAGAAAAGTTGCTAAAGAAAGACTTTTAAAGCTGCTAAGAAAGGTATTTAAAATAAATCATGAAGTATAACTACATATTTTAATAACTTTTTTAACTCTCGAAAAAAAAATTTTTTTTTGTTTTTAAAGGATTCCAACAACGAACGCTTACATTTTAATTTAGGAATGATAGCTATGGATGATCATGATACAGCAAGTGCCGAACGATGGTTCAGAAATGCAGTAGCACTGAAAGAAGATTTTCGATCAGCTCTTTTCAATTTAGCCTTACTCCTTGCAGATGAACAACGTCCCCTTGAAGCTGCTCCTTTCTTAAACCAACTTGTTAGATTCCATCCTGATCATATAAAAGGCTTAATTCTCCTGGGAGATATTTATATTAATAATATTAAGGATTTTGATGCAGCAGAAAACGTAAGATTTTTTTTTCCTTTTTCTACATTTAAATATTAAATAAGTTTAACTATATCTATATTGGAAATCAACTTTTCAGTGTTATCGTCGAATTCTCCAATTAGAGCCTACAAACATTCAAGGTCTACATAATTTATGCGTTGTTATGGTTGAACGGGGACAATTGAGTTTGGCTGCTCAGTGTTTGGAAAAAGCATCCAAACTTGCCCCTGAACAAGAATACATTCGTAAGCATTTATCAATCGTTAAATCACGATTACTTCGACTTCCCCCTGAACAACGTGATTCTGATCAAGTTTTTGATGACTCATTTCTTCGGCCAAATCATCCGGATAATAGTTTGAATACTAACAACCAAGATGATCTCAATGATAGTAGCAACAATAATAATAATAACAACAAAAAAATTGATAATAATAATACTCCTCAAAATGAACAATTTTCTCCAAATGCTGAATCGATTCTGTTAAACCAGGATTTTGTAATAAATCATATGAGCAACAACCATGTACTTCATCAAAACCACATGCGAACGAACGCTCAATCGAAACTAGCATCAGGTCACCTATCTAAAGATAAACATCATAGAACACCTTTCAAACCACTCTCAAATCCTCCAAATTTTAACCACAGACCTGAAAATATTATAAGTAACAATAATCATGATTTAAAAATGAATCCGAATTGATTATTAAAAATCTACCTATAAGGTTTTTAAAATTATTTTAACAAAACTAAAGACAGGCTATCGTTATATATTATTGATATTATATGGCATTAAACGTTATAATATACGCCAGAATATAATATAAATATAAATATGTGTATCAAACAAATTATGGTGATATTAAACGTTTAGTCCTATTGTGTGAATATATATAAAAAAATAGACTATTGTTTTTATATGACGTACAGATAAGAAATTTTATAGAATTCGTATACATATATTCATACACGCACACACATGAAAATCATATAAACAATATTATATGTGTATAATGGATAATAATATCATTTTCCTTCCAATTTTCTTCCATCGTGAAATTCATTTACTTTTTGAGTATTTTAGTTATAATTTTCTTTGACATAAAATGTGTATGAGTATTTGTTTTTATAATAATTTTTTTTATATTTCATTTGTAAGTTACTATGACAACCAATCGATTCTAGTTAATTGTAAAATATAATATGATAAATGTGTAGAGAAAATAAAAAAAAAGATATTAAAAATTAATCCTTACATATACCCATGTGATAGCTAAGAATAATGAGACAACTATACTAAGTAATAATTTTACTGTAAAAAACAAATGTAAACCTAAATTTTTTTTCTGTACAACTTTAGAAAATACAATTTGTATATGCAATTATTTTCTTATTAAAATTAAATATTTGTTATTAAAAAAAGATGTATGTTGAATAATGAAATTATATTGGAACAATTGTATAAAATGGAATAAAAATTAATAAAATATAAAAAAAAAATAACTAAAGGCATCTTGTCATTTCTTTCATAAACAACGTAATCAATTTTATTTTTTTTTAACGCATCACCGCAATCATTGCACTTGTAATAAAAAATGTTTACATTCAGGGTGTATATATAGTAAAGAAAAAGACCTCAAAATTATTCAACTTTGGGACAAATATGGTCGTCTATATATAGAATTCTAAAAATAACATTCGTGTAAGACACGTTCACGTTTGACTGGTAATCGGTGAAGGACCTTTTTGCATATTCCTCCTTATCATGGAATTCGGCTGAAGACGAGGAGGAAGAAGTCGCCAAACAGAGAGGGAGTAAGAGAGAGAACGAAGAGTATCCCGATGGTGCAGAATTATGTACATGGTTGACTGGCTTCCCTATCAAATGGCAACAACATATTAGCCAAGCCATTAACGAACTTGACATGCACCCGGGGAACATGTTTAATGAGCACGTCTTAGCTGTTCAGTATAACGCCCATTCTCCTCGGTACTTATAAAGCGTTGAGAGACCTTTCTGCCCAACACAAGTCCTTGGAACATCCTGTGGCAACGATCCCTCTATCAATACCCATCTATATACCAATATTGTAACACTCTATCATTATGGTAAGTACTGTAACAATGATCCGGAATTCGTGATTCATGTATTACTTACTCACATTTCATTCTAATCATATATGCTTATTACTTATATTTCACACTCTCGGTTATTATTACATACATACATACACTTTTGTACTACGAATCTTACTAGATGTGTCGATGAATCATCCGCCTATTTGCACTCAAGAATAATGTAAGCATTAATATTTATTATAGTTATATAGCTTTCTTTAAACACGGAAGTCATCATCACTTGCTGTTTTAATGCTTATTAATGCTATTGTACAAAACTTGTTATTTTAAAATGGAGTCATTTCATTGAATTAACGTTAATTATTTTTTTAATATGAAACTTAAAAATTTTACTTCATTCCAAAGATTATCACCGTAAAATAGTTTATTAAATTTTTATATTCTTTGATATTAAAAATAAAATAGAATTTAAATTAGTGGAACAGAGTAATTATTTGGTATTGATTAAATCATTTTCAATAGATAATTAAATATTTTTTTATCATATTTACTCTTTGTAAATGTCACGAAAGTTTTTCAAATGTTAGGAAAATAAACATAGATGTTGATAAAATACTTAGTTTATGACTGATAAACTGAGGTAGAAGAAAAATAAGAATAGTATGTGCACTGTGTTATTCGTGTTGCACCCTAATGCTTATGCTCTGTCACTTATTTTGTAGCTTGGTCAGCTCACAATCTCATCTAGTGTAGTCTTCTCAGTTGTATCGTTTGAAACGACCAGTGTAATATAAGTTTTTCGCACTGGAAAAAAGTGGTAGTATTAGCTAGTAAACACGCGGGAAAACTCATTGATCGAACATTTTTGTACTTTACAATATTATTACAGATATTTATTTTATTTTATTCTGATTGTAATTTTGCGAAAAAAAATTCTGTCATCAATATCATTTAAATTTTACTTGAGGTCAATTATTATTTTACATTATTTAATTAATAAATTGTCATTAAATATTACTTTAAAATATTTATTGTTACTTTGAAGAAAAAACAAAACAATCAGTTAAAAAATATCAAGATTTAAAAAAAATTATAAAACAAATTTTGGAGTTGATTTATTGTAATAAAAATTATCTGATTATCAAAACTGATTATTTATTTTCTCCAATCAATTAACATTTTAGACAGTGCAACAAAAACAGTGAAATAAAGAAGCTCTTCGAGTAAAAAGCTCAAATATTAAATACGTAAATATATCACAAACGATCAAAACAAAACCGTTAAGTAAGTAATATTTTTAATAACCAAGTTGTAAAAATATATTTCTTTCATAATATTTATATTTTTATCTTTATTTCAATCGTTTATCGAGTAGGGCGATCATATGAAGTATAATAGTCTAGCAACTAACAACTCACATCTAGCAGAATAGATCACGCGTTTTCCTCATGTTGGATATTATATACACTTTAGAAGCTACGTACTCATCTATCAAGTATCTATCTCATTTACTCTTGCAAGTTAAACTATTTTTTATGCTTATTATGACTTATTACTCTTTATTTATAACTTGTAAATTACTTAATAAGTGAAATACAATTTCTTGCTTTGATGATATGTGAGCTTTTTTAATATTTGATATTATTTTTGCTCAGAAAATAAATGTGGCCTTTGTCAATTAATACTGATTCGAAATGTAATATGTAAATATAATAAATCATTGCCAAGTTTATTATTGATACTTCATTTATTATATTTTAATGATAAAGGAAATTTGGTGAAGTTGATATCTTGAAGTCTGATGCAATATAGTCTCAATACTTTCGACTTGATTAGATCTTACTGACGATGAACTAGAATTAGTCTTTGCTTGTCTCATGTAATATGCTTTGTTACATGTTTCTACTCATGTTGCACTAGCTAACTGTAATAACTTCAAATCATTTAAGTGCTTACGTACTCTTTCAAGATGAGACTTGCACTTCACATTCAGACTACGACAAATCTTTCACTCTCAACTATTACCTTTATTTATTTTCAAGCTACTAATCATATTTAATTCTATTCCATGTCAGACACAGGTCAGGGACTAGTACAATTTGTATTATTATCTCTTCATTAATAGACCAGTAATGATTGAATTTATTTCAATATATCATTTTTTTCTTTATTTTATAAACTCGGTTGTTTTATTATCAATTACAATAATAATTTAGCAAATTATTGAATTGTTTTTGATGTATAATATATCATAGTTTAGTTTCTTAATGATTTGCGAATGATGTGACGAATAAGGCTGAAGGAGATGATGATGATGAGTTAAAAGAAAAGGCGAAGACAATTTGCTGTGGCGCCAAATAAAAAGGTGTCGGGTGAATATTCTACAGATTTTGCTATTCGTATTTAACAAGACGTAAACGTGACTAGAATATTGACTTAAAGAGCCAAAGGTTAGTTATATATGTCGAGATATTAAGCATGTGTGAAAATAAAATTTTATTGATCATAATAAAAAGCTATCATGTGGGACATGAGAAGGTTCGTCGATAACTATTGGTAATCATTTTACACATGCTATGGTTTTTTTTTTCATGACACATGGAATTTTTTTTCCTGCGAATTATGTGTTATATATTTATTGGAATTAAAGTATTTGCTTATTGTATTCACTTTAAAATATTATTTCCATTTTCATTCTTTTTTTAATTAATAAAATAAACTTTTTGCATCCACGAAAAGCCATAATTATTTAAGTAATCAATTACATTGATTTTTGTATGAGTGTAATTTTTGTAATAATAAAAAAATTGCTTCAACGTATGTGTCTGATGTAAGTAATCATGAAAAATATCATGTAAGGAAAGATCAGAGAGATAATAAATTTATTGATGGAACTTTAGTGAGAATTACTAAAGCAGCTATTTTGAATCGTTATACACAATTGAATCACTGACACGAGGTGAATACCTTTTATTATCTTATTCTTTAGATTATTCGAGAAACTTTGGGACAAATATATAAAGGCGTGCTGTATTATCTTAACGTGCATAAGTGTTGCATATTGACTAAATTTCTACGATTATTATTGCAATTAATAATCAATTAATATCAATTTTAATTGCTACATCAACAATACTATTTTTTGTTGTAGATGCAGTCCACATTCTCTCGGATTAACATCATAATATTTTTGGTGTTGGTTGTGACATTGATGGTAGCTCATCCAACAAGCAGCCAATCAGATATTTTTCAGTATGGAGACAAACGACAGGACTTGAGCGGCCCTATGCATAGATATTGTGGAAAACAACTGTCCAATGCTCTTCAAATACTTTGCAATGGTGTTTATAATTCAATGTTCAAGAAGAGTGACCAAGGTAAATGATCATCCTATTCAAATATTCTATAACAATACTTAAAAATTAATCATTATAAAGAAGATAAAGTTAATGATGAATAATTATTGTTTAAAAGAAATGGAAATAGATGCTGACTACCCATATCCATATGATTATCCATTGAGATCAAGAGCAAGTGCAAATGCAATGTGGGGTCGTTTCGGTGGTGTAAGATTCCGTCGAGAATCACGTGGTGTTCACGATGAATGTTGTGTTAAGTCGTGTTCACTGCAAGAGTTGATGAGCTACTGCGGAAACTAGAAGTGCGTTAAAAAAATGCTGCCGAATAAACTCATCACGTAATTGAATCGTTACAATTGAATATGGTTGTTTTACTCTCGTCGTCCTCGTTGTTGTATATTATTAAATAATATTATCATTATTATAATTTATCGAAAACATTGATATACAATTATTTTTCAACTATAATTATCATTATACTACTGTCGATATTAACATTAATCAAAGTCACCCATAAATGATAAATAGATCTCAATTATATAATAAAAAAAAACAGTGTTTTTTTATTAAGTCTAAAATAAGTTTGTATGTAGCTAGTCTTTTGGCTCCATCCTGCTATTTTTTTACTGTTTTATTTTTTTTTTTTTTTAGCAGAAAAGTATGTATTAATATAAATATATTACTATTGTTTGTTAACTTTGCAAGTATGTGTGTAATGTATAATCATAATGCATATGAATATTATATGTAAAGTTATTAATCATGTAAATAGTTGAGTTAGGTGTCACATATCCGTAAACTGTTGTATATTATGTAGCATTTGAAAAATCGATTAACCGTTCAAAACGTTTGATCGTGGCGTGTGATAGATTGAAAAGGAAAAAGTATGTTACGGCTATACTTTTCGCAATGCTCTTTTGCATTAAATATGTCAGATAAAATGTTCAATCAATCATAAATTATAGAAAATGGTAGAAAAATTAATTTATGAAAATAATTGATTTTTTTTGTTTTCCTAATTAGCTATGAGCTTTCTATGTGATAGGCTTTTTCTCACTGTGTAGCATGTTCATGTTTCAATATAATGAAATGGCACAGTTGATAGCAATCGTGCAGTATCATGCTCTATAATTTATTTTAAACGTGTAGTCTGTGAATCCTGAGCTTTTCATTTAATTTTTTTGCAATTTTCTGCTATTGTTAAATTGTTAATTTTTTTTTTTTTTCTTAATTGATTTAAAGATTTTTTTTAATGTAGCTTAGTAATAGTAAAAACGTATACCTGTAATTATTAGATTAAAAAATTATAAATATATATATGATTTTATCAAATAAAATTTTTGCTTAATTATTGATCAAAGTAATTACGTAAATTAATATGACATTTTCAATTATTCTGATAGAATTTTCATTTGTGTTTAAAAAAAATATTATCTTTATTATTGAATTATATTCATTTTTATTATTTTATCATAAATATTGTCTGAGATATAGGTCATATGAAATGTATGTATAAAATGTACTTCAATTTGATTGATTAAAATTATCATTAATTTGAGTTTTCAGTAAGAATTAATAAAAAAAAAAATACCATTGATATTCCTTGTATACTGTTGTATAATTGAGCATATTTTCACATCTAGTTCTCATTTAATCGATCGAATTTCCTTTGATATTAGAATGACAGCACTTTCTTGCTGCATGTATTTATGATATTTGTATTTCAATACACCTTTTTTTCTCTGTTTTTTTTTTACTAGATTATGTTTTCATTAGCTGAAAAATAAACATCTATGACTAATTTTACCATTCATTTCTACAGCTATATGGTGAATGTTATATTTTTATCTCCATACAGATAAAATATTGAACAGAAATAAATATTTATTGCAAGTTTTTGAAGTGTATTTTACTTTGATTAAATGTGACTAAGTTAGATTTTGAATGTCATTTTCAAGAATTTGACATTCAGTAATTTATAAATTTGCATAATTGTGGTTTGGGTAGAAATTCCGAATAAAGATTTTGATATTTCAACTTTAATCTATTTGCGTTATCTATTTTATTATTTCATAAAATAAAACACTTTTTTTTTCAATTTATTCCTCGCATTAAGATAATAATATCATAGGTGATGTGTTGCTATAAATTATGTAAAATACACATATTGACATCGCTAATTTAAAATAATAATATTTTATATTGCACTAAAAAATTAATAAATATTGACAATGATTAAAAAAATTTTCCACCAACCACAATTTATTTGAAAATACTTCAGTTTATTCCTAATTTATTCAAGGAGAAAGGTAATTACAGGACTATGTAGATGTCATTAAAAAAATGATAAAAACAGGTCATATAAATAAAGGTGTTATCATTTAAAAGTACCAAAAAAACATAGTATCCAATCATGATGTGCTAATATTTTATCCACTTATTTCGACAGTTGGTGAAGATTCAATATGTGCAAAATGAGTAAGGGATTTTAAAAAAACACATATGATTCTTGGTATCTTTGTATAAGTAACAAAAAATTAAAGTCCTTGCGTGATACGTGACAGTGTAATGTGTAATCTTCAGGACATCAATTTTACTATCGATGAGTTTTCTATGCAATACATACGTGGCCTAGTCCAGTGAGCCTTCTAAACCCTCCTACACTCATAACATACAGTGTCCAGTGACGTCCGGTGTACCTATGAAAATAAAAAGACAGTATCAATTTACCCGGCGACCTGTTATGACACGTTTCGAGGATCGGGCACCAGAACATAGAACTACTAGTTTTATTAACCAATACGTTTATGTTTTTTTTTTTTTTACTTTATTAGTTAGTGAATTAAATTAATTATTATTTTCAATTTTTCTCAGGAGGATGTAGTATATTAAATGAATAGTTCAACTAACAAACTAAAATGCGAGGAATAGAGTTAATGCTAATGAGCATTTATGCCATTAGCAATGTTACAAATCCAAATTCGGATCAAGTGGATGATTCAGTTTTACAGAATCGCTATTATCGTACTGTGAAAAGTTTTATTATAAATTATTTTCTATTATTGTGATTATAAAATTTATTCCTGTAAAAATATTTTAACTTTATAGGAGAAGTTAACTTGGCGAAGGCACCACTTTCGATTGCCGATGTTAATTTGAGGTCCCAAAAACCGATTAAAATTGAAAAATTAACAGTTACTTCGTGGAGTGTGAGTCGAATAGTTAACATATTTTTATTGTTATAATACACTAGATACGTCAAAATTCAACTTTTATTTTTCACTCTATTGAGCCACACATTTATCGACATTTTTCAGAAAGTTCAACTTTAAAAAGCAATTCAATAATTGAATATTACTTTTTTTTATAAGTTTATAAATAATTTTCTAATTAGTGAATATTTTTGTTTATTAATTAAACTATTTTCCTTCAACTTTCTTCAACAATCCAAAGTAACTTAAATCATTGTTTGTGTTACATCCAAGGATGAGCCATTCTCTTACATCGAAGATCAAAATAATGGCGAATCTGTGGGAAAAGGATACGCTTTTTACATATTCAATTTGGTTGCGAATAAATTAAACTTTACATATGAAATTATAAAGCCTAGTCCAAACATACTTGGTAACGAAACTGCTGGAATGTTGGGATTACTCCAAACCAAGGTATCTATGGTTAATCAATATTTTGAAAAAAAAATCAATGAATATAAGTGTATAATTTACAAAAAATAAATAGAAAGCAGATGTGGCAGTGGCATTTATACCGATAATGACTGAATTACAAGTGAATTGTTCATTCAGTCCTCCTCTGGATTATGCGGATGTAACAATTTTGTTGAAAAGACCTCGAGAATCTGCCATCGGATCTGGATTACTTGCTCCATTTGACACAGTTGTTTGGCTTTGTATTCTTGTATCACTTATTGTTGTTGGACCTATCATATATGTTATAACATCTTATCGATCTCGTTTATGGGGTGACGATTCAACAGAAAGATATAGTTTCACTACTTGTGTCTGGTTTACTTATGGAGCGTTATTGAAGCAAGGATCATCAGCAGCTCCAGAAGCTGGTAAATTTTATAACATAATTTTATATTGATCATTTATACTTGGAGAAATTTCTAGTTGTGTCATCAAATTATTTTTCTGATTGACATAGGCATAACTATAAAATAGGTTTCTTAACTGAAAATACTAGTGATTATTTTTTCATGATTGATAAATAATAGTTAAATCAACTATTTTAGTTTTTTTCAGTATAAAAACAATTAGCATTCCAATCCTCTTTGGTATTGAACATAATAGAAAAATATTTTTCAATATAATTACACAGATTCAAATCGATTGCTTTTTGCAACCTGGTGGATCTACATAACAATCTTAACATCGTTTTACACGGCTAATCTGACTGCTTTCTTGACTCTTTCGGAGTTCACCTTGCCATTCAAGTCAATCGACGAAGTGGTATATAAACGATTTAAATGGTGTGCTTTATCAGAACATTTAATCGACTTTGCTCTAAAATGGGTAAATATATAGCTATAATCACTGATATTTTTTCTACATTAAATTACAAATAATCTATTAATTTCTTATTTCATTTGGATATTCAGAAAACTATAGAACCACTTGATCCACTACTGAAAACTTTAAAATCTGATGGCAAATTCTTTGATGCTAAAGGAAATAAAGAAGAATCTGTTATGAAAGAAATCAAAGACGACCGAATTTTTATTGATCAAACTCACTTCGTTGAAACAACTATTTATCGAAACTACATGGAAAATGTGAAATTAAATGAACAAGAAAACAAAAGATGTCAGCTTGTAAGGATGCCTCAACATGTCTATCATCAAACTCGAGCTTTTGCTTATCCTAAAGATTCTCCTTATCAAGAGATAATTGATAGAAAGTAAGTAGATGAAAAGTTTAAATAATTTTTTTTTATAACTTTGTACAGTTTATTAATTTTTTTAAATGCTTGTCATTTTTAAAGGCTACTGGATTTAGTTGAAACTGGAATTATACAATACCAAGAATCTATAAATCTTCCAGCTGTAAAATATTGTCCACTAAATCTTCAATCAACTGAGCGTCAATTACGAAACTCAGATTTATCACTGACTTATAAAACGATTGGTGGCGGATTTGTATTTGCAACTATTGTCTTTATTACAGAAATTAGTCAATTGTTTTTCAAGTGCAAAGTTTGTTTGTGTTGTGCTAAATCTTGTAAGTGCTGCAGATCAAGAATCAAATCACCCAAGAAGGAACGACCAAAAATGCAATTACCTGCACATTTTAATAGTCAGTTTAACAACTCTAAAGTTAACGACATTGGTAACATAAATAACAATAATGATATACAAATAATTATGCCTATTTATGAAAGTGTTGACAATTATAAAAACATGAAAAAGCATTACATCAATGGGCGGGATTATTGGGTAATTACTGAGCAAGGTGGTGATAAACGATTGGTTCCTGTCAGGAGCCCTTCAGCTCTATTATTTCAATATACTTCATAAAACATTTGATATTGATTTTTTCTTTTTCCTATTTTATTGAATATTTGAGTTTTCAATTATGTTTATTTATTAAACAAAAAAACAAGATTGTTTGAAATTTTGTTTAACGACGTTTTCAGTTTTGTGAATATCATTACTCAATATTTGAATTTGAACCAACTATAATTTAAAGTTAATAATTTTTAGTCCACTTGTGTTATGTGTGCAGTTTTGAGTAATCATTGATTGTGTTCTTTAAACTGAAATTTTTCATAATAGATTTTTATTAATTAATTTGATCACATGTGTACTTGCCAACTATTGGGAATCAAGAATGATATGAACTACTATACATCATAATTATGTTTATATCTTGATTATAACATTTCAATAAAAAGAGGTTGGAATGATTTATTGAGTAATAATATAATAACGTGTTAAGCACAGCTACGTTTATAAGTACGTATTTAACTGCTGATGAAGTTTTGATAACGCCATCAACGTCAATATACAATGGTATTGACGTACGGTAAACTTTATATTAATTATGTACTACCTGTAAGGGGTGAAAAAATTAGTTTATTTACACAATAAATACTGTTTTCATGTTATTTATATTAGAGTTCTTTTGACCTTTATAAAAATTGTCTTTGACAGGTTTCATTTATTTATTATAATATTAAAAATTTAAATAATTTTTAAATAGTTAATACAACACAATAAGACTTCAAATTATAGATAATTTGTTTGCACAACAATTATTTACTTTTTTTAGTTTTTATTTACTTATATAGATTGTTTTTTTTTATACTTTGATTTTTAAAAATTTACCCAACTTACACACCTTAATATAAAAACAAAATATATTAAGTAATCAGACACTGCACAGATTGATTATTTTTAAACTGCTATTGTCCTAAAATATAATTCATTTAATATATAATACATAAGTATAGTTTAACTATAAATAAGCTATTAATCGAGTACTTTTTTCAACAATTTTTTCTATATAACAACAAAAGATAGAGAAATATCAAAAAATTATGAAAATTCATCTATCAAAATTTTTCAAGTTTCATACAAAAATTATCTAGAGAAATTTAATTTTTTATAAAACAAAAAAAAATGTTAAAAATGCATTTCTGATAATTTCCGCATTGTATGAAAATCTTAAAAACAATTATTACTAATCCTCCAGTAAAAAAACCCAACTGAAGCTAGTTCTCAAATGCTTAAGAGGTAGGGTTGAAAGGAATAGAGTAACTAATAAGAATATTATAGTGTTGGATGAGTTATACGAGATTAACAAAAGGTTGCAAGAAGCGTGTAAAGATAAGACAATAGGAGGATACGATCACAGGCTTGATTATGACCATGTTCTTAAAGTATGCGTTTTGATGGGCAGACGGAAGTTGGAAAGAGTGGATGGAAACAAAGGAAAAGATGGGCAGATAATTGATACCAGATTTGAACAGATTTATGAATTTAGTAATGAAGAAACGGCTAAGATTTTTAATGTACTGCAAGCTGGGGTTGTAAGTCTATGAGTTACATTATGAGACACGTCAATGTCTTAAATAGGATGGGCGATGTAGTAATTAAAGATTTGGAGAGCGTCATGATTTTAACATACTTGATGAGACCAACCTTAAGTACGAAATTACCTGGAATTTTATTGGGGCGAGGGTTTACTTATCATGGATTTGTGAGATGTTGTATGTTAGAGAGTGTCGATGTGAAAGATTGCCAATTAAAAGGAACTCGAACAGGTAGAAGTCTTGGGAAAAATGATAATTTTATAATAGTACGGGGCAGTTAGTTAGTTAGTGGAGGTTCAGGTTATGTGATTTGTCACTTAGAAGAGAGAGATAATTTGAACCTAAGCTTGATTAATCATGGGGAGTTTATTAGTAATGAGAGTAAAAGCAATATTGCCGCAAGTGATTATCAATCTTCAAAATCAGTTGCGTCGAAATTGACTCCGGTAAGACGGGCTATTAAGAGTAGTAGTGGATCAAGTACACCAGGAAGTGATGTGATTATAATTAAAAAAGATGTAAGTGACATAGTTGAAACAATATTACTAATCCTCGGATATTACTAATCCTCTTTTACATAAATATTTTCATAATATACATTGTGTTACACAATGAGTTAAATAAAAAAATATTTTTGCATATTTTATAATTAGATCAATTTTTTAATGTAAACTTTGTTACATTTTTCTTTTTGCCTTTTTCATCATCATAGCTTTTTGTTTCTTTTCAAGCGCCTCTTTACGAATATCTTCAAGATCTTCCATTATACCTAGATTAATAAACATCAATCATTAATATCATCATGATAAAAAAGTAATGATAAATATATATCTTACCGATCTTTGTAGATACGAATTCTTCTTTTAATTGTTGTGCGTAATTACTCTCCATGTTCGTGTCATCATCATCGAAATTTCTATATTTTCTTTTATCATACCCAAATATTTCACTAATATATTTAGAATAGTCTTCTGATTCTGCATGAGGATCATCATCATCAATAAAATCATCCAACTCCGAATCATATTCATCTTCATCATCATCATATATACGTCGTTTATTCATTGTAACTGGTCTTTTTCCATTACCATTCATTGATGGCTTCATTGGCTTTCTCCTTATCATATCAGGCGGTGGAAATTGTTTAGGTTTATTATTATAACAATCCGCAGGTGGAAATTGTTTAACAGGTTTTCCAGATTCTGTTGATGGTACACGAGATTTATTTATATTATTTGTTGAATTTATTTGTTTTAATTTACTGTCTTTTATGTTAGATGATGATGGTTCTATTTTGTCATTACTTTTTGTGAGTTTATTTGTGCTCGATGATTTGGCCTCTTGAGAAATTTTCTTATTTTTATTTTCCAGAGCTAACTTTCTCTTTTCTTCTTCAATCATTCGCCTCATAGATTCTAATTTTCGTTTTTCTAGCTCTAACTTCCGCCGTTCTTCTAATATTTCATCCTTTTCTGATGTTAAGATTGGTTTAGAATTCATTTTAGTGACTGATGGCTTATTATTGTTATCATTTTTCATTTTAATGGACGGATTAGATGATTGTATGGGTTTAGGTGATGAGTTTTTGCTATCTACATTTTTATTATTTGTTAATTTTGTAGATGTTAATTCATTGTAAAGTTTTGAGTTGTGTTTGTTTACTATGGGTTTGTTTAATTTGCTTGTTGAATCACTCGAATTACTATTAATATTATTACTAGAAGAACCGTTGCTAGTAGAATGGTCATTATTTTTTTCTCTTTCTCGCTTTTCTCTCCACTCTTTTTCCTTCATAAATTCTTTCTTTTGCTTTTTCGTCATTGGTCTTTCATATTCAACAGTTTCTGGTTTAGGCTTCGGTTTTGGCTCAATAATAATTGGTTCATGTTGTTTTTTTTCCGCTAGTTTTAACAAAGAAGCAAAGTCTATTGGTGGTGGCATTGGAGGCCTTTTTTTCTTCACTTTATCGCCTTCTTTGGCTTTCTCAGATTGACATTTTTCTTCTATCTCATTATCTTTTGCTGTTCCTGACCCTGTTGCTATTTCTGAAGATTTACGTTTTCTTCTGTGCGGTAAACTATCGTCAATTTCTTGTTGTTTTAATGCTTGCTTAACTCTATCTTTTGTTGAAGCAATATCTTTCACACTTCTTTTTCCACTATCACTAAATAAAGGCTTATCAGGTGAATGACTATACTTATTCAATAGTCGGTCATAAAATGCAGAGGCTTCTTGTGATACATATCCATAATCATCTTCATCAGGTTGCACAAATCCTGAAAACAAAATACAACATATTTATTCCATTTTGAATAACATTAAACTGAAACATTCATATATGTATGAAAATAGTGAATTAATTAAACTACAGGAAAATTATTCGTTTTCCTAATAAAGCATAAAAAATTACCAGTAATTGTTACTGCAGTATCTTCAGTATTAATGGCATCAGCTAAAACTGATTTATTGGCAGATTTAGTAACTTTTAAGTGTTTATTTATCCTACTTTGAGCTTTATGATCCCTCAAAGCTAATAAATTCTGTAACAAAAAAGGTTAAAAAATTATGTAATGTATTCTCTTTAGTGTTTAATTAAAAAAAATCAAAATTATACCTCTTTTTTCCTTTTTTCTTCTGACGCTTTCTTTCTTTCCTCTTCCTCCTTTCGAGCTAAAAATTTCTTTATATTGTCTGATAATGCTTTTGATTGTTTAGTCTCTTTTTTTGGTGGTGAAAATTTTGTAGAGTAATAAGAGACATTCTGAAAATTACAATCCAAATCAATTATCATTCATGAGTTTACAAGCTTATTGAATAGCAACTTTTCATATTACCATATTGGTCGTATATAAATGATTGAAAATATAATTAAAAAATTTTTTTACTTACTTGTTTATTCGAACTATTTTTTTGTGCAACTGACAGCAGTTGACCAAAATCCATAATGCACAGAATTTTATTAACGATCCAGTGAAAAATTTATGTAGAAAATACGTGGCTATGAAATTTCTAGATGCTGAGCATTGAACACGAAGTAGATTTTTTATACTCCATTATGTTTCCTATGAAAAATTTTTCTTTTCATAGATTATTACAAACTCTATGTACTCACAATCATTCTTTCGAAACACCATATTAATTTGGTCAATTTCTTTACAAGTGTTAGAACATTTATCAATCGTTTTATAAAAAATGTAGCGTACGAAATAAACTACAATATTTTTACGTAGAATTACTTCTATGTATGACCATGCCCTATATATCTGGTTAGACACTACGGGATAATCTGAATAAAAAAAAGTAACTGGTTCAGTAAAACGTTAAAAAATTAAAATCCCTACGAACTTAAATAGAATATTTACAATCCAATATTATATAAAAATTTCATATATGTTACGTTAGTTAAAAAAATAAAAACATAATGAGCAAACGTTTTTTGCTAATGTATGCAATTTACGAGTTTTTCTGTAAACTGTTGCTATATATACTAATAATATATACTTCTGTACTTTGTATACTTTGTATATATACTAATGATGATAAAATATCGTAATTTTTATTTCATGGAAATGCGGCAAAATTGAAAGTTTTCTACACGCCACCTATGGGTGAAAGTACTCCGATCTGGCATCACTGGCTGTTTATCCATTTTGTTATTATTTTAATTATACATGTATACTTTTTTTCATAGCTTCGTAATAATTTAGTAAAGCTTAAAATTGTACAAGTATTGGAAATGACTGTAAATAATGTTCGTGGAATTAATTATAAATAATGAAATCCATTTCAGTGATATTATAAGAAGCAAATCAATAGTCGAAGACAACTGCAGGTATTCGAGGTTAGAATAATATTTAACACTAGTTTTGTATAAAAACATTCCACAATTTTTCTAACTAAAATTTTTGACATTTATATCATTTATTTAAGAAGATTCATATGATGCTATTTCATCACATTTATATCAATATAATGAATGAAGTAAGAAAATTCACTTAGACGTGTCATATACCATAAGAAAATATTCCTCTGTACTCACATCACGTGGCTACACATCATTCAGCAAATGAGTAATCTATTGAAACGTGTTTATCAATAGTTAAATAGCAGCCAGCGAATAAATGGTGCTAACAGATGCCATGGAAAGACGAATTAAATTAAAAACATTAAATAGCCACATTACGTGCAAAATATGCAGAGGTTATTTGATAGACGCAACAACCGTTACAGAGTGCCTACATACTTTTTGTAAAAGCTGTTTAGTGAAGCACTTAGAAGAGAAACATACTTGTCCAACATGTCAAATAGTCATTCACCAATCTCATCCTTTACAATATATAAGCTTCGATCGAACCATGCAAGATATTGTCTACAAACTTGTTCCTGACCTTCAGGAAAGTAAGTTATGGTGTAATTGACTGTTTTATTAGTAAGTAATGAGAATAATAGAATAATTTGTTTTTTAGATGAAATTAAAAGAGAAAGAGAATTTTACAGAGCCAGAGGGTTGCCATGCCCTAAAGATATTTTACCTAATGCTAGTGAAACTGAAGACGAACAATCTGAAATACATCAAGATTGTGATTATCATAGAACTGATGAACAAGTTAATGTGTGTTTAGAGTGTATAAACACAAGTTTAAAAACCTTAAAACGAAAATTCATCAGATGTTCTTCTCAAGCTACAATTACGCACTTGAAAAAATTTATTGCCAAAAAAGTTCTCAATGGAATGGAAAAATATCGAGATGTAAGTATTTTCAATGGTTTATTATAGAATTGATATCATATTTTCTGTCTATAATATGTTATAAACTTTATTTAAACCTTGAATCTATTAATATATCATCTGTGTGAAAAATTGTTTTTTTATCTCTAATTGTATCAATGTGATTTATACAGATTGATATCTTGTGCAATGATGAGCTACTAGGAAAAGACCATACTTTAAAATTTGTTTATGTAACAAGATGGAGGTTCCGGGACCCACCTTTAAGGCTTCAATACCGACCACGTATAGATATTTAAGTTCTACAATTTTCATTAATAATGCTTGTTTAAAAATTTATTTTTATTTTTATCGTTTATATCATCATTTTTTTAGTTGAATGATGTCGTGATTGTTGATTTGATTACGGCGTGTACAATCAGAGTTATCAGCGAAGCTCCAAAGCAATTATTTTACTTCATAATAGTTAAAATACCTTAATATAAGTTTATTTAAAATCTATTTCTAGAAAATATTGATGACAAAACTGATTTCCATGAACGGAAAATAATATTTTATTACTTAATAACCTTTAAAATGACTGCCCAGAAAGGTATTCGTACAAATTTTTTTTTTTTTTTTTGATGAATATTTATTTTACAATTAATTAGAAATTAAGTATTATTGAGTTTTACATATATTAATTATTTCCAAAAATGATGTTTTAAAGTCTTTGGTGTGAATCAAAAATTATAAAGACGAGTGTATACTTTTTTGAATTTCAAATTGCATAAAAAGTATTTTGCAAAATTATAACAGAATATTATATAGTGTAAAAATAAAACATATGTAAATAATTAGTTGCCAAATTTAATTCATTTTTTAGCGTAATTTATACATTCCTCATCTGTTCAAATTTAGTACAATACATGCAATATATAACGTAACGTAATGTTGTACAGTACGTGCATAGAAAACCGAAGAAGCACAACTGGAGAATATAACGGAGTAATACAAAGGCATTCCAAGCAATTTAATGGTTATGTATATGTACTTATATATACACAACGGTGTGTGTTTTGTATGTTTCATGTTTTTCACTTGCTACAGATGAACTACTCGTAATTTCACAACGAAGTTAAAAAATAAACTTTTAACAACATACAGTTATATTATGTGAACTCAAAAATTGTGATTATATTTATCAACGAGTCGATTGTATTATTATAGATGAATTTACAAGACAGTTACTTTGCTGAACAAATCGAGAACGACGTAACATTGTTTGCCAAAAATAAAACTCCAAAACGGTAAGAAGTCGAGATAAATTCTTAACTAATTATAAGTCTATATAAAACAGTGCAATTATTTTGTCGAAATAATCTATAATGAGTTATTTAAGTAAAAGTTTTCATGTCATTTTTTAATCGTTTCAATATATTAATATAATATTTATAATTTTTCATTATTTATATTTTTATAAGCAACTCGATTCAACTCCAATACTAGTTTTTCTCTGATATACGATTTGTTTATATTTCAAAAAAAAACTATACATTTTACATTCTTAGAAAACATCGGTAGATATATTATGCAATTGATTCTACATATTAAATTATACATTTCCTTATTTTGTTTACCTTACTGATTAATTTTTCATGCTTTGATAATATTATACATATTGGTTATGTTTCCTCTAAATTCATATTTTTTTTTTAAATTTTGAGTTTTTATTATGCCTATCACATGAACAGATTAATAAGTTGATGGGCTGTCATTCAGTAGTAGATAATTGGTAAGTACTCTGACTCGTAACAGGAATAAGAGAAAGTAACTCGAGCATTATGTAAAAAGTTAGTCACATGTATTAGCATAGGTGAGCTGGTAGAGTAGTGAAATGACGGAATTACTATCGAGAGTGTTCGACGATTTAAAACTTAAATATACTTTTTTTCAAATTTTTTTATAATAAAATCGTTTACTAATTATATCAATTGCTTTACTTTATAGGGTTCTTATTTTTCCGCCAGTTGATAATTATAGACGATTTATTATTCATCAGTTAGTTCAAGATAATTTTTTCAATCTGCTCAGTACCTTCTCGATTGGTCAAGGGCTGGCGAGAAGAACAGTAGTTTGTTTTAAGTCAGATCAAGTTGGTGTTTCAACTAATACACAAAATAAAATTGATAATTTAAATTTAAGTATGGGAGTTAATGATGAGCCATCAACATCTCCAACGTCGACAGATAATACACGACAGAGGCAAGGTAAATAAAATTATATTAAATTCAGCCTTAAAATCTTATATTATAGTACGAATAAAAGAGTTCATTTTCTTACAATAGCAAAATCAGTTCCTGACATGCAAATATATAGACCACCAGCTGCAAGGAAAGCATCAAACATCAGTCCAACTCCTAGTAAAGCTGGGTAAGTTATAGTGTAATAAACATTTGTAATTACTGCAGTGTAGATATATAATATATGATAATACAATTACATATTTATTAATTAAGAAGAAAACAAAGGAGACCAGATCGTGCAGTGTATGTGCCAAAAGGTCGTAGAAGTATTGAAGAGGACAATACCACTGAAGATATTAATAAATGTAACACAATTAAGCCTAATGAATCAACAAATATACCTTTAAACATAAGCAAACCTGAAAAATCATGTGATGAACAGACTGTTATTAGTACAAAAAATGACATATTAGACTCTAAAGTGGATGATACCTGTTGCCAAGCCTTGAACGATCCCTCACCAATGTGTTCAAACTCCAGTCCACAAAATTCTCTTGAAATTAATAAATCAGTGGAAGCTACTATTAGTGATATAAGTAAAGTTAATAATGGGCATTATGAATTACAAAAATCTAGTGACGACTATGATAAACAATTGAATAAGTGTAGTTTAGATGAAACAAAAGTGAAAGATTCGTCAGAAGTAGAATTAAAAGACCAAAATAGTGCTAATGAAAAATTGAAAAAAATCGTTGTGAAGAAAAATAAATCTGACGTTTTGATAATTTCAACCGACGACAATGTATCTGAAAAACCAAAAGTTGAAGATGATGCATCAACAGTACCCACAAAACCACCTGATAAGAAAGTTAAAAAAATGACAAGAACCAAAAGCAAACCTGCTTTACCACCATCACCCCCGATTAAAATTAATCGAGATGAATGTGATTGGGATAGTCTTTTCGATGATAATGGTGAATGTTTAGACCCTACGTTAATTGAAGAGGTGAATATTTTATTTTTATGACTCAAACGTTATTATAATAAGTTTTTTATTATTATTTTAATTCTAGTTAACTGCAGCTGTTGGGGAAGTTGCAATTGAACATCCAAAGAATGATTATAAGGCTTATACTAAAACAGTCGAAGTGTCAAATGACGAATTGAGTCATGTTATAGAAATATATAACTTTCCAGCTGATTTTAAAACGAGTGATTTAGTTGCTGCCTTTAGTCCCTTTAAAAGTGGTGGTTTTGAACTTAAATGGGTTGATGATACTCACTGTCTTGGAGTTTTTAGCAGTTCTCTTGTTGGTAAATATTGATTTATTGATACAAAAATTCAATTATATTTTGAATGAATAATTTACACTAAGCAAAATTGATTTAAAGATCTTTGATAATTCTTATCATGAATAAGTTGAAAACCAAAAAATTCGTTACACAATGTATTGCTACATATGTTACGCGTCAAGGTTGTTCATAAGCATGTTTTACTGGAATTAAAATTTCTAAAGACCACTTTCTACTGGTATTTAATTTAAATTATCTAATATTATCAAACGTTATCGTATGAATTATTGTATCCATTTTTTTCACGTATATTTATACCTAATAAAAAAAAAATTTAATCATTAATGAAATTCTTCATTTAAGCTGCTGAAGTGCTGGCATCAGATCATCCTTTTGTGAAAACGAGACCACTGAGTGAAGCAACAGCATTGAGTAAAACAAAAGCTAAAAAAAGTGCTGAATTTTTACAACCTTATCGAAGTAGGCCAGAAACATGCGCTGCACTTGCCAGACGTCTTGTTACTGGGGCTTTAGGTGTTAAGCTAGCTACTGCTCAACAAGAACGAGAACATGAGAAAGTAATACTTCGTGAAGCAAAAGGTAATATAAACAATATATGTTCATTTTTGTTACTATTCTGATAATTAATGATAATGATATCGTTAAATATTTTCTTTATTTAATAGAGAGGCGAAGATTAGCAAATAAACAAAGAGAAGACGCTTGGGAAGGTATTATTACGACACAAAAATGATATCGAAAACTTATAATGGTTAAAATAATAATTGTATAAAACGATAGCATTTTTAGATCATATCGTGCCTTATTCACCAAAATTTATTTCTAATAAATATGAATATTTAATCCAGTTTTAATGATATTTGAGTAATAAAATCACATAAATATTTTATATGCTGATGAGTATTAAATAGATCAAGTTAATAATCGTGTTGTTGAATGAATATTTTTAAATAATAAGAAATTGTAAATGCAATATTATGGTATATGACAAAAGTGCAAAGTAATTTTTTACTTTAAGAAACTGCCTGAAACAAATCAATTTAAATATACAAGAAATTTTATATTCAAATTCAATCAAATAATTTTTTGTTTCCAAAATACTTTTTTCGAGTTTTAATGTTTAATTGGATTTACATTGTACAATAGTTGTAATAAATTAAAAATTTTGTATAGTTTAAAGTGTTTAATTAAATTTTCATTTATTGTTTGGTATCAAACAAAAATAATATATTAACAGAATTGTACAAATTAAAAGACATAAGTGAGAATTATATAAAGAGAATATTGTATTATTATTACCACTTTCCACCCTTTTTCTTTTTCTTTTGCTGAACTTTTCGTTGTTGTTGTCGAGGTCCTGCTGTTTCAACGGCCGGACTGTACCGTGAATTAGGTGATGGCTTAACATTAGCTGGCATTTTGGTAATATCATACAAATCACTAGTACCAGCTGCCGTTCCTTGGGTACCTTTCATAGTTGTATCTCGATTTCTTCGATCTCTCTTTTTCCTAAATCCACTTCTTTCGTGTCTCGGTAGCCATCTTTCAGGATCTGGTGTAACATTTGGATTATAATTCTTCGGAAGTTTACCTTTGCGCTTACGTTTTGTTCTTTTTTTAACGGTCGTTGTATCTGGTTCGGGTGATAGATTTACTTTCGGACCAACAATATAATTACTCTTCTCTAGGTTTTCTACGAAAGAGGATTCTGTGGAGTAATCTATCTGAGGCAGTAATTTAGATAAATCTTGAGCTTTAGCAGGCGAAAATTGAGCATAAGCGATTATTAACTGAGCCAAAGCTTTTTTATCAGATGGTGAAACTTTTAAAAGAGCTTCCAAACTTTCTACAGCAACACTAACTTCTCCACCACGAAGATGAAAATCAGCAGCTTGTCGCCATAATGTACATAAATCTCCTGTATTTGCTTGATTAACTTTGTAATAATTGACAGCATTCTTTAAAACTACAGCAGCTTTTTCTCGATTATTATCTGCCATGTAAAGGGTTACGAGTGCGCTGACGATGCCAGATAAAAATCGATATTTATCACTTATATTTTCTAAAATATCTATTGCAAATTGGCGATTTCCTTGAGAAAGAAGCATCTGCACACAAGCTAATTTCATACATAATTCGGTTTCTTCAGAAGCGTTTTCTAATAAATAATTAATTGCCTCGTTAGTTTTGCCTTCTTTACTCAACTGCATGGCATTTACGAATGTGGCTTCAGCTTTCATATCTGGATAATCTTTAATAAGATTGTTGCAAAGTTTTTGACATTGTTCACCTTGATTTGTGTATAATGCTAATAAGCATTGATTATATGCAATATTTTTCCTCTGTCTTGTAGTTAATTTATGTTCCAAACCTTCTACAGTTGCACTTTTCATTCTCTTCTTACTGCTGAAAACATTATGGTCTTTATTCAAAGTTACAAGATTATTACTTGCTACGGCAACCAGAGAAATGTCATCTGGTTTAACTTTTAAAGCATTCATATATAAAGCTTGGGCTTCTTTTTCACGCCCTTGTAATTGTAAATCGTATCCCAATTGTACTCTGATGATACCCAATTCACTATCAATATCTCCTTCACCCTCTCCTTCTTCTTCCAATGCTTCTGTACACATTTTTTCCGCTGCACGAAGTTTTTTTTCAGCCTCAATTAATGTAGCACGATCACCAGAGATACTAGCTTGTTCAATCAGGCGACATGCAGCATTATATGTCAATTCATATGTGTCTTCTCTTAATTGTGGTATATCCATTTTCTAGTAAATAATCCAAGTTATTATCTAAACTATTATAATTTAACATAAATTATTTTAAATATCAATCTAAAAACTTACGGATTCTACTGCAGCTAAGTTTGCAATGACTGCTGCCAAATTTGTTTCTCTTTCATCTTCATAATCATCATGAGAATTTTTTATAATATCTCGATACATATTAAAACACTCTTCATATCGTTCTAAACGATATAAAATTTGAGCTTTCAGTTCTTTCACTTCAAGTGATGGGTTTTCAATGCTTTCAATAACTTTCAAAGCTGTTGATACCTGATTCAGTCGATAAAGACAGTACGATTTTTTAAACGCCAACATTCTAAAATAAAGTAATAAATTATTCGATTACTTATGTAGAAATTTTTAAGAAAATTTGCTATTTAGTCTAATGTAAAATTAAATAAGTACTCAGATAATTTGGGATATCTAGAAATAAACTGGAGTGCATCATTGAACTTTCCTAGCTGAATTAAACAAACAATTTTGCAATTTATAGCAGCTTCCTCATCTTGAGAAATTCCAAGAACTAGAAGGAAACATAAATGTTAAATATTTATTGAGATACTTTTATAGTATAATAGAATAAGTTATCTTACTTCTGTTTGCTACTTTTAGAGCTTTTTCAAATTCATTATTACGACCATATTTATTTAACTCTGCATACAGAGATGGTAAATTATCTTCTTTTGAAGCCATTTTAGTATAAATTTATAAAATATTAAACAATAATACTGAGTATCAGCTATTTATTTGATTGAATTGTTTAACAGCAACACATTGCACAGTAAATAAGAATGTAAACTGCAAATTGTGCACACATGGATTTGATAGAAAGCTCGAGGTTCCAACTCGACATCAGTTATACATATAGCTGATTGTGTATAGTTACATAAAGACAAAAGCGCCTCTTGGTTACAAACAGTAATTTAAACTACTAAATTTACAGTAATACTCTGATGATAGAAAAATACTATAAATAATTTTTATTATAAAAAATCAAAATAACAAATTTTTTTATTTAAGACAGAACGTGAAAAATATAAATAATTGAATGCTTAAATATTTGACCGTGATTGAGGCAAAAAAGAAGATTGCTGAGGAACATAACCAATCCTCTCTTGAATTTCACTCTGTAAAGCTTTTCCACTCCATGCTGAGGGATTAAATGTTGACTTTTCACTAGTTTTTTTCAATTCACGTTCTTTTCTAATCCCTTCATATTCCTGAAGATCATCCAAACGTAATTCAATTCGGGTTGGACTCCTTCGCATCATTTTTCCTAAAATGAAACATTGTCTAAACAATAACACTCCACTGACGTTTATCAATTTTTTAATAAAACAATTTTTATATTGATAATCATTACCTGTTCTTGAATTTGAAAAATAATTATGCAATTAAATGAAATAATTGTCAAATGTTTAATTTATTAAAATCCAATTTATACATACTCACAAATAGTGTATGGTGTAATACGCTCCGTTTGGTTATTTTGTAATCTTGAGTAAATTTTAAGGGTTACTTATTGTATAAATAAATATAATCCAAATAAAATGTATGTTGTTAACTTAGGTATCCAGCAATTGAATATTTAAGAATGATTATAAACATCTAATGGTGAATTTACACCATGGGAAAACTCAGAACTTCATATTTTCCTTGTTTAAATTCGCAATGTAAACAGTCCTGCATACTTGGTATACGTGTGTGTGTTACTTGTGTGTTACTGAGAGTAAACTTCCTTGAATTTTTTGTAGAATACTTTCGGCAAATCTTTAATAAATGCACAGATAAAGTGTTCATTAATATAAATAAATAGATTGTCGAAAAATATTTAAGAAAAATGCTTTACTTGGAAGATTATGTGGAAAGTAAGTCATGAACATAACCTTTAAGGGTTAATATTCGTAAATATTAACCTAAATTTTTACAAATGATTTCACGATAATTTACTATTATTTTTTAATTATTTTTTAATTTTTAATTGTAAATATTTATTTTCTCAGTGATTGAACATCTACCTCAAGAATTGAGAGATCGGTTCACAGAAATGCGAGAAATGGATTTAGGAGTTCAAAGTACGTGACATTTACCATAGAAGTTTATTATTTAAATAATTATCATAAATAATGATATTTATTTTTATCGCATTGAATTTTAATTTTATTTTAGACTCAATGGATAGTTTAGAGAAAAAAGTAAAAACTTTTTTTTCTAATGCAAAAAAAATGAAACCAAATGAAAAAGAGACAGAATATGAAAATATTAGAAAAGAATATTACAAAACGCTGGAAGATGCTGACGAAAAAGTACATCTAGCAAATCAAATGTACGACCTAGTGGATAGATATTTACGAAGATTAGATCAGGAATTACACAAATTTAAAATGGAACTTGAAGCAGATAATAAAGGTATAACAGAAATATTGGAAAAAAGATCGTTGGAATTGGATCAACCACCAACTAACAGTAGCCAAAAAGAGAATCGATACAGTTTTACATCGAGTAGAACGAGGGATCACCATGGCCACTGTAAATTTTATTACATTACAACTGATAATCTTTTATCTATTATTTTTATTTCTTTATTCTGTCCTCTTGTTCATTGTAATAATTATTTAATAACTGTAATACTTGATGATAATCTAATTACAGCACGGTCGGAGAAACGAAGGGATTCAAATGCATCAACAGCATCCGTCGAAAAGAGATTAGCTGCAGAAAAAATATTAACCAACGTTCCCGAATCTCGTCCAACTTCAGCCAACTCAGGGCCTTTACTTGCTGCTACTAATTTGGCGACGACTCCAACGCCTAGCATTAATTCTGTAAATAATGTCAGTTATAATCTTGGTCACATCAGTGCTGGCGGGAATGCAATAGCTGCAGCAGCTTCACAAGCGATTGCTGCCACTCAACAAATGCAACAAGGAAGACGCACGGCGAGTCTGAAAGCCAGTTATGAAGCAATTAATACAAGTGGTGGTGTTCACGCTGCTGAATTTAGTAAAGAATTAGCAGGAGCGGCGCAGACAGCAATTGCAGCCATTCAAGAAACCACAAAAAAACATAAAAAGTATGTTCGTCCTTGGTATACAGAAATCTTGTATAAATTAATTTAAATATTTGAACGATAACATTTATTAATTAATTTTTTTACACTTTTTTTAAACTGAAAATTAAAATAATATAACATTTGTATAAATAACAAAGATTAAATACGCAGAACATGGAAAATAAGGTAATTAATTGTATTAATCATTCAGGAAAGTTACGACATCAGTGTCCAGCTCCAACGTTATCACACCTACTACTCAACCTTCTATCTCACCTCCGATAATTGCCACTACTGTTGCAACAACAATCACGGATACTGATAATCCGGATTGGACTTACGATCCAAACGAGCCACGATACTGCATATGTAATCAAGTTTCATACGGTGACATGGTTGCCTGTGACAATTCTGATGTAAGTACTCTACTTTATGAACTATATTTCATGTTGAATTTTTCTCATTTATTTTTTAAACGTGTTTTTTTATTTATGAGAATTTCTAATAGAAAAGTTACTGATTAAACTAGTCAATAAATTAGTAAAGAAAGTAAAAATTAACATATATCTATGAATTATTGATAAAAATGCATATTATAATTTTTTCTTTCTCTTCAGTGTCCGTTTGAATGGTTTCATTATCCTTGTGTGGGAATCACAGCACCGCCAAAGGGAAAATGGTACTGTCCTCAGTGTACATCTTCAATGAAAAGACGAGGAGGACGGAAAAATTAAATTTGTTCATGTTATTTTAGTCATATTACTCAATACGAAATTCATGATTTTCATTAAATCTATGAATCAATTATTTATTTGATACAAAAATATTAAAAAAAATAATAAATTACAATATAATAACAGCAATGAATAATGATAAGATTAATAGGTATAAAGATGATCAAATAATAGCAACAGATATGTAAATGTATATAGAAATAAAAAAGGACTAGAAAAGTAATGTAAAAGGAAAAGTATAAAAAAAAAAATGAATAAGATTGAAAATAGCGTTAAATTCAATAAACAAAATTTAAAGGCTGATTTTTTATACAATATTATATTATACCTCTATCAACGGCTTTGTTCTAATTGCATTGTATTGAGCGAAATTTACCAGAATCAACAAAAACTGACTCATTTGTAAAGTTTTTCATCTTCAAGCCTGAGGTAAGGGACCTCCATGAAGGATTATCAGCTTCTTTAAGTATATTAGATAATTCAGAATCTTCTTGATCACTATATGATGATGGCAATAAAGTACTTGAATTATTTTCTAGTGATTTTAAGCAGTTAGATTCTGGTAACTGTGACTTATTAGTAGATAATGGATCTTTTAAGTGAGCTAAAACATATAAATACAAATTAACGACTTAATTTTAATGATTTCACTACATAAAAAAAATATTCAAAAAAAATCTCAAATAAATAAAAAATCTGTTAGTATGAAATTTGTTTCATTTACACACCTGTAAGCGTTTTAGAATCAAAGTTATCAGCATGATCGAAATTTTTAGCATTAGAAATCCGTGAAAGCTCGCTCAAATCACTCACAAGCTTCTTGTGACGTAAGACCTGCACAGAAGTTCCATCAAGCTTATGAGGATGACTAATTTTAGGTCTTGGTTTTACATGAGATGATGAAGATGTTGATGATGATGATAATTGTGATGATGTAGTCAAAGAATTATCAGTTTCTTTATGAAACGAATTGGTTACTAAATTTACTTCTCGTCTTGAAGCACCGATGCGTAAAAATTTTTTCAAAAAGTATTGAGTCTTACTTTTCTTCTTATTCACTCGGAGATTTTCAATATCTGATTGTGGATCAGTTGAGTAATATGCTAAACTGCATTCGGTATCAGACAAAGAGCTACATTCTTGAGATCTAAGTGAATCAGTTTTCTCATTAATATCATTAGAAATATTTGAATCATATTGGTTTAATGATTCATCATCACTTTTAGCCAATTTTTGATTACATAAATGATTTCTTTCCCTTTTTTCTTTCTCCCTAACTACTGGACAGTCGGATTTGATATTGGATACAGGTTTTCTTGTATATACTGAGCTCAGAGAATTTTCTTGTGATGAATAATTTGATGATTCAGAAAATTTTGGCACATTTTTATCATCATTCATTTGATATTCGTCTAGATGAAAATTTTTCTGCTTATCTGAATTAGTCATTAATGACTCAGTAATTGATTGATCATCTAATTGATCAACATAAATATTTTTTGACGATTCTTCTGATAGCTTGGTAATGTCATCAGTAGAAGATTTGATATCAAACATTTCTGTTTTTTGAGGTTCTGACTTTAGATCAATTTTCCCGTGAAGAAATGAGCTTCGAGGCATTGCTATTAGCGTAGACGAGTTATCATTATCATCATTAGCAAGTAAAGCCTCACTAGAATCAGACGTTGTCTCTAATATTTCAACTTTATTGCATGTTTCATCACAGTTATCATTATTGTCTTGGTTATTAATACCTGATATCAGATTTTCATTACTTATCGGTGGAATTAATTCATCCACTAATTTTTTTTCACTCGCATATGGTTCTAATTCTGGAATAATCTTTTTTACTTCGGTTTCTAAATTGACCGCTGGTTTATTATATAATATTACGTCATGGATATTACTATTTTCATCAACTTTCTTTTTTTCAGAAATAATTGACAAAGTGTTATCACAATTGGATTGTTTATCATTTCCAATGTTATTATTATTAATATTATTTTTTGATAAATTTGTTCTTAATGGTTTAATTTCTATATTTTTGTTTTTAACTTTATCACTAATTGGTTTTAATGGACTACTTAACAATGGCTTTTTAGAATCTTTCAATTGATAATTATTTGAAGAAATATTTTCACAAGTAATATTATTCAATTTATGGTCATTATTAACATCAACTATAATATCTTTTGATTCTTTTGTAATTATTCTATTTTCTGATTGTTTTCTTATAAAGCCATGCTCACTCTTTGCGGAAGACTCTGATTGAAATGGAGTTACTGACACAATTAATGTCGTTTTTTTACCATCTGTATTTTTCTTAATATTCCCAAGCATTAGATTACCAAAGGTCTTAGATGATAGTTCGTTGGTTTTATTATTTACATTTGTAGAACTAACTTCTGGTAAAGGCGAATTAGTGAGGTTTTCTATTATTCTGTTAAAGTTTGTATTCTCTCGAGTAAGATTATTTAAAGCTCGATCTTCTTCACTATCTGGCACAAATTCTTCTAATATTTTTATTTTATCTACTGTATCATTAGATTTAAGGCATTCTTCATTATCGGAACCTTCGTCATAGTTATCATCACCGCCATAACCGATAACCTCAGTTAGAGAATCTAGGAAAGCGACGTTTTTTCTTTGCAAGTCTGATGAAAGTTGAGTGTCATTGCGGTTCCGTCTCAAGATACTCTAGAAAATAGGACATTTGTTACATTTAAAAGTTTTAATCATTGAAAAAAACAATTTACTATTGTTACCATTATTAATTTAATTATTTGACAATTGTTTTTACTTATTTCTTTTATTTCTAATACATGAGTGGAAAAAAATACGATGACATTGATTTTTTTAAATCAGTTATCAATTATATATATACAAAGAGGACAAGAGAAAAGGAAATACAAAAAATGTTTTCTAACAAAGAATAGATCATGAAAAAGCCTCAAGAAAATGTCAGAAAAAGACTAGTTTAAATTCCGGTTAGATTCCAGGGCATTTCTGTCGGGATTCCGGGAGTGCCCGAGGCACCGTTAAAAATTTCTATTACGTTAATTAATGGTTCTACTACTATTTTTATTGAATGACTCGGATTTCATTATATTTCTTGAGGTATATAATATCATATCGTATCATATATCATATTAAATTCATGAATAAACTGAGAAACTAATTTCATGAAATTCCGGTCAAGTTCTAATGAAACTTTAGATACCGTGAAAAGTACTTTCCGGGAAAATATTTACAAGGTTATTTTTAACAGTAGATAATAATAGGTTTTTAAAATAGTTATAAAGTCATGGTATTATGTACCTTAATTTGTCTATGACATAAACTTAAATTTCGAATGTATTTTTTTCCCATTCAGTTTTTAAAATTAAACGAGCTGTAAAAACTTTAATGACTTCAAAATTACCTGTATACTTTGACTGTTTTTTGTAGTTGACGATACTGTTGACACATTGCACTTTTTTAAACGTTCTTTTAAAGCTCTTTCATGTTCTTCACGTGTTTCAAAACAATTGGCACAAAGATTTTGCTTCCAAGCATGTTGCACAAAATATCTACACTGTGTTGACATTTTTTCCATGTTTAGATATTATTTACTTATGAATTATTCAAACTTTTACTCATTAGAATTTGTATATGATAACACTTCTTAATAATTCAGTTTAATATAACTTTAAAAAATATTTATCCTGTAAAATGAAAAAAAAAATTTTCAAAATCAGCGAGAAAATTAAAAAAAAATACTATAATTAAATTCATAACAAATTAATTAAACTGTAATTATAATTGAATCAAGAAATTAGTACTCGTAGTTAATGAGTAAGTATTTCTTCGACTTTCTCTAGTATATCGTTAAAACTTTCAGTAGTATGTAGGCTTTCACTACCCTTTATTTATTTTTTTAATTAATTCATTCTTTTCTCTCTAATTATCAAAATTTTATCATTAACACTGATGCACACAAAAAATTATCTTTGAGTTCTTTCTACTCACTGTTTATTTCGTATTTCCTTTCAATTATTTCTTAACATACATAAATATAATGCTTAATTATTAAAAAAGATATTTCTATCGCCATCTCTCTCTCTATACCTAGGTCATTGAACGTCTACTACTGCAAACATACTGCAAGATATAATTGTCATGCTTTTAAGATGACGATTTTCAATGGCTCCAACGTTTAAATAATGTTTACTATTCATGACAACTAATATCCTGTATCCCTTCAGCACTCAATATTGAATTACTAAATGTCTTCTATAATAAAAGTATTTTTATCTTTTTTTTTTTTTTGATTATCAATGACATATTTAATTATTAATTTACATCAATAAAAGATTCACAATAAACAAAAATTATTATCAAAAACTAATAAAAATTTTATAACATTAAATAACACTTCAAACTTTTTAATATAAAAATTCATTTAAATATAAAACATTTTCAATTTACTAAATTATTTGATTGGCCAATTAATTAATTAAAAAATGCACATCAAATAGAATTGCTTAATAGTTTTTTTCACGGTTAATTAACTTTAAAGCAGAAGAATTAAGTTTTTCTTTGTTCAAGTCCAGTCCACCGCATTCCCACGATATGAAGAAATTTTTAACTTAATAATTTGTTTGTTTATTCGTTAAATATCTCACCTGAAGCTTCAACATTTATTTAACAATTCGAAAATCTTTATTTTCAATAAAAAAAATCGATGTTGTATAAAAAATACTTTTATCCACAAAAATTTGATCAACTTTTAAGTACTTGAACGTGCATATGATATGAAACCGTTCTTTCTTTATACTTTAGACTTGTTCTGAATGATTTTTATTCTTGTACTGAACTATGTTGGAGTATATTACACTGGTATGGAGTCAACTGTATATTCTGTATGATCTGACTAACTCTACTGACTCAGTCCTGTTGAATGTCGAGGAGTCGTGGACAATCGGCATTCACCGTAACACTTTTGAGGCCAACAACGATCATTTTATTTTATGTATGTGAAGTCTTACACTCTTAACTAGTTTGACAGCACACACTTGAAGATGTATACACCAATGTTCAGGAATGTACATCTAAATGCAATAATATAAGCCCGTGCATACTCATGGATATAAACATGTTTACATCTACATCTACAATGATGGGTTTACTAAGTAAAAGAAGAATACAAACACAAACTTGATCTGAATGTAGGATATAGGTTCACATTTACACGATGTACACAATCTCCGGCCACACCAAGCAACCAGTTACGATAATTGATTGTATTTTATGTACAGTTTCCATAGGGCATCGAGTTAGAAGAGTCAAAACTATATTATGTGTTGCATGTTTCCTCTATATTCCCGCCTCGTAAAGGTTACAAGTCACGTGAGTGTAAACTGTAAACAAAGCACATTTCCCGGTACGTGTTTTTTTATTTATTGCAAAAAATAATCAACAACTAATTTCTAGAGTTACAAAAGAAGGTATTCAAGAATATTATCTAGCTAATTATTTAATGCAAATACTTTGTTATTTTATCATTGTTCATTTATACGAAGTTTCAGTAATGATATATTGAACATAAATAGATGGTTTTTTTTAAATACATTGTTTACAACTGTATTTTTTATTTATCAGGTTGAAATCAAATCAAATATTTATGCATGTTTAAAAACTGATGAACGGTTGAATGTCGTGCTTTTTTAATCATTGACATTATTTATTGAAGAAAATAATACAGAATGGACAGAAGAAAGATAAAAGGACGTCATGGACTTCACAAAATACAAACCGCGCCAGGAACATCAGACGAAGCAGAGTCTGAGGATATTTTTTCTAGCAATTATCAAGCAGACAGAATGTCTCAGAGAGCATCAAATACAGAATTATTAAGGAAACAAACAAATATATCATCGCCATCCACATCTGATAATAACGATGATATTGATAATCAAAACAATGATAAATTAAGTCAATCACCTGTTGCTCAGTCCACTCAAAATCGAGCAGCTGATTCTCCCATTAAAGCACGAAAACGAATTATTTCTGAATCATCATCGCAATCTACTCAATTTTCAACTCCCGTTAAAAGACGACATTTAGATGGTTTGTATATAAATAAATAATTATTAGTGTATCATAATTGATTAATTGATATTTTTTTGCATTATTAGAACCATCAACAAGTAAAGTTAGAAAATCAACTAGTCCACCTGGACGATCCCCTGCAACAACAAATATAATAAAAAAAGACATAAAAATACGACCTCAACGCCAAGCAGTTATTCAAAATAATGTACAGAGTACTGTTGAATTAGTCAATCTCTTTACTCAGGTTGGAATTACACTAGATGAAAATGATTCTCAATATCTGATAGGTATACATATATAATTAAAAATATAATTATTACTATTATTTTTAAATAACAAAAGCTAATATTTATTCAATTTGAATAATTTATTCAAGCAAATGATCCATTGATTGTTGCAAAAAAAATTCAGCAATTTCTAACTTCCGGTGATTTTCAAAAACAAATGATAATTGAACAATGGAATAATTATATACAAGACGAAGACCAGTTGAATAAACTATTGAGTCCAACAATATTGAATTCTAGTGAAGGCAGACAAATAGGCTCTTTTAATAGTATATCTGTTGTTAAAATAATGCTGCAAGTGCCTTGCATTCAAACGGAAATATTAGGTAGTCTACTGAATAAGTTGAATGAAACTGTTGTTGCAGCGTAAGTATTATTTAAAATTTATTATTTGTAAACTAGTTTATTAATTCATTGTCATTTATCAGTGATTCAATGGAAAATGTACCATGGACTTATCAATTACTCCAACAACTACGATTTTTAGAGACTATTTATGATCCCGATGTATTGACTATAAAGTTTGAAGAATTATTAGAGACATGTCCAATGTGGTTTCAGCGAGAATTAATTGCATTTATTCCAGACATTGCGATAGACACTCAGCATCAAAATATAGCTGAAATACTGGTACGGCTCATGGAAGTTCATAAAGATCTGACAATGGTTATTCTTACTTGCATTACAAATTTATCTCTTGGCAAAGAATACTTAGAAGAGTTACGAGAGAAGATGTTGAGAATATTACAAGACAACTGTCATATCACCAAAATTCCAGTGATAGTTAAATTTTGTTTGGAAGACTGTTCCTCAGCTGAGATTTATCAGAATGTTTTACGAGTAATTAGAAATTTAGATCTTGAGCCACTGAGTGGTGAAAATCCTGAAGAATATTACTCAAGTCAAGTAATGATTGTAAATACTTTGAAAACAATGCTAGTTTTATCGAAAGATTTAGCAAAAGCTGCAATAATGATTCTAGAATTAACTGATAATGTTCCCAAGCCATTTGATTTGATTATCTTATTATTATTACATGAAGGAGTGGCAAAGAAAAAAAAAACAGATGCTATTCTTAAACAACACGTAAAAAGTGGATTTTATCGGATAAGTTTACTCAATGACTTTTACTCGAATTACAGAGAAATTGCTAAAGATTTACATTCAGCTGCATTGAGTATGGCAAGCAATTTATTAAAATCAGAAAATCGAGTTCTTACAGATTTTACAACTGGGTGGTTTCGACTACAATTTCTGATTAATGGCGAGTTGGTTCACAAACAAAGGGAAATTGTTGAGAAATTAATTGCATTAATGGGAAATAATGACCAAACTGCGAAAAGTTCTCTCATAATTCTTTGTAAAATGACTGAAAAGAAGGAAGAAAGACGATATTTACAAACTCATTGCAATTATTTGCGGATTTTGTTAGAGAAAATGGAGAAATTCGGTTTAAAAGAGGTGACAATGCTTAATGATTTACTTCATGCTTTATGCGCTACCTCACATTCAGCCTCTGACACTCTGAAAGATGATTTATTTATTTTACTTCAAAAGCAATTATTTTGTAATGATAGCGTTATGAAATCTAAAGGTGTGGCGGGTGCAGTTATGGCTATTAAACATTTAGCAACAAGTTCAAAGTATTGTGAAACGGCTCTAAATCTTTTTAATAAAGTATACAGTGGTACTAAAAATTGTCCAAGGTCAAGAGGATTTTTTTACGATACTTTGAGTCAAATAATTGCTGATACTGATAGTATCAACGATGAGTTTTTAAATAAAATTACACAAGTCATTGAAAATGAATTCATAGAAGTATATATGGTTAGTACGAATGACTACAGTGGTGACCTTACGCCTTCTTTTGAATTAAATCATTTCAAAAATGAATCACAATCATGTGTCGTGAATTTTAGCCAACCTAAATATGGCGGAATAATTGTAGCTTTACTGAAATTGATGAAAGTTTGTTTATCAAGAATACATTCTGGAGATTTAACTACAATTAATGCCCTTCTAGGAAGTGGAATATTAATGCCAAAAGATTTAGATATGCCAAATACTCAAACTCTAGATTTAATGTTTCATTGTATCAATTGGTATCGAGAATTAATCAACACTTTTGTGACTCAGAGAGATCCCTTATTAAGAAAACAAGTGTCTAAACGATTAGAAAACACAATGTATCTACAAGGAGAATTGTCCAATTTATTATCACTTGCTGAAAATCGTTATCAACCACCTGTGTGCTATTTTGATTCTTTTTCGTCTGTATCGTTCAATAAAATTGAAAAGAAAAGTACGAAAAAAGGTAAAAAATCAAAAGATACTGAAGAAAAAACTGAAAAGAGTATTAACGTCCCAGAATGGGAATCTTGGGAAAAAGGTTCGTTGCTGAGCACAAAGAACCCACTTTATTTTCGACGATTAGATGCAGATATACTTGATTTACTTGACAATAATGAAGATCCAGAGTCCACAGAAAACTTTAATGCAACGGAAAACATTCCTACAGGACAAGTTTGCTTTATTATTAAAGAATTGTTAGCAGTATTTGATGGTGAATCTGTTAATTATATATTTATGAAAGACTTGATGCAAAAATTACCAAAAATTTGTGCCAAGCTACAAAATATTGTTAGAAAACTTAAAGAAAATGAAGATCAACAACATAAATACGCGTTAAGGCTTATTCTTAGTCTCATAACTACAATATTCCAATGGAAAGGATTTGATCATCCAGCTCATAATGTATTATTAAGAGGTAAATTGAAAGGCACATATATAAAAATAAGATCATTCATTAGTATATTTAAATTTTTCAGATGGATTACGGATCTTAGCTAGTCAGGTTGATGAATCAAATAGAGGACTTCGATCGTGTAAAGATTTAGTAAGTGAATCTTACAGATTTTTCGAATCTCTTGCAGAAGTCGCAACTCAAATACAATTAGCCGCTTCTTTAGTAGAGACTTGTAAAGTGTTGATGAAGCATTCAGAGACTTTCACTCGACAGAATAAAAGTAAACAAGGTAAAAAACGCACTTTTGTTTTGCTATTATTATGAGACATAAAAATGATGTAATTATTCAATTGCGTTACAGCGAATATGGCCTTCGGATTCTTGAGCTTAAAATGGCCATTAGATCGTAATGTAGGACCTTTGTTCAAGTCATCAGTGACAAGCCTTTTACAAAATTGGATGGATCATGAGCCTCATCCTTTAGAAACAGTTACCTCAATTCTAGAATGGTTACCAGAGGAAGTAAAAACATTAGAAACATCTCAAGACTATATATCAAAGTTACCTCCAATAAATAAATTAAACTTTCATTATCTTTATGCCAAAATATTTGATGGTCTCATTAAAGGCATTAAAATTTCATTCCAATCAGCAAGGCCAAGTTTAGCTAAAGTTCAATTATGGCGAGAAGTTGCTGAAAATTTACAGCAATTAGTGTTTATTTGCAAATCAATGACCAGAAAAAGGAGTATACTGCTAGTTTATGTACGAAAAATGCCTGGATTACTGAAATTATTTCTCATTCATGCAATGCCGGTATTAGAACAGAGTTTAAGACATCAACCTGATGAGATAACGAAAATTCTTAAATTGATGCAAGCAGCAACGAGATACCTTAATGTTATTTGTGTTGATAGTACTGAGAAAAAAGATATTGCTTTAACTAGATACGTACCTGCTGCAAAAAGTATTTTAGAACAATTAATATACAGAGTAAAAGGAATGCTCGTATTAAATAATAGCTCAACAGCTTTCTGGATGGGTAATCTTGTTAATAAAAATTTAGAAGGACAAGAAATTTGCTCCCAGGTAATTAGAATAAGAAAAAAATTTATTTCATTACTAGTTCAATTTTTTGGAAAAAATAGATTAATTATCTTTATTATTCAGGCATCAACTTCTACTGATGAGCCAACTATGCAGGATGTGAATAATTCAAATGAAAATGCTAGTGGAGATGAAATCTTATCTGACGTACTAGACGATGATAATGATTCTAACAATGATGATGATATCTCTATAGATGAAAGTTAAATACCTCAATTAAAAAAGAAAAAAAAACTTAAAAATTAGGATTAGTAATTACAAACAACAATTTATTATTGTATTTCTTTTCAAATATTTTTTCTTATTATATTTTTTTACCTATCGTGAAAAATATTTCGTTCTAGTATATTTACTCAATTAAAAAAATTTAAAAAAAGTAAAAAAAATGGCTATTCAATCAATCAGTTAATCGTTGATTCATTTTCTTTCCAAGCTGTAAAATCAACAGATGGAATATCTTCACACAATGTGATAAGATTCGTTGAATCAACTGATCGCATAACTTGAGGTTGAATATAATCGATATTATCGGAACAGTCACAGATGATTCTAGCTAGTGATGTTTTTCTTAGCTGAAGAAGTTGTTCTAAAAATAAAAAAGATGTAATAAATTTTCTTAATAAAGGTATTTTTAATTAAAGCAGCTTACCTTTTGTAAAAGGATAAGATTGATGATCATATTCATACCAAAATCGATCACCCAACTGAAGTCTTTGAAACTGTTGTCCAACTAGACAAGTAAATAGTGGACCTAAGAGCCCATCATTTTGTATTTTTACTTCTGCTAGTGCACCAGTGTAAAGATCAATATCATCTACATCTTCATAAAGCTCCTGAATACCTTCTAAACTATCAGGATCAAGAATTCCTTTTAGTTCATTAAAATTACGAGGTCGTTTGAGATCACAATATTCTCTCCAAGCTGTATAACCTGGAAGTCCATGATCTCTTCCACGTTGAATATTAAGAGAAACAAGATCTAGGCCACAAGGTACGAATGTTTGATTTTTAAACTCATTAGTCATTGAAGAATCTTCAAAAGGATCCTCAAAAAGATGATGGGTTAATTGCGAAGTAACATGTGTTGAAGTCATTTGAATTAAATTGGATGTAGCAGAAATAATAGAATCTCTTACACCTGTTTCTGAATATAAACTGTAAGGATTGAATAACATTTTATGCAATTGAATCCAATCTTCACTTCCTTTTTCAGCATTTGTTATCTTCATCAATCCAGGAAGCAAAGTGTGAGCAAATCTGAATGCTGCAGTAGCGAAACAATTGGCAATTGCCGGATCATCAATACTCGATGTTTTTTTATCAAAATTATAATGTCGATATTCATTTAATTTTAATAACGTCAAATTAAGTCTCTTCATTTCATTTTTTCCTAAAACAATTGGCAGAAATTCATTGTATGTAATATGTTGTAACTGAGCAGCGATAATTCGTCGAGTTTCCTGGTATAGTCTTTCATCATTCCAATCTGGGTTTATTTTATGCAATTGAGATGCTATTAAATTATGCTGACGAGCCCATATGAGGTGCATTGTTGTTAGATGAAGGTTTTCATTAGCCCGAGGATCTCCAGTGACAAAACAATAGCGACCGCGTTCATTTTCAATTTCTCTATTACATCCATCGTTTAAATTAGTACTTTGAGGAAGAAGGGTGCGACCATCCGGTGTTATAAACATTTTTAGCAAACCATTTTTATGCTCTCGAAGAGAATGCGCAAGCATTTCATCCGCTCCGTACACAACTGATCCATCAATAAACGCTGTAACCTATTGCAAACGAATCATTATTATTTTTTTTATTTAAAATTTGAAATTGTGCTTATAAAATTGATAATTATTTTTACCTGATTTAATTGTTGACGAGGTCCAATTTTGCACTGCATTGCGGGAGCAGATCTCACAAAGTCCATACAATCAAACCCAGCGACATCATAAACAGGATCTCCAGGACCAACTAGGACTGAGAAACATTCAGGATGTTTTGGCTCATCTGATGAACAACATGCTAATCTGCTACCATTTTTTCCTTGACTAAGTGCAGTTGCTGTAATATCATGATCAAGGAATTGTCCGAAAACCGCTAACATTACAGTAAAAGATGGATTTGAGCTCGGAGAGGGATTATGAACTCTCAGACTGATTTTTCTAGCTGATGGAAGAGGTTTTTTTGATTTCGAAACTCGGGGTTCTTCGATTCCATCTGCATAATCTGGTGGTAAATTTCTTGCAAATGGAGTAAACGCTGCTCCATGATTTCTCGGATGATTACAAGTGCCATCGTAAGTTCTATATTTATCTGTAAAATTACACTCTGACAGAAAATATTCTCGACAACTTTCTATCGGTGCCCAATTGCCATAAAAAAAAGCTCCATCAGCAAAATTAAATTTCGTTTTATTATTCCTACGAACTTCAAGAATATATTTCGTAGCTCCAAGCTCACCAATCCCTGCCATTGCAAGTTTCCCTGCATGAAGACTTGTTTTTACAGCATTATTATGACGAATATTTGGTGATAATTGATTCGCAAGGATTATTTTTGCACTTTCGTCTATTATAGATCTTTTTTCAATTGCATGATTTCCCGCATCTAAAGCTTCTGCCCACTCTTTGTCACTAAGTCTGAATAACGTAGGATTTAACTCAAGTAGTTGGGTTTTTAAATAGCTGAAGTTACTTGAATAGCTCGAGTCTTCTGGTGGATTAAAATCAATGATACTTAATGAATAGCTTATCATTGCCACAAGACAAATTACCAACACTACTCTGTAAAAAAAATTAATAATTATCAACAACAATAATTTATAGAAAAAAAAAGTTTTGTTGACAAATACTTACAATATAGATGCGCATAAACAACACTGAAATTGGCGAAATCTAATCCTTTGATTTCTTAACAATCCTGTATTTTCAGTATAAATTGGCTGAGGTGTTAAATAAATTCTTTCAGACGTTGACATTGTGATCACATTAATAATTCAACAACACAAATAAAAAAAAATTACACGACACTGTCTGGTCGATTCTCACAAAAGAACTGATTCAAGTGCAAAGCCCTCCGAAGTCTGAAAAGTCAAAGTATCATTTAGCAGTAATCTGTTCGTGTGCCAACCAGTTTTACCTATCCACAAATCCCATTTTTACTCCAATATTATTTTCTCACTTTTGAAATAACTTTACTTTTTTACAATTAAACATTTGTTTATAATTAATAACTTTCTTAATTAACCATTGATTTTTTTACACACTGTTTGAAAAAAAAAAATTTTATGCACCGAATGAAAACTTGAGATCATGTAAGAAAAAAAATGATCAGAAGGATTTTTCTGCGATCTAAAACCGCTATGATTGAATGTGGTTTAATGCAAGAACAAATAGTGTAGGTACAGTCCAGGGTTAGTTACGTGAAATGAGATCAGATCTTGTTTCATCTGTCACTCGATTTATTCAAGTATACACAGACATGAAAAAATATATGGTTTGATGGGGGTGTCATTTGATATGTACAGAGGAAAAGTGAAGGGCTTCCTACTAAGGTTTCTCACATTGCTTATAATAAGCATCACATATAATGTCATTTACAATTTCATTGATATAATTTTTAATCTAAAGCCTAAAAAAAATAAGCTCTGAAATACACGAAGACGATTAAAATGGTAATTATTATTTTTACTCTTAACAATCATAATCATCTAATATTGGATAAGATTCTGAATTGTTAGGATTCTTTGAGAAAAAATGTTGAATAAAGACAAAAAAGACTGTTCAGAGAGTAAAACTACTTTGACGATTTACTTTTAATCCACTTTAATTAATTAATCATTCTTAGTACTATTATTAGCTGCAGCAATGCAATTTGTAATATCCTTCAGCACGAAGTTCTAACCATTGTTCTTGATTGGGGACATACATCTCAGCAGGCATTCGTTCTAATCCTAAAGACGCTGGAGATTCATTATCACTTGCTCTTTTAGCTGTAAGAAAATTTTAATTAATTTATTTTAATTTTATAAATAACATTTAACTTACTTATTCGTTTTTTCATAGCAATCGCTTCTCCAGGATGTCGAAGAAGAAGTCGTCCTACTCCTTCACATCGTCGTAAGACTTCATTTTTTAATAAATGTTCTTTAACATTCTGCGAAATAATTGGACACTTGGTAACCCATTCACTCACAAATGCAAAATCTGTTAAAAGCTGATAAGCTCCTAACTCAGTGAATTTAAATCGATGGAGATAAATATAATCTAGCCATGCTTCACACATTAATTTTAATACCATGTTGGATATTTCATAGTCTTCAACTACTTCTAAAACTGGCAGTAAAACTTGATCTAAATATACTTGAACATATGAACTGGTAGTAATATTTGATACAATACTAGTTCTTCTCCAATAAGAAGATGGTGGAAAACACATGTGTAAATTGGCTAAACTAATTACTCGACATATTTTAGCTAAAGTATTAATGCATTTGCTTGAAGATTCCTAAAAAAATTTACTTAAGTTTTTTTTATCTAAATAGCTATTTTAAATAAATTTAAAAACTCAGAAATTCTTACTTTGAGCAATAAAATATTGGCATTGACCTCAGAAACAATTTTGGCTCTCATTTTTACGCAAACATAAACTTGAACGCTGATCATGTCGATATTTGGATATGGAATATGGTCAGCGAGTCTTAGGCGTGATAATTCAGTGATACAAATTTTAATATCTCCTTTTACTATAAGAAAAAAACTCTGTAGATCCCAAGTATGAGCAATTACTTTAGATTCATGTGTTGCCCATAATCTCATTGTATGAACAGAATGATCTAGTCGATGAAGAACTAATATTTGTTCAGAAAGTGGTAATTCCATCAATGGTGCCCCAGTGACCCATTCTCCACTCATTTCACATTCATTACTTAAACTCACAAGTAATTGGAAGACTTTGGAAAACATCTGACCAGTGTTTGTTATCTAAAATATATTAATTAAAGGTCATATTCATTATGATGAGATATTTAAGTGTGGTAATTTAAAAGCGGACTTCACCTCTGATGAACATGGTCTTGAAGAACATTTAAATGACGCAACATAAGCAAGCCTAAATAACTCGTCCCAGGATGTTGTTGTAATATGACATCCTAGTGTATCACATAAATTCTGAAGAGTTGGTTTTATATTCATTGGCACTGTAATAATTAAATTTAAGTACATTGATTCCATTATGTTTGTGAGAAAAAAATAATACAAACCATTGATAGAACTTTGCAAAAATAAATGCAACCAATCTCTAAGATAATGAGCTCTATGATTATGGTGGACAGCAATACTGTCTGATGACCACCAAAGTATTACATGGTCTAAAATCTCTGATATTGAAGCCCATACAGCTTGCTGATAGTAATCTGACACTTTAGCTAAGGTACTTTTTTTAATTTTAATTGATTCATTCTTATTTAAATTAGTATTATTAGATAAAAATAGTTGAGGACAAATGTCTTTTGCAATTTTTACAAATTTGTCTACTGGTTTTAATTGATTTTGAATTAAAGTTTCAAGATTTTCAACGTTCATTGCACTTATATCTTTTCGTGATCCTGATTTTGATCTCGCCATTGTATTTGGAGGACTTAAATTTTTTATTAACGCTCTGCAATAATTAATTATTCATCAAATGTAACATTATATTTCTATTGAAATAAGAATAAATGTAATATTACCGATAAATTTCAGCGCTAGAATTTTCATTAATGTCTAAATCAACAGATGCTGAAGATGTTATATTCTCATAATTATGAGGCCAATAATTTTTTAAAAGACATTCAATAAGTTCTTGACAATAATCTTCAGCTTTATTCTTAGCTAATGTTTGTAGAATACGTATTATTGACATATTTTTTAATGGTTCTAACATTAAAGGACAGTCATTTGAAAAAATATTTACTGAAGGATCTGCAATCTTAGCAAAGTCCAGATGAAGAGAATCATTATATGCTTTAACTAATCTGTTGATAAACAATACCATCATGATTATACCATTAATAATAATAAATAAAAATACATTCGATGTAATTTATAATTAATTTACTTGAATAATATGAATATTGATTGTTCATTGTCACAAGTCACCATTTGTTGAATCAAATTATAAGTTAATTTTGCAGTAACATTTAAAAGCTTCTTGATTGTTTCCATTAAATACTGCATTTTGTAATTATAAATACTTTTTATATTTTTCAAAGAAGATCGCGTAGCATCAATATTTTTATAATCTTCAATGATTTTTTCGAAATTATTTGGTAAATCATTCAGAAACTAAAAAAATATCATATCAATAGACTATTGAATACATTGTAAATATTTTTCTCAAAAAAAAAAATACCTCTAGATTAGAAATGTTGTTGGAACGCGAAACTTCTTCAGTCATTAAAGCAATGTTTTCTGCAAGATTTTTTGTTGTATTATGTAATACTATAATGTTTGTAAACCATGACTCGAGTTTCGAGTCAACAAAAGGTAACCACTTGACTATGTTAACACGATAAGAATTACTATCCATCATTTGTTACAAATATTTAATTATCATTATATTATCTACTAAAAGTGACAATAACGATCTGTTACTAATGTTGCCACGGAAACATGATTATTGAATATTTTGGCTTTAATAGTTGTATTAATTGAATTTTTCTCTCCAAGTAAAAAATTTTTAAATATATTTTATGATAAAATTGTACAAATATTAATAGGGTTCCAATTTTTTAATTAATATTTCAGTTGAAAATTAAATTACAACGGTCATTGAAAAAATTTTAATCACTTTATTATTCATATATTTAATTAAAAATAATAAATTATGCATAAAAATTAAATAATAATAATAAATAAATAAGATCAAAATTCATAACTGAGTTACACACTTTTTATATTTTTTGTTTTAAATGTAATTAACTGCTAAGTCATTATTATTATTATTATTATGATTTTTTTTATTCATTGTCGATACAGTTAACGATTATAAAATTTAAAGAAAAAATTGGAATAACAAATTAATGACACCTCTTTGGCACAGGTTAATGAGTAGTTATTAATAAAAAAATTATATACATTTTACTTTGACTACTGCCTCCATTATATTAGAAATTAACAGGCTGTATTTATAAGTATCGTTTAAAAATCATCTCAATATTTGATATTAATAATATTCTGTTATACAAATTAATTACATTATCTATTGAATATATTCGCAAATAATTTATTTATAAAAAATCTCTCTACTGAAAATATTATTACTATAAAAATTTTACAGACGTCATGGTAGTGTAAATAAATTTTATACTAAAATTCTTCTAAAAATAATCATTATTAAAATACTTGATGTGAAAATATATTCATATATAATATTAAAATGTTAAATTATAATATAGTTGAGACAAGACACTTCAATAAAGTATTTGTTTTAATTTGGTAGATTGACAAAACAAGTATAGACTAATTTTTAATGCGAAAAATTAAAGTAACTGTAAGTATTTAACATGATGGAACAATTTAAATAGTAATAAAAATATTAGTAATATTAATCATTAACAATCACTTAATCTTTTTCACTTTTAATGGCACAATTTATATTAAAAATTAATAATATAAATTAATATGCCCATTTTCTAAAAAATAAACTTGCAAAATCATATAACTAATGTGTACTAAAGTCAGTCTGGCGGTAACAAGTTAATTGAAAGATTGTGATTTGAATTTTTATTGAAATTCAAGTGATTCTTCTGGATCAATAACCGACTAACTTTAGGCTTTGGTGGTGGTGTTGGAGGCTTGACGGAGCTCTGAAAACTTTCATTAAGCGACAAGGATGATGCTACTTTAGCCTCTGAATTACTATTATTATTAATAATTGACTTAATAGCACTTGGTGAAAGCTGTGAATAATTACCATAACCACAATAATCAATCTCTCGCATTTTAATTGGTAAGGGGGGTGGTGTATCTTCTTCGGAAGCAGTGCTGTCAGTTGTCCCCACGCTATCTCGATTTATTTTCCCAGAATCTTTAGAATCACTTTGCTCATCATTCGAATTCCTGAGATAGTTTTGAGATTGTAACGACCATCGACTGCTAACACGTTTCTCTTTCTCAGCTTCTGATCTCAAAGGTCGCGATGGTGTCAATTCTTGCCTTAATTCAATCACTGGAGTCGTACAAAGGCTTATTGTTGATGAGACAATGGTTGAAGTTGGAGACTGTGGAGTTATTTCAATAGAATTAGTTGCAGTAGATGAAGTGTACCATTGGCTAGTGGATAAATCTTGTTTAATCATACTACTGGAATCACTCTTGCGGGAACTACGCCTCTTGGAATCCTTTTTTTTTGTCGTTCCACCCGATGCTCCTAAAGCCTTCTGGAGCGAAGCTGTTGATAAGATATGCGACCTTACAGAGCTGTTTGTCTCTGTGCTCATCACGCTTGTCTCCGAAAGTCGAGAATAATTATCATTCTTTTTATTTTGCTTTCTCATTGTTACAGTGCTCGTTAAAGTCTCAATCTGGAGATCACAAGTTCGTTTGCCATACTTCGCTTCAACTTGAGCACGCATAGATGCAAAACATTGTTCTAACCTTTGGTGGAATGGTGATAATTCAGGCGGAGCTCTTGATCGGTGAAGTTGCAAGCCAACTGCGAGTAATGGAATTTGTTCAGCAATTAAACTAGACAATTTCAATAAATCGGAGCTTGATTCTGGATGAGACTCTCTAAAAGAGGAGTTAAGAAAAGCTTTTTCGTAGTTATAAACTCCCCCCATTACCGCTGGATCCAAAATTCCACTCAATTTCATGCTCAATGGATTTAAAGGAAGAATAGGATCAGCTTGTTGAGTAATAATTAAATCCCTTAATGAGGCATTTGAAGCTTCCATTGTTTCTATTGCATTGCAAAGAGGGCTTACAAGATATGTTTCACTTGATATCACTGGAGACCATCGTAAAATTCCTGGTAACGTATTACTTGTTACCAAAACAGTTCTCTCTAACCATAAGGACGCAAAATCGTTTGTGTCATTGGTATTATCATTTTTACTAACATAACTATCATTAAGATTATTATTATCTCTATCAACATCATCGGTATTGTCATCTTCATCACCATGATCACCATTATTGTCATTAGCACTGTTACTACTACTACTATTACTATTTGTATTACTTCGAACATTATTATTTTTTCTATCATTAACGTTATCTTCAACGATTTCTCGTTCTGATTTAATAGAAAGCACTGAAGATGATGAGGATGACGTAGAAAATACTGATACACATGGCATTTTGGATTTTTTTGGTGCAGGCCTTGAAAAACGAAATCGAAGGACATCATTAACTCGATGATATCGCAATACGGCTTCGGCAGTAACTGGCTTTCCACTTAATCTATGTCGTTTTTCGTCCATTAATGGCTCTACTTTATTTATTTGTACGTATTGACAGTTAGATTCTAACATTTCCGGAGAAGGCGGTGATAATTTGTTCATTTGCACTGCATTCGACAATTGATTTAATATCCGTGAACAAAAATCACCAAGTCTTTCATACTCTTTTCCTCGATAAATAAATATTTTATTTTGAAGAAAAGGTAAATGGCCACGACCGTAATAAGCAACTCGAAAATATTCAGGTTCCGGTCTTAATTGTTTTACAATCGAGTCATAAAATTTGGCCATCCGCTTTAACAGAAATGATAATTGAAGATAGTCATACGTTACCTCTTCATATTGCTTAATTAATTCTTTGCAAACACTCAAAGCACATTCCCACATTTTTCCTTTATCAAAGTAACCAATAATATTGTTATATAGAGCTTCCTTTAATTCTCGATGAGTCTGACAAAGTGGATAACGGTTCGACCGTAACAAAGGCGGCAGCGGTTGATCACTCCAGTCTAGTAATTGACTGTGTAATTTTAATGTATAGGCGGCTTCCGTATAATTATCACACTCCAAATGTAATTCACAAAGCTTGTTTACGTATCTAATATACATCTCTTTCCGGTTAATTTCCGAATAAAATTCTAAAAGATTAACAGTACACATCATCCGATGCTCTTGAGACTCTGCATTAATAATATCTCGGTACTGTAACAACCGTTCCATTAATTTAGCTACAATATCAACGAATCTTAAGCCTTGTTCACGCATTGTAGCGTGATTTTCACAAAGCGATCCCATAACTTGCATCCAAAGCAAACGAAATTGTTCATCTCCTCTACCTCCTTCGATTAAAATATCTAATTGTGCAATCATTTCGTTTTCGTATTCGAGAAAATTGCCCTTTATATGTGCTGGATCACGTTTTGTATCTCCGTACCCTTCTACTAATCGAGAGCTGTAGAATTCACACTGCATCATGTCGAAGAAAATTGGAATGGTTGCCTTTCTCAATTCATTTTCTGGAATTAACGTCATTTCAAGAATTGGTCCCACTAAACTTGGAACAAAATATATTTTATTTTGGCCAAGATTGAACCACATTGAACGAATCTCGAAAGCCATTTCTCTGTGAAAATAAAAATTGTATCACTTATAATGTCTATAAAGAAATCTTAAGATGGAAATGAGAAAAATAATACCTTCTCATATCATTGTAACGTGATATTATGCGATTTCTTTTTGTCACTGTAAACATTTCTAACTGCAATGATGGTTGAGTCAGAAAAGCAATTGCACAATGGAAAAAATTTGACCATGCCTGCTGTTCGAAATCCGTAAAAAAGTAATCTCGTATCGTTCCAGAAAAAATTCTTAAAGATTTTAATATAACACTATTTTGAAGCATAATCATTTCGCTCCAATCTGATGCAAAAACACTTTTTGAGACTAAATCTTTAAAGACTAGTAAAATTTCCATTAAAAAATCTAGTAAGTCAAATCGAGTTCCAAAATGATTAGTATAAATTTCATAATGATGAGGTGACATTTGTCTAAATATTGCAAGCATCACAGATACTAAATGTCCAACCAATGGATTCTCTCGGTCCATTGATATTACTGTTTGAATGACTGTTCTCAGAGCAGTTAACATAATTTCTTTAATGTCTGAAATAGTTGGACCAGCATCCTTTCGGAAAGTTAATTCCAAAATATCTGATAAAATTTTCACACAGAGTTCCACCTGAAAGATATAAGAATTAATTTTAGAAATCAGTTTCACGTAATAAAGCGATGATATTTGTTATCATTCAAGGATAGTGATCTACAGCGTGCACTAATCTGTTATAATAAAAGTGAGAAATGTGTAAATTATTAATAAACACTAATGAAAAAAAACGTGGCACAAGGATAACTCATTCATCAGCATATTACCTCTTCGGAATAACCCCGATGTTGATTGAGTCGATGACGATTTTCACCAAGAAGCCTGGCTACTTTTGCCACACTTTTTCCAGGCGTACCTGACAGTCCCTTTATACGCCAATTACCAGAACCAAACCAAACGCAGCAAAATAATGTAAATAAAATAAAAACCAAAACAAAATTCACCTCTACCTTCCCACTACTAATGACAATCATCATAGAGTCATTTGAAAAATTAATTTTAAGAATTTTTCTTTTAATAACATGCAATAAAGTACCAAATAAATATCATATTACTCATATTGTTGTTAATCAAATATTATCAAAAAAAAATTCTTTTGAAAAGATTATCACTATTATACTGACTCTATATTGACACAAATTTCTACTAAAGTAATGAGAGAAGATAGAAATGATAATTTAATAAACCATAAAATAATAAATAAAAATAAACATAAAATTTGTATAAAATAAGAAATAAAAAGTGTGATAGCAAGTAAGCACATCTTTTTCACTAATAAAATCATGCACACACATATAAGCATTGTAAAAAAGTAAAATGAAGTAATAAAACTAATACAAAAATATACTTTTAATAGATAACTGAATGATGACTCACCTCTTCTTTAGCTTCTAGAAGATTACGAATAAGTAAAGTAATTTTTGGTAAAAGAATTGCTCTACAATCAACCCATAGAAATAATGGGCTATGAACAATATCATTGACAGTCATCATCTTCTGTTTAGTCAATCTCCCAGACGGTAATGTTGTTAATAAATCCGTCAGAATTAAGCTTAATTTTTTTCCACTATAAACTTGTAAGAGATGAGGTATTGTAGACGGAATGTATTTTAAACAGGCACCTTGAACTAGTAGAGTAGCGTCAGTTTCATGTTTCATCAAGTTGACAATTGATTTCAATAAATCTGTAAGCATTTCGCAAAAATCTTCTTCATCCGGATAGAGTTCCGTAAAAAGTAGTCTTGATTTCACAATAAATCGCATGCAGTATTGCAAACTTTTCATTGTCTTTAATAACACGTCTCTCTCTTGACCTTGGCAAACATTTGCATTATCAATACGTGTTTTTATAACAGTAATTAATTTTTTATAGGCCAATGTTGCAGAAAAACTTTCAGAAATGTATAAATCTAAAACTGGTTGAAAATGTTGATACTTTCTATCAGATACTAAACCGATTATATACAAAATACATTCGAACACCATATTGTCATATAAATAATTATCACTATTATTGATTAAAATGTTGAATAGCGCATCTAAAACATCTTGTAAAAATTTCACAACTTCTTCACCGTCGACCTTCATCAATGCATTGAGAGATTCTTCCAAATCAGTCGGCCTAGATGAACTGTTGAGTAACCCTAGTAAATCAACATTCTGTGTAAGTTTTGTAGAACAAACATTTGTTGCAATGAAAAATGTATCCTTTGATGCTAAGCTCAATGCTCCGAACGTTTGTTTCTTCTCTACATACGATTCATTTAATTCATTCCGTGTTGATGGTAATTTCAAATAAGTGATATCATTGTCTTCGTATTTTTTTTGGTCTAATTTGTATACAAGTAATTCGTGCTGTGTGTCTTGAAGAGTCGTTCCATTCTTTTGCATAAGTCTGACGTAGCTTAATGCAAAAGGTTTTTCCGACTTGTCTTTAGCCTCATTAGAACTTCGATGTTTGAATGTGAATTTTAAATGAGCCAATTTGAACTCTTCGATTGGAATTTCTATTTTGAATGTCTCACACCATCTTGGTTTATCTTCATGATAATAAATTACACTACGATATTCATCGATAAATCGAGCTCCACCACCAAGAGTGATAACACCAGGAATCGGTACACCATGTTCATTACACACTTTCACAGTAACTTGAACATTTTTATCAGTAGATTTCGAACCTTTACTAAATTCTCCTGATATCAAAGTTAAATATAAATCATTCCGTACATCTCCAGGTAAAATAACTTCAGGAAATCCCATTTTTCGTGATATTGCAACATTTCCTAACACCAGATGCGGGAATTCTTCACGAACCTTTAAATTATAATAGTAATTCATTATGAAGATTTTTTGTCTTTATTGATGTTTGTTAAATTAGTGAAAAAAATATTTACTTGTTTTGTATCTCCTCTAAGTAATTTTAAACTGGCCCACAGTCCTTGCCCTCCGACATGATTGCCACCATTCCCTCCACTATTTCTTTGCGTGTTAGTATCTTTTTGTGCCAAAATTCGCTTTAACGTTCCATCCAGACTTTCTTTCTCACAACATCTGGATTAAAATAAAAATAAACAAACAAAAAAACGGCTATGATTGAATGATTATCATGGTCATGAGAATGGTTTTTTGAACAAAAAAATTATAGACGATACCGTGGAAAATTTTACTCCACATAAAATAAAAATAAATCAGACAAAATGATAAATGAGAAGGTAATAAAAAATAAAAAAAGGTAATATCTTACTGTACAAAAGGAATAAAGTGATGATGTTCGACATCACCTTCCAATTTTCCAGTTATGTAAAGAGTTATATCCATTGCAGCTACCCCAAAAGGTCTTCGCATATTATCGAAATGACTTTTAACTTTAGGATTACTAGTCACAATGCTCGAACGCCGATGATCAAGCTCTTTTGCCTCCATGCCACCAATTCTTATAACATAACAAACTAAATAAACTTTTTCCCGTGTTAGATCTCTAGATCCAAGGTCAGTAAAAAGAACCCGTAAATTATGAAGTTGATCTATATCCCTAGCTAATCCTTCTTTGCTCCATGACACTACGTAATTTTCGGCTATGGCTTTTCCTTCCTTACTATCATATAAGGTTAATAATAATTCAACATCTTCAGTCATTTTGCATACAAAATTACGAACACTAACAAAAAACACATGGGAATAAACAGGCACTTGTGGTTTTATCGACTTCTTTTTTATGTCCGTTGTCGTTTTCTTTATCCTTTCGGAAGCTATTTGATGATGATAATATAACTGGATTGTACTTGTTTTTTCTGGGTCTAATATATTGCCATGATCATCTCTTACAACCATGTCTAAACCAAGTAACTGATTTCCGGCATCCACACGTGCCGTTGCTGATCGTTTGACATCTTTTAATTCGTCAACTGTTAGAGTACCACTTAGAATTTGACTTCGGTAATTTATTAATTCGAGTATTTGCTGTTGAATTGTTGAAAAATTTTCCGAATGTATCTGAAAAAAAAAATAAAAAACATTTGGAATACATTAGTAATATTTTTAAAAGAAAACTACATACTTTACTTCGTTCGCTTTAACGAATAATTGAATTAATGGACTGACTAATATTATGATACATTATACACGTAAAATAGTAATTCAATTAATAGTTAATGAATAACTATTTTTTCAATTACATACCACATATAAATGTTTCCAATGATGTCCCCATTCTCTCAATACACTGGTGATTTCATGCAATAATGCTTCTGAAGTTGCGGGCTGTGGCAAAATGTGTGCAAATGTCTTTGGAAAAATACCCTTTGTTCCTTTATGCTTATGCTGGCCATAATACCAATTATCAGATTCACTCAGTACTTTGACTACATCTCCAACCATCAAATATAAACAGTGTTGATCATTTTGCCAAAAGTTGTATATTGCTGGAATAAAATATATATGAATTCATTATTGTCTTGATGAAAAGGAACAATATATCAATTTTTTTATTCAAAAGTATTTTTTAAATTCTTTAAATGTTAGTCAAGAATGTTTCAAATGTTTTCAAGATCATTGGATATTTATATTTAAGTTCGAATATTATAAGAATATAAGGCACCACCCAGGATGTTGACGTCAAATATACATCATGATAAATCAGCTTTTATTATATTAATTATTTAACTCTTACCTACTACCCAATAGGGATTACATTTTTTCCACGTCATTTTGATTATTCAATTGTTGTTATCACGTACACTTCATAAGAGTAATACGTATATTTTTATTGTCATTCAGTATCATACTTGATTGTTAGAAAATAAAAAAAATCGAGAGAATCACGACAAAAATAAACTCCTACTCCAACAGAGAATATACATCCCATGATACATGTAGTCATACACTGACAAGAGGAAGAAAAGGAGAGGCTAATAGGAGGAGCTGATTTTGATCATGAAAAAAAGAAAACAGAGAGATGAGCAATTTCAACAATGACAGAATGGAAGTTAAGGCTGAGCTAAACTCCTGCGCTAAATTTCCCGAAGTTGACTTGAAGCCCTCGCGTAGTGCGGTGAAAGACTGAAGCTCGATATCAACTGAAATTGAGTAGGTAACAGAGGAATCGCTTGAAAATGATAATTTATAAGGATGTATTTAAAAAGGGGAGCCTCAAAATACGATTACGAGAAATTCGCAAGAATTTAGAGTAGCGATAGATACTCGGCGCCACGTCACCTGCACATTCTGCCCCTTATCCATCTTTTCCCCCTTGTCAAACCAGCGCGCTCTCGCGACTCATATTTACAGTGCCGAGTAACACGTATTACTCTATACTGAAAAGATCACGCGTGACGTTACGACGCAATGTTTAATTGCAAATATCTCGATAACTATTCAACATTACGGAATAATTTTCAATACACAATTAATAATGACTGTTAGCTTTCATTTAAATCCAAAATGAGATTTATTCTTCACTTAATCAATCGATTCTTATGTAACGCAATCATACCACATCGATTATTTACAATAAATAAGAGATTCTATTAATTGGCTGAAAAAGCGGATGGTTTCTAATCTCCGTCCATCAATTCTTTTAATTTATTACTGTTTATACCAGTCAAACAGTATTCACGTGGACAAATTTGCGAGAATAAGCTCGTATCGTAGCATAGATAGAAAAAAACCAATACATCCTATATCTTTTGTCAGACTTAATTTTTTTACCCTGGTGCACTGCAAATCCCAGGATTCCACAAACATGTTAAAATAACACACATAAAGCGTATTCAATGTAAAATGTCTATAAACAAACAATAAATTATTTGTAGACACTTTTTACACATTTCATAGTGTGTGAAAAATCTATAGTTTTTTTACGGCATTTAACATTGAAGAGGCTTAGCATGTTAAAAGTGTCTACAAGAATAACACACTTGGATTTGCAGTGTGAAAAAATTGGTATCACTTCGACTTCGCTCAACTTATCTCAAATCAACTTGCCTTGCTGTAATCATTGCTAAAAATGAAAAATAAATTTGAACAAACGTCTATATTCAAACTAATAGAATTTGTTATAAATAATCGAACTAGAGATCATCACGAAAAATTTAAATTGTTTTACCGTAAATACGAGCTTTAATTGAACTAAAGTTACCGACGAAAGAAAAGAAATTTTAAAAAAACATTTTTTGTTATCTATTGATCTTTCATGTAAAGTTAAGTTACCACGGTAATTCCGTGATATCTTAGGTTTTTAGTTTTTTTTTAAAATCAATATTATCTAATTTAATATAAAAACTTATTGAAAAAAGTGAGTGAAATCCGCCAAAAACAGATATCGTTCGATAGTTTATCAATATATGTTCTGTATATGAGTCAAGCAGTATTGATGTTATTTATTTATATAAAATTTAGGACTAGTTTAGACTTGTACAATTTTACGTACGTAGAAGAGCAAGTAAGTCTCAGTTCATTAGAGAAAGTCGTTGTAACTAGTGTTGCTTTATTTATGGAAATATTTTTTTTTGTAATTGTAATTTAAAATTATTTTTTGATAAATGAAAATGAATGGACAAAAAACTTCAATTTCAGTCGTTGGCGATGGAAATTGCTTGTTCAGATGTTTGTCTTATTTTATTTTTTTTCATATTAAAAATTTTTTAATATTGTTTTTATTCTCAGTTATTGTCAATGAAGATACAAAAAATGTATGCGTTAGTCCAAAACTAACAGCGTCAAAAGTGAAACTTTTTATGTAATTCAAAAACTGTCAATGAGTGTACAAAAAAATACATTGCAGCAAAGAAAAATTGACTGGAAATTATAATAAAAATCGAGAAAAATCTACAGACTATCCCAAATTAATTACTACGGAAGTTTTACTTGTACGTATATGTATATAGTTTTATGTATATGTAAATAATAGTACGTACAAGTAAAACTTCCGTAGTAATTAATTTGGGATAGTCTGTAGATTTTTCTCGATTTTTATTATAAATCATTTTTATTATAATTTCCAGTCAATTTTTCTTTGCTGCAATGTATTTTTTTGTACACTCATTGACAGTTTTTGAATTACATAAAAAGTTTCACTTTTGACGCTGTTAGTTTTAGACTGACGCATACATTTTTGTACGCAACTCTTTCTAGGCTTCACGCTACAAAGTTTAATTTTGGCTTGATCGTAAGAAAGTCTTGAAATTATAATTTATATTTGAATCAAAGTATCGTGAATATTGTTTAAATAGTTTTGATAAGAACATTGAAGGAAAGATTATAGCCTACGTTTGTTAATGTAAATTGTTTATAACAAATTAAATTGTTATGAACAATTGAAAACGGATCCTATGCAATATATTTGAGTTCTTCCAACGCGTAATTTTTTTTTCACTAAGATAAAGTTACAAACTGTGTAACATGAATAAAAATTTACTTTTGTTACTTATTAATCGGCTTAAATATTTTCAAAATCTCATGCTTCTATAAAATCTTAACAGTCACGCCAAGTTTTTGGTTGTTATGTTTATTGTGTCCCTAACCGTACTAAATTTATTTTCAAAATAAAAACCGAAGAAAAAAATTCATTTTAAATATTGTTAATATTTAGATTTAAATACTTGGACGAAGTCGCGGGAATTTGCTAGTAAATAAATGTTTTTTTTGTTCTGCATTATCATTCATAGTTTGTTTAACAAAATTGCCATAAAGATAAGTATATATATTATGAATGTAACGTAGTAGTAAGGTTTTCTTCCAACTATATTGTTGCGTAGTTGATACAGTGACGCTTGCTCGAGTGCGGAGTGGGGAGGAGTAATCGGTCGTCGTGCTGCGATCAGCTCTCTTACGCTGTACGTTACTAACGTGAAAGTAGTCGAGTTGAAACAGTTGAAAAGCAAAAACATCTGAAAACTACAAACAGATGAAAATCGCAAACAGTTGAGTGTCTTTTTAAACAGTTGAAAGTCGTATGAATATAATAATAGTTGAGCATAACAACAATATATACTAACGCAACATAGCCACGAGTCGATGTCGTAGACTGAATGACTCTTATGTGGTGAATCGTCGGAAGGCGTTTATAATTGTTATATGTATACTTTTAGTTGCATATAACTAAGAATAACAGAAATGTTATACTCACTTCAGTCCTAGTACGAATAGTAAAAGTTTTTTTACTACATATACGAAATATAACCAAGTCGCTAACAGTAATAGCTAGCGAGAGTAAATTTTTAATAAATTTAGAAAAAGAGAGTGTTTGAACTTTTCAGTTATACATTCATATCAATGAATGTTTTAATTTTTAAAGTATAAAAGTGTTGATGGAAACATCAGTTTTCACTTACAACACAAAATATGTGTCACATAGTAAGACGTCAATACAGTGTATTTGTTCTACTATGTTAACAACACATATTTTTGAGAACGAATGTGTGTGTATAAACACATTACAAAGTTCCCTGGTTGATCCTGCCAGTAGTGATATGCTTGTCTCAAAGATTAAGCCATGCATGTTTAAGTACATACCGAATTACGGTGAAACCGCGAATGGCTCATTAAATCAGTTATGGTTCCTTAGATTGTACCCACATTTACTTGGATAACTGTGGTAATTCTAGAGCTAATACATGCAAACTAGAGTTCCAACCAGAGATGGAAGGAACGCTTTTATTAGATCAAAACCAATCGGTGGTCTCGGCCATCGTTTACTTTGGTGACTCTGAATAACTTTTAGCTGATCGTATGGTCTCGTACCGACGACAAATCTTTCAAATGTCTGCCTTATCAACTGTCGATGGTAGGTTCTGCGCCTACCATGGTTGTAACGGGTAACGGGGAATCAGGGTTCGATTCCGGAGAGGGAGCCTGAGAAACGGCTACCACATCCAAGGAAGGCAGCAGGCGCGCAAATTACCCACTCCCGGCACGGGGAGGTAGTGACGAAAAATAACGATACGGGACTCATCCGAGGCCTCGTAATCGGAATGAGTACACTTTAAATCCTTTAACGAGGAACAATTGGAGGGCAAGTCTGGTGCCAGCAGCCGCGGTAATTCCAGCTCCAATAGCGTATATTAAAGTTGTTGCGGTTAAAAAGCTCGTAGTTGAATCTGTGTGCCACACTGTCGGTTCACCGCTCGCGGTGTAAACTGGCATGCTTGTGGGACGTCCTACCGGTGGATTTAGCTTTAGTGTAAAAACTAAAGCGGTCCAATAATCCTGTCGCGGTGCTCTTAATTGAGTGTCGAGATGGGCCGGTACGTTTACTTTGAACAAATTAGAGTGCTCAAAGCAGGCTTATTATCGCCTGAATACTGTGTGCATGGAATAATAGAATAGGATCTCGGTTCTATTTTGTTGGTTTTCGGAATTCCGAGATAATGATTAATAGGGACAGATGGGGGCATTCGTATTGCGACGTTAGAGGTGAAATTCTTGGATCGTCGCAAGACGAACAGAAGCGAAAGCATTTGCCAAAAATGTTTTCATTAATCAAGAACGAAAGTTAGAGGTTCGAAGGCGATCAGATACCGCCCTAGTTCTAACCATAAACGATGCCAGCTAGCGATCCGCCGAAGTTCCTCCGATGACTCGGCGGGCAGCTTCCGGGAAACCAAAGCTTTTGGGTTCCGGGGGAAGTATGGTTGCAAAGCTGAAACTTAAAGGAATTGACGGAAGGGCACCACCAGGAGTGGAGCCTGCGGCTTAATTTGACTCAACACGGGAAACCTCACCAGGCCCGGACACCGGAAGGATTGACAGATTGATAGCTCTTTCTTGATTCGGTGGGTGGTGGTGCATGGCCGTTCTTAGTTGGTGGAGCGATTTGTCTGGTTAATTCCGATAACGAACGAGACTCTAGCCTGCTAAATAGACGTATTTCTGGTATCTTGAAGGTCTACAGTTTTCGGATTGTAGATTTT